TCAAAGAATCAAAGAATCAAAGAATCAAAGAATCAAAGAACCAAAGAACCAAAGAAGCTATCAGAAAAAATCTACAAGAGACAGTTTTAAATACCAAAGATAATGATATATATCTGGAATCAATGACCAATGAAAAACCATGAAACCCTATCAGATAAAGGTAAGCAAAGCAAACAAGAACTTACATCAGAGACCTAAGGAGCCAAAGACCCACAAAACCAACGGATCTAGAGGCTATTCTAAAAGAATGTTAGTTGATACTTACCTTACCAGAAGCCTACAAAGCTAACGTGCCAAGGAACTATAGAAAGAAGGTTCAGTAAGCGTGAACATATCAAAGCATGAGGCTGATAGAGGCTTCATGGAGCTCTTCATCGCTAGAGGGAAAAAAAAGAAGAGATAAGTAAATGTTCAAGGGTCAAAGAACATGCTTATTTACGTCATTAGAGCTTTTCTTGATAGTCAGAAACAGATATACAAGCTACAAGAAGCAAGTTAGAATCAGTTTAATACGAAATAAATAGGAATTAATCTTTATTATTGGCTGATAGTTAAAGAAGATTAAGAGAGAGAAAAAGGGAAAATCAAATGGGTCTTTCACGAAAACCAACGGAGCTTAAAACAATAATATTTACCCCTTTTTTCTGTAATTTTTTTTTTTTAGCCACATGGTCTCATATGCGCACACACGCACACATAAAGCAACATAGTGCTGTCATTTTATACTTTCTTAAAGTTATTCAAGAGATCTAATCGTGTTTCTTTTCATTGAATTTCGTTTCTATTTACATGCTGAGTTATACCAACAGGCAATATTATTATGCAGCGCGTTCCACTATTTTGATGGCAGCTATTCAAGCATGTTGAAAAAGATATAGATTGAGTTTAGATTTAAAGACTACGGGCCTTACTCCAAACTTTAAAATTTTTTTATTTAGAGCAGATATTGTTATCTTTACTTTTTAGCCCTTGGTAACCATCCACAATGATAACACACACATCAGATATTCATGGGGAAATCATTCGTGTTATTCTAAGAGATACGAGAAAAGTCAATGTAAACCAAGAATGTACTTGTTTATATGGGATGGTCAATTTTCAATATATATATCAAAATTATAAAGGGAAGCATATATATACTTTTAGCCCTTTTCGCTTTTAATCAAATATCAATCATTTGCTACGTAAATTCTGATATAAGCACTCAATTAGCTTCATTCTGTAATAGACGTAGTTATCTTATGACTCACATTTTGGAAATGATAAAAAAGTTTATCCTTTTCCTTGAGTCGGCTGTGATACATGGTTTATTTATAGTTTAGCGTATTTTGGCTTGCTTGCAAGTGTTTCATTTTTATGGAAATCGGCTAAAGGTAATTGTTTTCTTGTAGCTTCATTCCTCTTCAAAAAATAACGTGATTTTATAAAAGATCAAATGAAAAATGTGAGGGATGAAGGATAAGGAGAAAAAAAAAAGAGATTGGCCTGTTATTCAATGAATGATATTCGTTTAAATAGCGTACATCGGAAACATTTACTAACCTAAGGACTGGGCTAAATATCTCTTTTTTTCTTAGGTATACGCAAACCATCTTGTGAGAAACTTGATTTCAAAAATTCTACAATAGGTAATACATTTGCTTGTTTACAACTGGAAAAAAATTAATAGAAGGAAGCATACAAGTACAATTTAAATAGAGATCACCTTCAATATCTGAATACGCAACCTTATCACTAACACAAATATTATTACCATTTGAATTTACGCGTTTTGGATGTTGATAAGAATACGGTATTATCACAAACTATCAGTCAATAAGTAACTATTTTTATAAGGTTGCTGTAATACGCGTTTAGTATTAGAGGGAGCAATTGTCTGTACAAAGTCATGTTCATCTCTATGATCTTCCTGGTGCGACCCATTTACTGACATATTTGGAGCGTCCCAGGAAGGAGCAACGTTGTTCAGATATATACAGATCAAATCAGTTACAATGCTAAAAGAAGTAATGTAATACGCCCATATACAAAAATTTACGGTAGAGATATTTAACTTTGGTAAAAGTGAGCCTTGGCGTTGAATCTTTGCGCTTTCTATTGTTATCCACAAAATACAAGCATTCACGGGTAGCTTGTGCGCTGCGTCAGTGCTTCTTTATCTCTAATACATTTACGTCTATTCTTACTTTATAATTACTTTCTTTTCCACTCAAAACATATCAAGCTTGTCAACATATCGCTCAAACAAGAGATCTTTCACATAAAGTAATGTCACACGGCGGACTAATCAATCACAATCCTGATACAGGAGCCTCGTCTCCAACTACTCTATCCCATGCGAACAAGTCAGCGGCCTTATGACACCCATTTAGAGCTTATTCTCGCTCTATTAAGGATACTAGTCTTATCAATTCTGGGAGAAAAGGCAGCTAAGTCAGCATATCGAGAACGTTGCCAGACTTGCCTTTGGTTTCAATCACATGAGAATAACAGTACTATTTTCGACCTGGGGGCTACAACTGTTTCTCTTGCAAAGTTTTATGCAGCTTTATCAGTACAATACTCAGATGCTATTGTCGCTGTCCCTATACAGTAAGGTTCAGCACATGGCACACTCATTGCTTTTGACTCTGTAGAGATTCATATAAAAGCTTGTTCTATTGGAATTGTTATGGACGGCATTACCATTATCGGCACACCTACCATTCTGGCTTCGAGCAGTGTCTATCGTATCTCCTAGACAAGCTTCCCATTCAACATCCTAATGAGCTCGCACCTCTTTTGATGGATGTACTTAACGTATACGGTCATATACTCCACGTCGGACTCCTTCTCGATCCACAGATGAACCTCTTTTTCGGTAAAGGTTACGCGCTATTGGATGTGACCACTGATGACACCCACTCATGCAAACCTTTAAGCATGAAATTGCATTAGCTGGCGATCGTATCATCTATGCCACTTGGCGAGGCATGGTACAACACTGTTTTTATTGTCATAAACCTGGCCATATTAGAACCAGCTGCCTTCGGTTAGAGAGACAACGCAACAAGACCTGTTACAATTGCGGTATATCTGAGCATATTTTCCATTCCTGCTATAAACAAGGAGCAGATAGAGTGGGGGACAACCGTAGATATGAAAATTATATTGATCCGAACTCTTTGTCATTCTTCCATCAAACATATGTTAGCACAACCTCGTCTGCCACATCTACTGGTACTGAGATCTCAGCTGCTATCGATCAATACCATCTGTCAGCTAGTTCGAATTTCCCATTAGAACTTTCAAATCAACCTCCAGATACTGCACTCACTGAATCCGAAAAGATTACTGAAGAGGACGATTCCGATTCCTCTAATCATCCTGATGACAACGTTGACGATAGCTGTTCCGTGGACTCGAAAGAGGCCGATTCAATGAATATGGAAAAAAAGGAAGCTAATAGGCTGCTAAAGAATCAAGAGTTGTCTCTGTTCGAGCTCACAAACGTTAGACCGGAGCATACTGACAACCCAATAGCCAACATTCAGAGTGTTCTTGCGGGGCTTGACTGCGTCTCTCCTCTCAATCCACCCTTATCAATTTCTCGGCTCAATTGTGTAGATTTACTTTCTCGTCGCTGTCTCTTACTGCAGATAGTCCGTTGTTCAAAGTCCTGGCTTACGCAGATGATATTCTGGTCTTCTTTTCTGATTCATTGGAGATAACTCAAGTTCTTGATGTCCTTCATCTCTACGAGCAAGCTTCTAACGCCAAGCTTAACAGATATAAGACTATTGCTGTTTCTCTTTCAGGCGATCCTTTGCTGACATGGCAGCGCAATCTCTATGACCATGGTATCGCTCAGTGGTATCATCAGTCGTCGCCGGAAACGATGGTATACCTAGGCTTTCCTCTTACAAGTACGCCCTCCCAGCTCAATGCATTCCTGGATGGTCTACTCGACTCCATGTTCAAGCATTGCTAGATGATGATCTTTCGTCGCCTGTCGATTAATGGTCGCGGTTAGGTGGCCAAATTCTTGGTTCTTAGTCGGATATGGTAAGCCACGCCTATTTTCACCTCTCCTGAGACTTTCTTGAGAACACTCTGTCATAGTATGGAGCGTTAACATTACATGCGCTAGAAAACGCGTCAGATAATACACTAATGTCACAGGCGCTGCATGTAGTGTTATCAACAAAACTTTTCAATGTATGGAGTCATGCTAAACTTAGGAACAGAAATATTCTCATGTTCTTTGATGTAGAGTACAAATTTATAAAGCTGCCATCTTAGTTTGTGTTTCTTTTCAAGAAGAAAGAGATAAAATATTTTTAATTTCTGTATTTGCTTTTATATTGTCAGTTCACTCTACAAAGAATCAAGTTCACTTGAGCTGTAATTATGATATATTCGTATTTTGCATCAATGGATGTTCCATTGGACAGCCATAGGTTAGGTAGAGATTTTGGTAGTGTGAAGCTGTAAAGTGACTTCACATGTAGCGTCTAGAAAAAGCGCCTGTAGCATTATCCTTCTTATGGTGCATGTAGTATTCACCTTATGGGAAACATTTAACAACAGTGAAAAATGATAAAGACTACAGGCAGAGGAGCTGAGCTTAAATGGTCTAGAAAAAATTACGGAATCGTCTCAAGTACTTGATCAAGTGTTCAACAAGCCTTACCAATAAAGTAAAATAGAAACAGGTTTGTAAACCAGGTTCTAACCTCACTGATCATAATTATATGAATCATATCTCTTTCTTCATTTTTAGTAGAGGTCACCAATTACAGTTTCCATAGAAACAAATAAGGACACGTACTGTCTTTTGATAAAGTATCTTCAATAATTGCCAACTTAAAGCTCAATCGCCACTCAAACAGGATTCTTAGAAAATAAATCCGAATATGACAGAAGCAGAATTGTGTATATCGATTATTCTTCTTTCTTCCCCTATATTCTTATTCACTTGTTTCTAAAACGTCTTAAAGTGATGGCCAGCATGAGTTTTCATGTTGTTTGTGCGGAGTTTAACCTTTTTCTAGGCTGCATATTTGAAGAAAAAGGAGTGGACGATGGCCTATAGTTTAGTAGGTTACACCAAGTCGAGTTCCAATTTAAACCTTGTTATGCCTATTCATTATTTAGAACAAAGAAATGTAAGAAGTGCACGGAACGTTAGGATTGGGTCCTGGGCAAGTGTTCAAGTTGCTATGGTTACTGATGCTCTTTTTAAAATATCCAGGAGTAAACGTGTTTATTATAACTCGTTATCTTTCTTTCTTTTTTTCTTTTAGGACTGAATTGCTTCTATTTTAATGAAAATCCAGACGCTACTGCACTTCTAGTTGTCAAAACACGATCAGCCATTCCTTATATAGAAACTTTCATTTAGTTGATGGGTGAAGGCAATAAAATTAGAATAAACATGCAAAAGTAAGAAAAAGGAAAATCATAATGTACCACACCTGCTTTCATTTAAAACAACGCACGCTTCAATTTACACAAAGGTTAATTGAGTGAAACAGCTCGAGTATATAAAGCACTTGGCAGCCTTTGCTTTTTTCTTCAGTACATCCCACCCTTTCTCTTCTCCAACACTTACCCCCCTTCCTATCACTAAAAATGAAGTTCACTTTGATCGCTACTGCTGTTGCTCTTGCTACTGCTGTCTCTGCTCTCCCTAACTGTCACAAGGAATATGTTGGTAAGATCATCCGATCTGCATTATGTTTACATACTCATCATTTTTCATTTTATAGCCAAGAAGGGTGACACCGTTGCCTCTGTTGCTAAGGAACATGGTGTTTCTATCCAATCCTTGTACAGATGGAACGCTGGCAACATCGACAACTCTCACGAACTTACTGAAAACGCCGTCTACTGTGTCAATTCTGCCCTTGGCAAGAGAAGCTGGTTCTACAAGACCGAAGGCCTCTCTGGTCAAAAGTTAGCTCTCGCTAAGAAGAAGGCCGCCGCTGCCAAGAAGCACACCAAGAAGGGAAAGAAGACCACCAAGAAGTCTAAGAAAACCACCAAGAAGACTACCAAGAAGACTACCAAGAAGAATGGTAACAACGGTAACAAAGGAAACAACGGAAAGGTCAGCCAATCTCGCCCCGGTGACAACTGGAGCTCTACTCCCAAGAACGCCCCCTCCAACGCTGTTAGACACATCATCTCCACCTGTAACAAGTACTCCACTGTTACCTCCAAGGATAGCTGGTGTGGTGACTTCTCCAAGAGAAACGGTATCTCCATCTCTGACCTCTACAAGTGGAACGCCGGTCTCCACGGTCCCGGTAAGCACGAATGTGACAACCTCGACGACGGCAGAGCCTACTGTGTTGGCGTTAGCCATTAAATAAAGCATTAAACAGCATGGTGTATTCTTTATACTACATTACACATCCTTTTATTTCCCTTTTTGTTTATTGTGAAAAAATTATTTTACATATAAACAGTATAGAAAAATAAACACTTCATTTCTCTTCATGACTGTCCATTGCTTCCTTTTCTATTAATTGATCTATATCTACAATACGCCAATTCCAATTGATCACTGGTTCTCCTGTCTCACTGTCTCTCGAACGCACCATCTTGTTGGCAGGTTGAAAATACGGTGTAGCAAATCGAATACGTAAATCGCGTCTTCCTTCATCATGTAGTAGTATCTCGTCAGTTTCCTTAAGTGTCGCTTGATATACAACATCAGCATCCACCACGACATCAACGCTTACTTGAATGCCCTCGATAATACTTTCTCTAATGCGCTGCTTGTATTCTTGAAACGATTCTTGATCTTCGTTTTTTCCTTTATTTACTCCAAATTGTAAGGTTGCCCATCGAAAGATGTCATATTTATCATTGTCGTCTGAATAAGCTGCAGGATTTCCCATGGTTACCCAGACATCATCTACATTTACATCATATATTTGAGGTAGCTGAATGGATATGTTTGCATCTGAAGGCGCGGATTCTGTATATCTATGTAAAAGAGCAGGTCCAAATATATGCTCTATTTCTTCTCTTGGCTCTTCTGGGTGTTGCAACTGATCAGAAAGTAGTTGTAAGGCTTTACGTGTCGCCAGACTAGCTGTAGATATGCATATTCATAAGCTTGTCCCTGTTTTAGAAAGTGCTGCAACTCACCTCCCACTAAGAACTGGTCTGGAAAGTAATTCATACCAGTGTTGAGTTGAAGTATACGCGTGGCTACCCAGTTGGTAGCCATACGCTGAATGCTGATAGGAATCATGCCCATGATAGGATCTGTTGTTTCATAAGGGTAGTTTGTAATTCGAGGCTTGTCCTTGGAAAGTAACCAAGCTAGTTACAATTAGTATCTTTCAAAATAATATTAAAGATAACCTACGAAAATCTTTAATTGTCTTGGGAGAACTGCTAATGCTTCTCCAAAATAAACGCGGTGTGTGTCCAATGACTCTTTTATATGCTGATGTGAGTAGAGTCATGATAACAAAAGAAATAAAATAAAAAAACGTGTGTACATGTAAGTGCGTGTATGTTAATTAAAAGTCAGTAACAAGTTTAAATTCATACGGTTTTTTACATTTTAACTTTACCTGTAAATATCTAAACTCTTCTTTGGCAAAAGGAAAGTTATGTACGAGGCAACAGTATTAAGCTCAATGAGGACAGCGGAAAGGATGAGGCAGGGTACTTTTGGAAATAAAATGCAGCAGCATTTTCATGAATGTTTTTCGAAGCATTGGTATCACGGTTCCAAAGCATCTCGCAGCTCTGGCAAGCTAGGACGCTTGTTAAACCAATATAAACAAACATCATTTCTCGCTTTTGGCACTCGAGATACGTCCTTGTAAACTTTAGTGTTTATTTTTTGTTTATCGAAGTGCTGAGCTCGCCAACATAAGTCGCCAGCAATATTTTTTCTTTTTCTTCTTTATTTCAGCATATCGAACAAAACACTAGTGATGTCAGCCTATTGCCGCTTTATCTTTACAGCGTCCTTGCTCCTCCATACCATTGCCAAAAGCAATAGTAGGCGGTGAATGGGCTACAAGCTTAATGCTGGCATAAAGAGACACTGGACTTACCAATATATTAAGTATAAAAGACACGTAGCTGCATTTTCATAAAGGGCTCTCGTATTTTTATAATCTGTTTAATGTCGTCCGAAAAAGGCAAGTAAATCATCTGAATTCAAATTTCTGTTTGTCCAATTTTAGGTTAAAGCCCTGTGTTCTTTTATATGCCAGATTTAACAGATGGAATCAAACGCTGCATCTGTCAGACGTCAGGAAAGAAATAGTATCTTGAAAAAGTATTATGGAATCAATGGTAAAGCTGTAAATAATCAAACAGTCGTAGAGGAAAGGCCATTTGACTTGGGTAAATAAAAGAATAAAAAAAATACACAGCTTGTAAACTTGCAACACTTGTAGATGCAGACACGTTTAATTCTAGCAAATATTTTGCTAATCTACTCAAAGAAAAGACCCTGAGAGAACTTATGGAAGCTGACAACTCGCTCGTCGCAGGTATAATATATGCATTGTTTGTTGAAGAATTTGTATTTACTCATCTATTAAATAGAAATACGAGAAATTGACGGTGATATGAAGACTCTGGTTTATGAAAACTATAGCAAGTTTATTAGTGCAACAGATACGATAAGAAAGGTAAATTTTTAAGAGACCAAAAGAAAGAGGAAGCCTAATTGAGAACTTACTAGATGCGGTCTAATGTTGAAAACATGGAATCTGAAATGAGCAAACTCAAAGAGAATATCACCACTATATCCAATCAATCCAAATGCATCAATGAGACTTTGAGTCCTAATCGTACAAAGATCCAGCAGTTATCTACAGCTCATAATTCACTCAAAAGGCTTCAGTTTCTCTTTGACTTACCAAGTCAGTTGCAACACTACCTCAACAGGGGCAAATATCTACAAGCTATACAGTATTATGCAAAGGCAAAGCGACTTTTGAACAACACAGCGGCATTTAAAGGAATAGAAGAAGAATGTAATGTTATTATGGAAAAGGTCAAACAGGATATTTGGTCACAGCTGCAAGAAAGAGAAGCTTCATTGGAAAACGTTGCAGAGAATACAAGATTGTTGGTTTTACTTGGTGAAAACAAGTCTAGGCTATGTAGAGAGTATATTGATATGTAAAGTGACATTATGTTCTATTGCAACGAAAGCTAACATTGGTATCCTAGACAAACAACAGCGCTTCAGAGAAAACAAAGTGAACAAGCAGAGTCATCAACAGTTGATGATATACTATCAAACTTTATTATACCATTAGAAAATATCGTCAACCATTTTGATCACTTATTCTTAACCAAAGATGACCTTGATTCGGCTGAAAAGGAGGAAGCTAAACAGAGCTTATTATATGCCATTCAACCATTCATTGACGCATTCTTTGTCTTAGTCAAAACATTTATGCAGTTACCCGTAAGCAGGCATGCCTATACTCACGTGTGAGACTAACAAAAATTAAAGAACAAAATACCAGATGATCCACCTAAACAAATAGACTACCTTTGTCAACTTAAGGATGCCATATCCAGCCGTGCAGTATCTTTGGATTCTATCACTGGTATTAGCGAACGTATGGATGTACTTGGTGCCAATTGGAAGAACGAATTGATAAACAGGATATTTCGTACTGCAATTGATGGCGTGAGGGGTAAGAGAATGGAATGTTCTTGAAAGGGGGAAAGATCTTTCTAGACTGACGTGTGATATAGACCGAGTTCAAGAATTCATAAAAGAGATCAAGATGATGGATAATGATACGGATAGAATGATCAAGTTTATTCAGGATACCCAAGCATGGCTAACAGATCATGTAACCAAGTCATGTTTATTACCCTTGAAGACATACTTTGCTAAAGAATCACCAGATCGAGTGAGACATGGCTTGAGATCAGTATGGGAAGATATTACAAACGTGTTTCAGGTGATTATTATACATTGTATGTCTTTCTTTGCTGTATTCATCATATGCTTTACGTTAGAGTGTTGCAAAGAATGTAATACTTGATAGACATCTACTGCAAATCGTAATGCTAGCCATTTCTCGTCTCTGCTATGACCTTGCTGACAACAGTGTATATCAAACATATACCATTTTTTCATATGAATTTTACATAAAGACACAGGAAGTTGGGTACCGCGCACCATCCCTGGACCCAACCGTTATACCGGATATGAATGCTGTGATTGAACAATGCTTAAATGTTGGTCAGTCCTTGCTTAATCAACAAATTGTTCATGACGGATACCGACTATCGACGAGAGTACAGGAAGCTTATTTATTTAGGGAGCCATCATCTGTTGTGAATCAAGTATCACCTGTGTGGATCACCATCTTTCAACAGTTGAAGCAGATTGAAGTGTTAATGAGCGCCTTGTTTCCTCAGCAACAACAAGAGGAAAAAGACAAGGATATGGAAGATGAAGCTTCTGCTACGTTATCTACAGCAACGGAAGGTGTCATTGAACGATTTGGTATTGACATGATGATGAATTATAGTATAGATAAATTATTTGCAGAGAGAATTGAGGTCTATCGAAAATTGGAACCTACTCCGGCCTCAGTCTATCATGGCTTAGTGGTTATTCTTTTGAAAGCATTTTTAGAAGTAACGAGACAGATACAGATGGATACGGTCATGTTTCAGCAAATTCACGTTGATGTAGAATATATCGGAAGAACGGTCTGGTCATTTGCAGGAGAAGAAAAGTAAGTGTAAAAAAGCAGAAGTGACATATTATTTATATAAATTATATAGATGGGTCATAACACTACTTCAAGAAACTATTTCCAGTGCTTACACGAGGTGTGAATCACCAAGTAAACTAAGCTTGAATGAGCTGGAAATTATTCTTTCTCTACAATAAAAGGGGGAATGGCTGATAAAAAGTGTATCTGGTTCACTGAGTCTCAAAAAGTTTATCTACAAAAAAATTCAACCACTGCAGTATTTTGGTTGATCTAAAAAAATAAATTTCACCTTTTTTCTCTCTTTTTCATAATATAAAATGCCAACGAAAGCATCAAGAGAAAAGATTTTAGAAAGATTAGACTATTATTATCATATAATTTATAATACTATCCTTTGTAAACAACACCCTGCAAGCGGATTAATGCCTGCTTCTACAGCTATCACAGTATGACATTTATATTATTTAATTTTGTTGTACCAATGATTTTTCATAGACTCATGGAGATTATACCGACGCTTGGGTTAGGTAAGTATCCCTTTTTTCCTTAATCGAGATAGATATAATTAATCTTTATTCAAGGGATAATGTATATTCAATTTACGCGGTCTATGGTTTAGCTTTAGCTTATCAAAGGATCGATGATAGTACAGGAAGAGCATGTAAACGAATCTGTCATCTTTAATTCCGATTCCTTCTCATCTTCTTTTTTACATAGTTGAGCTTCAATATTCGGTTATCAAACTTATGCGGGGTCTGTTATTTGCCATGATGCGCCAATCACACAAGGTAGAACAGTTTAAACAGACGCAGGCTTTAGAACACGCACTTCATGCAAAATATAATACAGCCACGGGTGAAGCTGTTGTAGGAGATTTTGAGTGGGGACACTTGCAGGTAATTCAAAAGAAAAAAGAAAGGGGCCTGTTACTCATATTCAATAGATTGATGCAACAAGCTTATTCATTTTAGCACTAGCAGACATGACCACAGCAGGATTCAGCATTATTTATACTCAGGATGAGGTTGATTTTGTACAGAATCTTGTGTTTTATATAGAACGTAAGGGGATACATGCATCAGTTCTGCATAGGTCGTCCATTAACACATGTTGTAGGCGCGTATCGAACACCGGATTACGGTATTTGGGAAAGAGGAAACAAGATCAATCATGGACAGCCCGAGCTTAATTCTTCATCCATTGGTATGGCCGTAGCCGCACTACGCGCGATTGATGGTGTTAACCTGTTTGGTGTTCGTGGTGGCTCTTCTACAGTAAGCCCATGGATAAGCGGTCAAATAGAACGGTTCATAACTTTCTTGATAGGTCATTCATGTCTTGCCTGACGAATTGACAAGGAATTCAACCATCTTACTTAGCTCTTTACCCCGAGAATCAAACTCTAAAGAAATTGACGGCGCCTTACTTTCTGTTATTGGATTCCCAGCATTTGCAGTTGATAATCCGGATCTAATCCAACAAACACGAACTGAGATTATCAAGAAACTGGAAGGAAAGTATGGTATGAAGCGTTTCCTTAGGGATGGTCATCAGACAGTGTTGGAAGATACCAGCCGACTGCACTATAACGCTAATGAACTTGAAGTATTTGAAAACATTGAATCCGAGTGGCCTCTGTTCTTTACATATCTCGTCCTTGACGGTTTGTTCACGGGCGACTTGTCACTTGCAGAGGAGTACCGTAAAAAGCTGGAACCACTTGTGACGACAAAGGAGGGCCAAGAGGATATTCCTCTATTACCTGAGTTGTATTACGTTCCCCGAGAATCCATTGAAGCTGAAAAGGCAGACCCTCATTCGCAACAACGCGTACCGAACGATAACGTACCTCTTGTCTGGGCTCTGTCACTTTATTTCTTGGGTGGTCTTATTACGGAACGTTTAGTTTCGCCATCTGAAATTGATCCTATGGGTCGCCGGTTCACAAAGATGCATAAGGAAAACTTGATTCAAATCGTTTTACTGGCTGAAAACAGAAAACTGCAATCGACACTTTTGACGTACGGCATAGAGACGCAGACATTAGAACAGATACCTTCAACTACGACCATTTTACCTGCTCAGGCTTTAGTAGACGTCTATGCTGGGTTAGGTTTGAATACCAAGCTGGCGATGAGCGGAAGACCCAAGAGGTAAAGCTAGAATTCATAAATAACAATATTAATCTCTTTTATTACCAGACCTATTGGTGTTTTGGGAACATGTCGCCTGTACAAGATTGAAGGCCAACTGTATGCATTTACCCCTCACTTTATGGACAACAATGAGTTCTACATCAACTCGGATCCAGACTATCTCGTGTCCGAATTTGAGAACGAACTAAACTTTACGAACCGAAACTGGTATTATGCCGGACGTCCGACCATGGTTGTCCTCTTGACGCATGATCTCTTGGGAGCTACGCGCAGGCAAAACAATAAAAACCTGCTTAATTTCTTTAGTAGTCTCCGTAGTGGTGCTGCTTGTCAGGGTAACGTCGGTGTCCGTCTTTGTCGACTGGCTGAGACGATCAACACAAGCAACATTGAGTCTCTGGACTTTTTGGCTCATAAGCCCGAGGTAGACTGGTCCGCAATTGTCGCTCATGCATCTGTCAATAAGACGGATAAGAGGTTGGGGTATAATGAAAGTATGACGCAGGCCAGTACGCCAGGTCATCGCACACCTCACGGAGGAAGAACGCCCAAGCGAAAGCACACGACTACATTCTATGGGAAATCACTCGTGTCTCCTCTTGATAAGTTGAATGGCACTTATTTTGATGAACTAGCTGATGCTCTCTCCAAACTCAAGACCGAGCAGTTCAAACTCAAGGAACCTGCAGTGCTCTGTGAATCTCCCGCGGAAGAACAAGAGAAAAGGACGGGCATTATTCATAAACCAGATGTCGGGTCACCAAACGAAATGCTCGCATTGACTTTAGGCGATGACTCTCAGTTCAACCAGGCTGTAGACAGTTTATCAGCATCTGTGAATTTATATGATCAAATAGGTAAAGAGGAAGAAAAAAAAGGGTAGCAGACAACTTACGTTTTGACCTAAAGACCTGCTTCAATACTTGGCATCATGTAGGCCCATGAACTACTATATTCAAGAAATCGAAGCTACTATTCAGGACTTGGTTGAAGAGGTCTACTTGAAATCCAAGAGGCTTCAATACTGGTCTATTGCTCGACAGGCTGCTGGACTGCTTCATAAAACTGTACCTTCACTTACAATTAACATTACAGATCTTGTTATTCGTCAAAAACAAGTCAGTATTGGCTCTGGACCTTTAGAATATTTCATCTCTATGCCTGTGGCTCCAGATACTCTTAACAAGATGATTTCTGATCATTGGTAAATATAAACAAAAGCAAAAAAAAAAGGGAAGAAAATGTAGTCTCATTCATCTTGTATAGTAATGATGATGTTCGAGAGGGGCCTATCGTGCAAGAAATTGTTACCAACTTGGGCAATTTGATCCGTACACAACCATACATGTTTGAAGGCATTCTCCGTTTACGTACACACTATATTATCATTGCACTTCGAGAAGAGATCAGCCGTACTCGACACTTTGACGAGGAAGAAGCTGTGGAACATTTGATGCAGCTGTCTCCATTTGAATTAAAAACATTGCTAAGCACTATTCTTTCTGGACCTGCCCTTTGTGCAGTGGATGAGCAACAACAGCTTCAGCAAGAATCTAGCAGCTATATTCCTTTAGTCATGAAAGACTCTGAGGTGGTAATCAAAGCACAGTCTGGTGGATACTATGCTGGAAATTTTGCCAAAGTTGAGATCAATAGTACAATAATGGAAGCAGGCTCGAGAGGTATTCATGCTTGGGTTATTGACCTTGAAAAGAGAGTCATCCTTGAGCGCGAGTCGTTTGATACCCACATTTCTGAAGAGGAAAGTCAAGCCTTTGTAGGCTTTTTGAACACACTCAAGCCAGGTACTGTGGTCATCATGGCATCCAAGGATGAATTTACAGAACATTTGACGGATGAAGCCCTGTTTACGATGGAACAGTTGGGAAGCACCAGGATTCGGCAAGTCAGTTATCGAGACTCTTATGTCTTTATTGGAGAATTAGGTAAGATGTAAATATAAAAAGAAGAACACGTATTTATTTTTACATTAGGCGTGCCACAAAACTCATTAGAGGCGCACCAAGCGTCAATGAACGGTCCAACCGAGATGATTGAAAAGATCATTTCATTGGAAAAACGGGACATGGACACCAAGGAAGTAACAGTAGACACCATCCATTACTACTTCCCCAATTCCAATGGTCGCTGGCTTCATCGTCGTAAGAACGATGGATCTCTTAATCGAGTCCCCTCTCTGCAGTTTTTCCCTCAGGTCTGGTCTATTCTTGACCAGTCAAAAGGATTAATCATCAAGAGCCATACTTTACCAAGAGATCCAATTGTGCTCGAAAAGACACCTGAGGAGTTCAATTTTGCTTTGGCTGTAGAGTCCTTTTTGGGATGGTTCAGTGACCCTGCTGAGCGACAAATAGCAGTCGAGATCTTAACTATTGCTTATGAGCAGCTGCGCAAGCCGATTAACAAGATGCTTGACTTACCGCTCATTATTGAGACATGTATCAAGTCATTCTGGGCTAAATGGATAGACATTAATAGAGAAAAGCTTCAAGGTGCCTTGTTTAAGGACGGAACAGAATATGAAAAGCATGTGGCCTTGGCACGTCGATTATTCTTTGATTTGCCGTATGAAGGAACTGAAAGTACAAGTGCATATATAAGGCAGTGTTTAACGGAGTTTATTTAAGATAAAAATAAAAACAAGAGAACTGGGTCCATTGTACTACATCTTACATGATTTCATTGTTCAGAGGGTATTTTTAGGCGACGATTTTAAAGTAGCCAGATTGGAAGGTACATGGCTCATTGCTTTGTGCGGAGCTGGTGACTTGGATCTTGTAGTAGTATTGAGCATTGGAGTCATACTTGTCTTGAGGAATCTTGATTTGATCTTTAAGGGTGATCACGTTAGGTAGTAATTCACGACCAGACCAGACGGAATCAACTAGTTCATCTTGGCCACTTTCTGACTTCTTGTAGATGTCTACCTTGGTCAAGTATTCTGTTTGTGAAGCACTGTCACGGTTCAAGGTGATGGCAACATGACTGCCTTGCTTGGCAAAATCACCTTCTTTAGGACTTTGAACCTTGAGACCGAAGCAACCCTTGATATGATCAGGATTGTAAATGCTGGGATCGTCCAAGTGTTCATTATAAGAGACAAAGCCAGCTTCGTTAGTATGAGCGCCTGTAGTCACCTTGAAGTTGGGAGAAGTCTTGAGACAATCTGGACCATGGCCACCGTTGACGACGTTGGTAACCCAGACACTAATTAGAGTCAATAATTGGCACTTTCCAAAAAAAGAGGAACTCACCGGAAATAATAAACACCAGCGGTGACGTTGGCTGGAATAGTGTCTGTAAGAGTAGCTTGAGTGCTTAATTGGTATTTGCCAGCCCAGATGTTTTGAACATATTTAGGGTTGTTGTCACTGCCAACAGAGAATAACTAGAATGGATTTGAATAATAGATCCCCTTTTTAATAGTCATTTAAACTTACGTCTACTCCAGTAATCGTCTTTTCATAGTTGTTTTGAACACGAGCTAAAAATAGAGTTGGTTAAATGAAAAAAAAAAATCGCAACACACTTACTAACTGTGATCGTAGCATTTTGTCCTGGGCTCACTACATCGTTAGTAGTGGGTGTGGTAACATCAAGTCCTAGATAATAATAAGTATATTGACGATCATATATACACACAATCGTTTACCTCCACAAAAAGCTTCGATAGCATCTGACATACTATCAGCATTGACAGATGAACTAAAAAGAGCCAAAGCGGCAAGAGCAGCAACTTTAATAGAAAACTTCATGATTTTTTTTAAAAAAAAGGGACGCTGCTTAAAGAAAGAAAAAGCGAGAGAGCAACAGAAAAAAGAAGAGTAAAAAATTTGTACCTTTTATATATTTTTTTTTTGCCACTAACTCAAATTAAGGAGGAGGAGGAAATACTAAGAAGAATAACCGTAACACATATTAACTCGTCATCTTAAATTTCCCGGATTCAATTTGACATTCTCGGCCATCTTGTTCAATAGTGGCCCTATAAATAATATGTTAAAGAGGACCAATCATTCCTATTTCGAATATGCTTACCGGAACCAAAATGTATTGGGTGAAGCTTGCTTTGAAAGCTGACTTAAATCTTGTTGGATCGCAGTGACTCTGAGTAACTCATCATGCCCTTTCCATGTATTTACGACTTTGTTTGTATCTTGAACAATATCAACTTGAACAAGATAACCAACATCCTTTTCCTCTGAGTTGCCTTTTTTTATGATCGTATCATGAGTATTTTTTTACTTGAGCTATGTAATCTTATTCCTTACCAAGAATAAAGTAAGTCAGATCCTGTTCTTGAATATTCGAGTCCGGTTTTGGGTATATTATTTTAACACCTAACCAACAGGTATCAAACAAAGACTTATAATCATACATTTTATATCCTCTTTACCCTGGCATTCTTGCTGCTGTGCAAATACAGCAACAATGATGTAAACCAATAGAATACACACAAATTTATACATCTTTATATGCATTGTTTGCATATGAAAAAGAAAGAGAGAAAGATAAAAAAAGGGGACACACAAACATCGGCATTGATTATTAGTGGCTTTTTTGTGCTTAAAATAGAATCAATTTTCCATGTTTGTAACAATTTCCTATTCTTTTATAATACACCTTTTTCATACACTATAGAGAGAAAAAACTGCACAGTGAAATGCATTTTGGGACATTTTATTAAAAGAGTTTCATACACCCACAAAAAAAAATCGTACACTTTAAGGGACGATTATAAGCAACTAAAGAAACCTATGTTGAGTGTCGTACAAAGTGTAATGTAAGATGATCTAGGTAGGCAAATCAATATCTCCAGTCTTTTCAACAGCATATAAGTCGAATAGTATATATATCTGATTCCAGACCCTCACAAAGAACAAAGGGAACAAAAAACTCGTGGCGTCATTGTCATCTGGTTTTCCTTTTCGAATCAAATCCTTCAAATGTATTAAGCTTGAGATAACAGCCTTTTTCTTATCATCATAATGCCTCCAGGGCTCAACTTCCTTTGAAAATTCAGACAAAGGAAACACTACATGCACCAGAAGTTAGACTAATACTACGGGCGCTATATTTACTCATTACCTATGATACCTTCCAATAAAGCCTTTGAATGCGTAGCGTCACGCTAAACACAACTTGTTTCTTTTCAAGAAGAAGAGATAAAAAGAAATGTTATTTATTTATTCTAATTTTAAGTTGTCAGCTTGATCAAAAAAGACCATTTACGATAAATTCGTACTTACGTTATTTAGCCTATTTTCTGGTGTGTGTAGTATTCATCTAATAAAAATACAGTAGTAGTCATTGTAGATGTATGAGGTTTTCAGCAAAAGAATAATAATCACTCAACGAGGTATCTAATTTTTAATAAGCAAATTCATCTTCTCATTCACACATTCTTTTTTTTTTATCTTTAAGCTTACTACTAATTCAATCATTTCTTCGAGATAAGTGTAGGCATCACTGATGGTAGAGAGTATGATGATGTCCAAAAGATATACGAGATAATCTTCTGCAAGAGTGAATACCATACTATATAGTTCAGTTTATTTTTACAAATAAAAATCATTTTATAAATACGCGCTCTATCTTCTTCTTGCTAGGAGAGGAAGAGAGTAACAGATGTACTGGTCTCTTGAGGTGGTTGGCAGATCAACATATTGTTTACGGCTTGGCTTTCTTGCATGATAACGCCGATTTTTCCTTGTGAGATTTTCTATAGTGATAAGCTTATTGAAAAACAAGAGCTTTGTGCAGTATGCTTTTACGCCTTTATTCACTTTAGAGGCCTCGAATTAATTTTAGCAAGAAAGCTGCGAATATCACTGTAGATGCCTTTTGCGGTTGGCGAACGGTGTTGATTGATAGTGAAATATAATCTTCAGTTGCTTGCTAAGAAAAAGGACCAACCTTTTAAGGAACACAAGAAAATATCATTAGGAAATTCAAGAGCTTTGTGATATTTGTGTTTATAGGTGGTAAATAGTAAAAGATCAATTGATAACATTTATTATTAAAAAGAAAAGCTATTGACCCTGGAACTAACACCTCATCATCGGATAAACCACTGTTTCGACAGACCTATTGCTGCATGCCTTTCTTCTGTCTCACCATTGCTTAGTTCTGTCGTATGTAACTATATTCTCTGTATGATCTATTGTCACTTATTCTCGTGCCCAGCCATTATGTTCTTGTCTTCCTTCAAGAAAACCTTTTTTCCACACTGTCTTTTAGCGATTTCATCAATTTCCCTGCAAGATCCCCGGTCCTTTAAACGCCCCCTTTGTGGAGAGGCGAGCATATTGAGGGACTTCTCTGCCTCCTTCAGAACTGGGATGTGGTTACACCTTCTTATCTCTTGCTAAGACATTCAGTATAGTCTATCATTCAAAAGAAACAGTCCAGTTCTTATGTGATATACAAACAGCAGCTTATGTCAATTTTTTTTCTTTCCTTTTGCTCAAATGCCGTGATTTAATAGATGTTGTTTATTTTATGTTTTCCCAACCCATACTTCTCAATCGTGCCTTTAAGCTTATGATTTGTCTGAAAAGCATAAAGTCATGATATGCAAGTTGATAAACTAGTATCCAATCTTTTCTTTATAGCCCCACAGGTTTCCTTTTTTAGTATTTTCTGTTTCTCTCAGCTTCACGTTGGGCAAAAAGCTTGCACCACGAGCAGTTTCGTCTTATCGATAGGACCATGATAATTGCCAGTAACGCATGATAAGTTCTTTTACTGTTTGCATTGATATCAAGCGCTGGCTTATCAGTAAATATACTCGAGGGAATTCATCCTCCTTTTTTACAGCTGTTGGTTCAATCCCACGAACTTTTCATGCTTGTGAAAGGGATGAATGGCTTGTAATTTCTTATTTCGCTTATACTCCAAGCATTTGGATTAACTTTCTCACTGGTATAAAATAGATGAAGGCCATCACAAGGCGATGATGATAAATACATTCTCTGGGTAAAATAATGTTTTTATTATGAAGATGATGCTGACGACGACGACGATGGTAATGGTTTCCTGGCCAACTGCTGCTTTAGATACTCATTCTCTTTCTTCAAATGATCTCGTTCTGTACACAGCTGATTCACCGCTTGTTCAAGCAATAATTTCTCTAGACTCCACTTTTCCATCAATTCTGCCTCCTTTTGATTCATTTGATGTATATATTGTATTGTACGGTTTAACACGCTACTCTTATTCTTTTCACACCCAGGTACTAAAATAGCTAGCTCACTGATTCCTTTATTGATTGCTGTACGTCGACGTCTTTCCACTAATTTATGATTTTCTCGTCGTTTGTTAATCAGCTCTTGATCTTTTTGTTTGGGTGGTGTGGGTGGTAGTGAGGGACTGTCTTGACATCTACACGAATCAATAATTGGCACACAAGCATATATATACACACACACGAGAAGAAAATAGTCAAGACTTACTCTGTTGCTGATTGTTCTGTTTTACTCATTATTTAAGGAGGCAAAAAATAGAGAAGGGAAAAAGAAAAAGAGATGATATTACTATGCAATCATGTGATATATGCTGTTCTTGAAATCAAAACTGAGGAGGCCCATAATAAAAACCCGAATAGTAGGCCGATGAATGATTCAGAAGGTACACCTTTTCCTTTTTAAAAGGGACTCAATGCTTATTGAATGTATAGCGTTTCCCAAATAAACCTGAATTAACTTATCATCTAGGCTCCGTTTACATTATGTCTGTGCAAATAAGTGACCATGTTATTCAAAGTATCCACTGTATTCATTGATGAATGGATCGACGGATAAACTCATCAGAAGTTTTTATTCTGAGCCAGGAGAGGCAGATGTTGATTTTATAAACTGAAATTATGTTTGGTAACAGATCTTTGAATATTCTATTTCATCAATGGTTTTCGCCTACAGGTTTTTAACCTAAATCGAGACGATTAGAAAAATTGAACTGGAGATATGTAACAAAAAAAGAAACAAGTATTTCCTGCACGCAAACCAAAAAATATTTACCTGCATTAAATTGTTTAAGCGGTAACTTAAGCGGACAATTTTGTTCTCTTCTCTGTGAGGATTCATCGTTCGATATGTCGTTGATCTAACATGATTTGAATATTGATAGCATATGTTTGTAGCTTGATATAGCTGTTTTGTAAGGCAATACTTTTAGGAAAAATTGCATTTCTTAGATCTAGATAATATATTTCTTTTGATTCTTTTGTTTCATGGCTGTAGTAACTGTTTAAGACATCCTCAAAGGCTGATTTTGCTTAAATATACTCTAGGAATACGTCGGCATCCATTGCTGATGATCTTGTTTTACTTTGAATCTCCTCAGTTTAACCAACTTTTTCAGGCTTTGTCTTCTTCCTTTGTATTCTGAAACGTCGTGATTGCTTTGACCTACAAATGCTAGTGAATCATAATATTTGCTTATTTTCCGCCGTACTTATTTCTTTCATACAATAAAGTAAATCATGGCGGTTTAAACCTATCAAAACGCAGCTTCCGTTTGTTGAAAGAAGTTCGGTTCGAGTTAATGTTTCGATATGTTTAACATTATTATCATCCTCGATTTTTGTCTCTTTTGGTTTCTGCGATCTATTGTTGTCTGTTCCTGATCTTTTCCGAGATGTGTCAAAGTATTGCTTAATAATGGAGGCACCAATCCTATCTGTTTCAATGGTGCCTTCAAACTGTAGAGTTTTTCCTAGACCTTGGTTCTCTATGGCCGTCTTTCTAAATTAATAACTTTGCCCCAGATAGTTAACTTATTTTCCTTCTTGTTCTTGTATTTTAGGATATGATAGTTTACTATAGTTGCGTCTAAGGCCATGTATCCAAGGATGGACGAGCTTTGTAAAAGATACCATTGATAGTCTTTAATATATGTAAGCTTTTTGAAAACTATACTCGGTAGGGTACATTGAAAGCAGTTCTTTTACTTGATTCGTGGCATCAACATTCAAAATATCATCACTTGATATTTGCTACTTTGCTACTGCAAGCTTGACTTTCATACAAGTCAGCGTAACTGTTCTCTTGATAGTCTCTTGGATGACGTAGTCGGTGTATCGTTCTTCAGTCATTTCCTTGCGAAGACGGTTAGACTCTTCTTTTTTCTTGTATATACTGTTCAAAGACATCCGAAGTCTGTTACCAAACTAAGCTTTGATATTATTGAAATAAGCTGTTTGTATTTTGGTGCATTCATACAAGGCCATCTGTTGAGCATGCACAAGCTTGGGCGGTGTATAATTGACGACTTGGGCAATATACATCTTTGTGATTGCTATTTAATTGTCTATACAGACTGACAGGTGCACTGAGTTTTGATCTCCCCGTCTTACTTCCATCATGGACTAGTCTGTGAACAACAGATAAAAATACTTCAACAAAGAAGCCTTTTACAACGTAGTTGTTTAGGTCAAATTCATTGGTTTGCTCCATCTCATTTGTACAGATTGATGTTCAAACTTTTTGGAGACTTGCCAAGCAATGTGGCAACAAGATCAAACCAGATCAAAAGAATGATAAGGATTTAACTTTATGATACTTTAATGTCTTTGATTTTTCAAAAATAGACTACAAGATACTTGAGAGTTTGATCTCACGTTCCAAGAAGTTTGCGTACGTATGCTTACATGGCTTTTATTTTTGAGCAAAACAAATGTTGTCATTGTATAAATGTGATCACTACTGATGGTTATGCTGTATTCTTCATGCTTAAAAAGCTGTCTCCATACAAGATGAGCCTAGAAGAGAACCAAAGGCATCCAAAGATTTTGCTGATATAGTTGACGATGCAGAAATTTGGGCTGTTGATCCTGGTATATCAACTATCTTTACTGCAGTAGACTCTACAGAACACGAACGTATCCGAACAACAAGCTTGGAAGAATACTATCATTTGTGTGATTACAATCTTGCTACAAGAAGATGAAAAGAACACTAAGAGTATCATTTAGACGAATTTAAGTATATTAGTAAATTATCCACTTTAAAAACTGCAAACTTAACCTCATTTTTACTAGCTGCCTCTACATGTCTACAAAACTACCAAAGAATCTATAGCTACTACTATCAAAATAAATGGTATATCGCTCTCTTACATGGTGTGTATTTTAATAACGCTGTGTATGACATAGGTTTCAAAAGCTAAAGTTCAAGACGTGTATCAACAAGCAAAAAGGAACTCAAGAAATTGTTAAAAAACTCTTTGACAACAGCAAAAAGTATAACAAATCAAGTACAGTTGGCCCTAAAAACCAAAAACCAAACAAAAGCAAACATGTACCTCTACCTCCTGCTGACCTCCCTTCCTCTTCTCAACGAAAGCGAATCATTGCGTTCGGAAATGGTTCTTTTTGTTCAAGTATGAAAGGAAAACGAGCTGCGCTTACTAAACGTATTGCTGAAAAAATCAAGCGAAAATGCAAACAATCTAATGAGGGAACCGAATTTGTTTCGATTGACGAGTATTTAACGAGTCAGATCTGTAACAAATGCAAATCCAAACAATTAAATAATGTCTCAATTACCAGATCAGAGCGAAGAGTACACTCTATCCTCAAGTGTGATTCTTGTGGTACGGTTTGAAATCGCGATGTGAACAGTGCATTTAAATATATATAGTATCTTTGTTTACAAATCAAAACATGACAATGAAAGTCATCCCCTTTCAAAAGATCTTCAAAAGACTAACGGTGCTCCCTGGATTTAATGCGCTGTCCATAACGGTAGTGCATTCCCTAACGCCTCGGTGAGTATAAAATGAACAATACGCTATTTTTATTTATTATTCTTCTAGTTAAGTCTTATTTAGGAGTCTGCAGTGATATCAATCGAAATATCTACTTGAGCAATTGTCCGCAGATCTTTTGGCTTGTGGACACAAAGTTTTGAGGAAATATCTATTTCTTTTTTTGTTACATATGTCCAACTCAATTTTTCTAATCATCTCAATGTAGGTTAAAAATCTGTATTTAACAAAATACTCATCATTAAGCTACCCAATTAAGCATACATACAACCTGCTCCGCTGTTATGGTTACCATATTAATAATTAAAATCGACACAATAAAGTAATGGATGTGAAGAAACGAGTTCCTTATTTCGTACTTCTTCTGCTGCTCCATTCATACTTTATCTTTTCTCATCCACACTCTAATCGCCCTCCTCAACACATTCTTTCTCCTAACTATAGATTCATAAGGCTGACGGAGCAAAGATGACAAACCTAAGTTTAAGACAATTTGATCCAGAAACATTGTATCAGGAGGGCAAATTGATTTCCATCAGTGATGAACAAAGTGAGAGAGGAAAGAGGTAAATTAGGTGTAAAATAGTTTGAGGATCAACAGGATATCAATAATCAAGAAACGTAAGGGAAATCATGTAGAAGTCGGGCTTTTTTTATTGTTAAACTGCGACCTACTTCCGAATTGGCAGGGTGCGACTTGTATTTTTGTTGGCAAACACATTTTTTTTTTCTCTCTCTTTCCACTTTTTATTAATAAAAGAAAGATGTCAATGAAAAAGCTCCAAGGTAAACAAGTGATTCACTTGATAAGCATTTGTTTATTAATATTGTGATTTTAAAGCCGAGATCGACAGAGTATTGAAAAAAGTAAGCGAAGGTGTTGAAACCTTTGACAGCATTTACGACAAGATTCAATCGACCAACAACACAAACCAAAAAGAAAAATATGAACAAGACTTGAAAAAGGAAATCAAGAAACTGCAGCGACTGCGTGATCAAATCAAGACATGGCTTTCTTCAAACGACGTCAAGGATAAATCAGCACTACTCGAAAACAGAAAACTGATCGAATCAGAAATGGAGCGGTTCAAAACAGTCGAACGTGAAATGAAGACAAAAGCATTTTCAAAAGAAGGCTTGTTGCAGCGAGAGCGATTGGATCCTAAAGAAAAGGAAAAAGCAGACGCTGTCGATTGGATCACAAATACGGTAGATGAATTGTCTCGACAAATCGAATTTGCAGAAGCTGAAATTGAGACGATGCAAGGGACAACAAAGCGAGGGAAAAAGGATCACGCAAAGGCAGAGAGGATTAGTGAATTGGAACATTTTATCGAAAGGAATCGATGGCACACGAATCGATTGGAGCTCGTTCTGAGGTTATTGGAAAATGGCCAACTATCCGCAGAGAAGGTAATACAATGGTAAACATTTGCTTTTATTCATCCCTCTTTTTTTTAGGTTGTAGGAATTCAGGATGATGTGCAGTATTATCTTGAATGCAATCAGGTATAGCGAAAGAAAAGAGGCGTTTTAATCTACGTCTATTTACTTTATTTCTTTTGAAGGAACCTGATTTTGAAGAAGATGAGTATATCTATGACGATCTGAATCTAGAGGCAGAAGAGGCACTGTATAACGTTCGTACAGAGGATCAGCTCACACCATCTGTGGAAGGTATATTGTCATTTTACCCTTTAAAACAATATCTCACCTTTTATTAGAGGATAAGCAGGTAAAGGAAGAAGAACCACCAATAAAGCCAAGTAAGGCGCCAGCGAGTAGTAAGGAGATCAACTGTTTTTAAAAAAGCGAGATACTTAATAAATATTGATAGTAAAACCAGCGTCAACGCCGCAAAGGCAAAACTCGTTACCGACAAAGCCAGCAGAGTCGCCCACCAGTACTCCCAAGTATGCACAGGCTGCTGCTACCGTTGCTCCAACCGTTGCTCCAACCGTCCCTGCTACGATTACTACTGTAGATGAGAATAAAGGTAACGAGAAATTCTTCTTTTGTTGGAACCAAACAAGGAAAAAATCAATATACTCATATCAATATAGAAAAACCTGCCGAGCCAACCAAGGTGATCTCTGCTTGGGCAGAGCCTATCAAGATTGTTGAGCAACCAAAGCAATCACCACAACCGCTACCACAAACACAGCCACAACAGCAACAGCAACCCCAAGTACAACCATCACAACCATTACAACAACAACAACAACAACAAAGCACGCCTGGTGCGCTGCCAAAAGTTGTAAGTCAAATATTTCTTGAGAATGCATTCAACTAAGATTTGTCAATATAGCCCAAAGAAGAACTACCGCTTCCACCATCCCTGGCGGACCTAGCATCTTCATTCGAGGCTATCAAGAGCCGAACCCAGGATCCGCAATACACAAACCGTATGCTCGAGTCCAGTTTACAATTTGTACCTGACCTCATTGACTCTGAACGGTAGCACTATAAAATGACATAGTGTGCTTATCTAATCTTTTTATTTGCTGTAGACCGAAAGTGTATCAGCCTCAAACACCGCAGATCACACCATCTTACTACCCACAACAGCCCTTGGCTATTTTTGAGAACCCGAGCCTTTTTGAAAAATTTGATATGGATGCATTGTTTTTTATATTCTATTACCAACAAGGCACCTATCAACAATATTTGGCAGCGAAAGAGCTCAAGAAGCAATCATGGCGATTTCACAAGAAATACCTCACTTGGTTCCAACGACATGAGGAGCCCAAGGTGATCACGGACGACTATGAGCAGGGCACTTATATCTATTTTGATTACGAAAATGCATGGTGTCAGCGTAAAAAGACAGAGTTTAGATTTGAATATCGGTACTTAGAGGATGCTTAAATAAAACTATACTTTTTTATTATTATGATTATTGCTGTTGTAGTTGCTGTGCTGGTAAAGGTTTGGGCTTTTGCTTCTTTTGTGTACGTTTCAGACCAGAGCCTGCACCAGTGGTAGGTTCATTTGATTTTGCGACATCGTTCAATCGACGTTCCTCGGCCTCCATGGCACGTCTATATTGACCATCGATTAAGGGCTTGAAGGATTTGGAACGTGTTAGACCAAAATTGGTAGCACGTGGTTTACGAATATCAATATCCATTTCTGGTAACCACCAAGGCAATAAAGGCATCTGATCACGGAAGAAGTAACATGCACCGTGAAGGTACTTACTGAACCGAGGCACTTCATGTACCAGATGAGAATCGACAAGCTTGGTGAGCCATTCTGGAGGTTGTTGACCGAGATGAGTCTGCAGCTTGGTTTCCAAGACAGCGTAAGGGAAACGACAGATTTCTTTTTCGTCCAACTGGGGGAAAGGATAATCGATGCCTACATCAGGACGACGCCAGACGTCGTCGTTTTCCCTACGGATCTTACCATCTGTGTTATCTTCGCGAATGAAACAGAGGTCGGTGTCTAAGCTCACTCGGACACGTTGGTCACCGGGCAGCTGGAAGGCTGTACGGTTGTAGAATGCACGCAAGATAGGTTTCAAGTGCTTTTCTTTGAATGATTTTTGAACGCCACTGGCAATGAAATGTGTATCTTTACAAATCTTTTCATCCACGCCCTTTTCCCTTAAACGATCTGCAATTTCATCTGCTGACAACTCACCCTTGACAAATCTGTGAACGTCATCTACACTCAATCTAAAACGATCCTTGACGGAGGCGCCATCTAACCAGGATGCATGGTGGGTCTTGCGCTCGATAAAGATGTTTGGGGATTCCATAGGACCATACCATCGGAAACGAATCGCCTCGGCTCCCTCATCACGCTGAAGACGACCAGTATAAAGATCAAAATCTTCGTTATCATAATAAACACTGGAAATTGCACTATCGCTCGCTTCGTACTTTTTGTCCTTGTTGAAAATCAAGACAGGTAAGTGAAGCATGATGATGGACTTGACCTCCGTGACATTGTCGGGGTGAATCCAGTACTTGGCTGTCGCACGTTCAAATGCGTTCTGGTCTCCACCTGCTGCTGCGTTACCTGTACGGGGTCTGCCTTGAAGACGACAAAGATCGTGGAGAGCAGAGATATAGACAATAGCCACATCGAATCGTTGCTTGTCCAGAGGCTTGGCTCGTAATTGGGGAATAAAGTCTTGTTGTAAGTGAAGACCAGTCCATTTATCATGTTTCTTGAGGATTTTTTGGAAACCAATATAGTTCAGACGGGTAAACTTGGCCAAATCGTTCACATCGAACAGAACCTCGGTTAGTGCGTCGTCCATAATATTCCAGTTTTGCTCAGAGGACCAAGAAGGGTTATTCATGAACGTCTGAAGTGTACGTTCACAATAGCTGATACGAGCCTCTACTTCAGCTAATTTGGCACCAATAAAGTCATATACTTTTTCTAATTCATTCTCTAGTAAATGAATAAAGTCTTTTTCGTCTTGTTCTGTCCAGCCATGGTCGAGCTGTCTTGCTTTCAGCTCGGTCTTTAGCACGTCATAGTTAATATAGGATAGACGCCAGGGAGCAAAGATGCCCTTCTTTAATTGTTCTGCGAATTTCATGTTTTTTTATTTGTAAAAAGGAAGACCAAGAAAATATTAAAAAAGTAAAAAAAGAATACTATTACCTGGCAACGAACCCAGCCAATGAATTTAATGCCAGCAGTACCGTGATGTTCTATATATAGAAACAATATCAAAAGAAGAATTTGCCATGGAATCAAGGGTAATTGTTTTATCCGGTTTTATATTAAATAATCGTTTAAAAAAATTACTGCTGGCGTGTTTGGTTATTGGTCCCTAGGTATGTTCCCGGTGTTGAAGGATGCTCCCAGCGCAAAACAAAATTGAGCTATTAATAAGTTAACTGAAACGTTGTTATCTGACTTTTTTTTAATATATTTACCACCATTGCAGCCACAAGTAAGCAACATAATCCAAATGGACCAAACAGGTCATCATATCGCATATGAGGCGTATTATGGATCTGATATGCTCTATATCTATATCTACCAAACGCATATAATGCAATGACTGCTGCAATTCCAAAGAATGTACTACCAGCAATCATACTGATATAGTCACCGAAATTGAGTAGCGTCAAGGCAGCTGTCAGGATTAACATTGAAAACTTTAGCCAATCGATAAATGTACGTTCATTTGCAAAAAATATTTTAGGTTCCAGCGTTGATTGCTTTTTCTTCTTCTTCTTTGGCTTCTCTTCTTCTCCTTCTTCTTCTTCATCATTTCGTATAAGCGCATACCCTACAGATTGGTTGTTTCGGCCTTGATAATATGCATCTTTAAATGATGATGATGTATTCCAAGTAAGTGTCGACGCCATCGAAAGAGTGACTTTACCTTCGGAACCGTCGATTTCCTTTCCCGACAATGGCGGTACCCAAAGGGCAAAAGCAGGCACTTGATGATTACATAACCATGCTGGTAAAAGCATCAGTTGTTCAAAATATAATCTGGCGATGCCATCTATAAAAATGGAAAAACGTGGCACGGGTTGCAATAGATCGCCAGGTAATAGCCATGACAGATCTGTATTACTCTTTATTTCCAAAAGAGCAAACGGGCAAGACACCCTCTGACACCACGGTATGCTGTACATGACGTCAGTATAGAGTGATACAGATAGCCCTGTACTATGGTAAGACAATTGACATTGATAATCGGCCCAAAGCTTTGGTCTGAGTTCATCTGTTATCTCTTCACCATGAACCACGGTTGCATCTTCATCACGCTCAAGCAATGAGGTGTAATGTGAAAAGTGATTGTCGTCTGCAAAAATCGATGTGACTGTACGTTTGTCCGTGCTGCACTGCGGGTAATGGAATATGAGAATAGCGTTGATCTCTTCAATATATTCAGGCTTCAGCAAATAGTATTGAGCTTGTTCATTTGCATCATTTTTTGAAAGAAGCATCAATTTACTGCACAATGTATCTAATCGTTGGGTATCCAAGCATCTTGCTTCCACTAACAATGGACACTTTAGAGACAAAAGTGTGTCATGCTCTTGTATCAACTGCTCAATCGCTCCGTAGTTCACTCGAATAAATTTGGCTAGTTCTCGCAAATCAGCCATGATATCAATCCATTCTTTATTAATATCGACATATGGCTGTGACCTTTCGCAGTAGGCTATCCTAGCTTCCAACTCCCTTTCTTTTCTACGAATGAAGAAATCCACCTTTCTAATTTCCGTTTTTAGTACGACTAAAAAGTCTTGCTCATCTTTGTCCTTCCATTCATCTGCATAATGATATAATCCTTCATGAATTACTTCATAAGCAATGTATTCAATGGACCATGGAGGATAAATATTGGAGCAAAAGGTATCTAAAAACATAATGTAAAAAAGAAAAAGGATGGAAGAAAGGGCTGCATAAACGCTTGGAGTTATTATTATCAATCGTTGTTTTTATTTATCCGGTTTCAAAGCTTTTGAAAAATCAAATAGACAGCGTGAACAATAGGCACGAAATCATCAATTGTTTCAATATCAATCATTTCTTCCTCTTCTTCTTCCGATCTTGGTTTCTGTTGACGATCCTTGGAGTACCCATCAGGCACGGTGACCACGAGCTCCTTGAGTCGGATATCGTCTCGTCCGACTGCCCGTTCAATGTCCTCTAGGATAAGCATTGACATCGGCCACAACTTGCCGCTGATTGGATCGCGAATATCTTGAGCACCAATGATAAGCATACCTTTGGGCGCTAAGCGCTGAACGGCTTCTTTAGCAATATCAACTAGTGTCTGTCGATAGGAATTGATGTACCGCGGTAGAATCTGCTGATGACCGACAATCATCAAGACCAAGTCGCTTTCGACATAGGGTGATTTGCTCATCATGTTTTCATAATGAATAATATCATCGGATTTCTCGCTTAGTTCAGATATGAGGCCCTAGCGCAATCAGATAAGTTTATAGAAAAAAGGCCAAAAAAAAGTAAATAATTACAAGCTTCAAGAGTGTCTTGTTGTTTTCTTCAATTCTTTTTAGTCGTTGTCGCTCATAGTCTGATATTTCTTCTTGTTCTTCATTCGTTTCATTGTCCTTTTCCAGCTCGGCTAAAGAAAAAGTAAGTCTAATCATTGAAGATCAACAAGACAAAATACAAACCTGGTTTCATAGGCTGTTGTTTTTGATGAGGCTCCTAAAAGGATTTATAGAAATGAAAATGCATGTAAAGCTCATCTTATATGTTTTACCTCTAGATCAAGCTCTATATGTTCCCAGTTACCATCATCCTTACCAAATCTCTCAACCATTCTCGAGATGCACAGCTGATCAAATCGAAAAGAATCGGTAGGCTTAAATACCCAAACGGTGCCCATCACTACGCTCTTTCTCATGATGGCCGAACTAGGCACACCACGAAGCGTGCGCTTGGTGGGAATACGATCTATAAGAGGGATATTAGTCTACTGCTGTAAGAGATAAACAAAACAATACGTTGATCCTCTTCGTTAATCAACATGCGATCAATGTTCTCTTTGGGTATCTTTCGGAAAGTGCAAATGAATTCGTGCGTAAATACTAAAAAGTCGAATTGTACACAAAGATAAGTGCCTAACCCAAATGCTGAGCAGTAACGCTGTCTCTTGATGATCTATCCTCTAGCATGTTAACCCCTTCAAGTGAAGAGAGCAAAGGTTAACTTACCAATTCTTCAAGTTCGAAACCTTCATCGATGTAAAGTCTAAACATATGATATCCAACGGGTATATAAAAGCAGTGTTCTCGGTTATCACCAATGCCCAACGTCAATCTTCGGCTCATCTTTAGTAACCTAGAACAAAGAATGAGATACTGTCTAGGGGATTAACTCTATGATTTACCTCCAGCTTTCGCTCACAACCTTCGCGTATTCTTTATTGAATTCTTCAACAGTTGTGAATCTGTTCAAAAGTTTAATTAAACTTCGCACACAAAGAAGAAACACACATACCTTGAGAGATCTCCATCCAAGTGAGTTGAATATGTAACACAATCCTTGTATGGAGGATGCGAAAGGATATGATGAAACGACTCGTCTGTGAACAACGCGCCTGTTAACTGCCGAGAATCAGCTTGGGCAATAATAGGTCGGTACTCGGCTGAAGTGAGCCCAGGAGGCACTTCAAAAGCACAATTGCGTTGAGATAGCGAGATGGCAGCCTAGAAAAAGAAAAATCAGTAGGATTAATCACAAGTATTTGTTTGAATCATACAGGGTTGATATCAACGCCAATGCATCTGACAAACGTGAGCAAATATGTGAGTGAGTAGATCATACATATGTAAAGAATGATGTACCTTCGCTGCAACAAGAAGCATTCAATAGCATCTGTACCTCTACCTAGAAAATTGGATAAAATTCTTTCATCTTTAGCTGTATGCTTTAGAATCGCTCTTGTAGATGTGTGAGTTTAATATAACATTCTGCATTTCTAATCTTACCGACGAACTGTCTGAGGGAGCCATGTTCCTATAACAATAAATTACATTAATTCTTACAATTGATCAACCTACAGGGGCGTTCTTACCATGATAATCAGTTCCTGAATGAGTAGCCCATCGTGGAGCACGCCCGGGAATATCAAAATAAGTCGACTCAAAGGCGAGTGAGAACAGTTGGTTTGGCTGTGGCTCATACGAAGTCAATCTCTGTCCGACAACAGCAGCTTCGCTATCGATTTTGATCGCTGCTTCTCTCGTGAAATAAGGTTTATGTGAGTAGTCTTCAATCGAAGTCATGTACTGCTGCTCAGCGTTGTGAATTACAAGCGGCATGTCACTTGTAGGTCGCTCGTCGTTATCTACCATTAGAGCCAATTCAAAGCAAGGATTGCACATCATTACACCACCATCGTATGCTTTTCTCCAGCTCTCTGCTTCTGTTGTGCCGCAGTAGCAGCAGGAGATAGGTGCAGATCCATCAGGTAACTTGCGGCGTTTACGAGGGAATAGCAACTTCTTCTTCTTTGCATCTAAAGATTAATCCATGATTAATACAACAACAAAAGCCCATAAACAAAGATAATTACTAGCTTCGCGTGCTTCTTCTTTCTTTCGGGCAGCTTCTCTTGCCTTTTGTGCCTCCATTTCCTTGATGATAGCAAGGGCTAAAATATAATGTTAATGACATATATCACCAGCAGGTGAGCATATTACATGTTTCTTCAAAATCGTCTTCATTATGAGGATGGTCCTCTGGGAATTTTTCAAAACACTGCATAAGTCATTAGTCACACCTGAGCAGCAGTGAACGGTTATATATAATTACCCCATTACATAGGTCAAACGATGAGAAATAACTGGAAGATGAGCAAGGTACACAAGTGAACCAGGACTCTTCTTCCATCTTTTTGCCACATCCGTCGCAGTTGAACACATTCACATAGGTATCTGCAATAAAGTGTTTAATAAAACAAGAAGGTTAATACATGCTTTTGTATATTACCTTTCTTATTGTAATAAGCTTCATGAACCGAGCACCAGAATATGACGCCGCTCTTGAAGTAACTCACAGGCTTTTGTGAACAAGGCAAGTGGAAACTCTTGGAGCACTTTGATTCAAAGCAGCCTATTGTTGCACCCTTTTCTTTGCATACATAACAACGCTATAAATAAGAAGAGATGTCAATTCCATCCTTTTTTCCTTTTGTTATGCTACTCTACCATGCCTCTGCCACGTCTAAGAGCCAGAGTGACATTGTACCATTTACCTTCAGGCGTACAAAACACTTCAGGCGAGTACCTTGCACAAGCATCATGTGCCCAAAATGACCGTTTCTTTTCAACACCATTCTTATTGTATGTAGCAATGATAAACGGGCCAATAAAAGAGCCCAAGTCTTCAGACGTATCATCGTCATCGTTACAGAATGCGCATACTTTTCTTCTCTTCCATCGCTTTAGAAACTTGTAGCCTTGATCGCCCTCTATTGCTGTTTCGCCTGTGAAAATACTACTAGCATCTTGCTCTTCTTGCTGGTGCTCCTCCTCTAGCACATCCTCTTCCCAGACAGTGACAAGTTCTCCCTTGATCGGCCTGGGGCCTGCTTCAGCGTCAATGACTGCTTGAATAGCAAAACTGGAGCGAGGGTGTTCATGCCAGAATGGGAAGTTTTGATCAAAGCATCTAACAAGAGTATACAAATGGTTTGATGCATATCAATTAGTAAATATGGTATTCATACCTCAGACAAAGCTCAAAGCTGCGATAGTCATAGCCAATAGATGGGTTTTCACAATATGTACAGTAGTACCTAAACTGCTTAATGACTACATTACATTGGTTACAGTATACTTTCCATGAGTCCATTTCAACCACTATACCAAATGTATCAACTTTTATTCTATATACTAATCGTTATTTATGTACCTTCTATATTCTCCTCTTCTTCGTTAGGTTCCTTGTGATATTCTCCTTGACCTTCTTCCTCTTGTACATCATCTAATGTAAGCCTCTTTCTGTTCAATTTCTTGGGAGCTGGCTGGAGCTGGAGCTGGTGCTGGCATTCAGTAGAGCCGTCCTGCATTATCTTTTCATAGCGCTCTTGGTAATCTGGTTCAATACATTCTACTTGATGGTCATTTTCTATAGGCTGAATGCGCCTACTTCCAACCGTGATGTATTCATCGAATATATCTGGCCAGCCACAATAGTGTACCTTGACCTTATTTTTATGCATAGAAACCAGCCTTGCTTCATACATTTTCTTGTCCAAGTTAAGGACCGTCACGTGCTGCATGTAGTCATAGCCATACACATTTGCCACGAATTCATATTTTTCTGAAGCTTTAGCTTGAGCCACTCGAAGTGAAATGATCTGCTTCTCTTCTTCGGCGCCAGCAGCTGTAGCAGGATACTCTGCGACCTTTTGTTGTTGTTGTAGCTGTTGCTTTTGCTTAACTGCCTTTTTCTTTTTATTTTTGCTTGCTTTTCTGCTTCTCCTTCTGATATTCGGCTCCTCATACTCCTCCTCTTCTTCCTCTGAGCTTGAACTATCACTTTCGACAGGTGCTACTTCCTTGCTCACTTTTTTCTTTTGTTTAATCACTATTTGTTCGCTCTCCAAGAGACCTAATTTTGCATAGTCTTCGGGCCGAATGACTTGATGCTTTCGCTTACGCTTCACCTCATCCTGGACTTCCGGATTTGCCTCTGCAACAAGCAACTCGTTATGCTTTTTCTTGTTTTCTTCTTCTTCCTTGGACAAGATACGTATACGGCGACTGCCCACCATAACCCATTCGTCATAGGCCTCATCCCAGCCATCATAGTGTACCTTGACTTGACCAGGCCGCATCGCCACAAGCCTTCCGCATTCCCAAAAATGCGTTTTACCCGACCTTGTATTCAAGATCTCTACAGGCTGATTATAAGTATAGTTGTAAGGATTTGGGACAAATCCATTTTCATCTTGTAGCTGTCGCATCGCTCTACGTGTGGCAAAGGCGCCAGTTGTAAGAAAAGAAGATTCTGCAGGCTTTTGAGGCTCTTTCTGTTGTTGTTTTTCTTGACGCGTTTCTGGCTCGGGCGTTGGAGTTTTTGATTTTGCTTTCTTTTGACGTAATTTCTTTGTCTTTGGCTCTGGTGTTGACTCTTTGGGCGTTGTCTCTTTTGGCTCATCTTCTGCTTTCTTCTGTTCGTTTACTGCTGGTACTTCTTGAACGTCCAAGTCGACCTGCTGCTTATACTTTTCTTCTTCCTCTGATGACAATAATCTCAACCGACGACTGCCTACGCGAATCCATTCTGATTGATATAAGTCAGGATACCAGACACGGACCTGATCGTCACGCATTTCTCTCAAAAACCCAATACATTCTTTGTTCTTGACATTAAAGGCGACGGCTGCAGCTCGGTTGCGTCGATAGCCAAATGAGTTGGGTCTAAATCCGTATTCGTCTACCATGGCGCGTGCCATACGACGGGTCATGAACACTTCGTTATCGTTAAACAGCTGCTGTGGATCCTTATCCAGTGTTGAGCTAACATAGTCATCGTCTCTACCCTTGGCACGAGGAATAACTGTCAATCCATCCTTCGGGCTGTCTTTTTCCTTATTTTCTTCTAAATAAAAGGTTGATAAATACACATATAACATGTCTAATTATAAAATACCATCTCTTTCTTTCGCAATCACATCAGGAGGCACGATACGTAGTCTTCGACTTCCCATAATGATCCATTCCTGGTCATCCCAGTCGCTATATTTGACTTTTACCTTTCCCTTATCCATTTTCTCAAGCGTTCCACGATACCATATACCGTTAATATTCAAGACTTCAACAACTTGAAGATGTACGTATCCATATGGGTTAGGATAAAATCCGTTCTCTGGATCAGCCAAGGTCTCTGCCGTCTTTCGTGTCATGAATGCGCCGGTTGATACAAATGTCTCCATCTTTTTATTTGTTGATTGGGAATGGCGTGACTGAGTGGGAGGAATGACTGATTTCTTTCCTCTTGTACGTTGCTGTGGTTGCTTCTCTTTTTTCATACTTGGCTGTTCCTGAATGCTCTTATCCAATTTGGCCTTTTTCTTCTTGCCTGCGCTTGTATTGACTGCCAAGCTTTGAATTTTTTCTAAAAGATCACCTAAAAGAATCTTCCATTGATCTGTGCAAGTTGAGCAACAATGAACAGCATCCATAGGACCACGATCTTTGTCATTCAATTGAGCGCATGATTCACACTCTTGTTCTTTCTTATCGTTGGTCAAGTTCATCCATGGTCCCAGTACATCATCATCTGACTGTAAAGTATCCAAAGAGGTTAATGATTCCGAGTCATCATCGAATAGATCAATTGGATCCTCTCCCTGCTCTTCCAAAGATGGTGCTTCCTTTTGTGTCACCTCGTCTTTTTTCTGTTCCTCTTCCTGCCCAACATCCCATCGCGTCTTTTTCCCGTTAGATAACCTGTTTTCTTTCTTGCTACCGTCTGGTAAATACTTGAAAGTAAACTTGGCATCGTCATTCGAATCCTGTAGTTTGTTTTTTCGAACGCGGAAGAGGTTAACAAAAGGTTCCTCTGTCAAAGTTGACTGTTTGTTTGTGGGTTTACTGTTATTGTTGTTACTTTTTAGCAGTAATTTGCCCATAAATGTATCGAATTTTTTCTTGTCCGGTGCATTTTTCTCGGGCTATGTTTGTTATTAAAAGATAAACAGAGGTTAAAACACTTACAGGGTCAGTCCGAGTCTCGAGTTTTAACTCTAAAGAAAAGGTTTGATAAACCTGCACGCTTTTTAATAAGACTGCCTTACCTTCAGTAGTGCCACAGTTTTGAAATAATTGCCAAGCAAAAGGCGTGCTCGACATAGTATGGCGTCTAGTAGAAAAAAGGAACCAAAATATGAAATGAAAAAACCAAGTAGAGTATCTGAAACTTTCAGACTCAACCCTGACTCAAAAAAAAAAAATATCTATCGGAGGTCAAAAACCTTGATAGATTTCATTCTGAAAAAGTATCTTTTTGTCTGTCAATCTAAAAATGCATAGACTCGTCTGTACAGTGCGGCTGATAAATGTGGTCCGCTTTGAAAAAATATATGTCGCCTTTCTTTCCGCTTTCCATCACTTTTGATACTTTTATCTTAATTAGAAAGTGCATCCATACTAGCCAACGTTGAAACAACTACAAACAGAACTCTCTGCTATCAAGGCTGAAATAGCTCGGCTCCAGCAACAAAACGCCTCTCTCTGTGAGCGTCTAACTCTAGTTTGCCCTGTCACTGTTCTAGAAACCGACTTCCTGTCTAAAGAGATAACAAGGTACCCTTTTTTTAGTGAATATTATTACTAGAGCTCTATTGAACACAGAGGATGACTATATTCCGGAATCTACGGAAGCCTAATGGAGTACACAGTGATGTAGTCCTTACTCTCAAAGCAGCGAACACAGGCCCCTTATAATAATAGAGCACCAACGTACTGTAGACAAAGAATTCATGAAAAGGGCTATAGGATACTGTCTTCAAGCGAGCAAGAGGTTTGGTGCGGACCCGATTATTTTAATTGTATGCGTCGAATCAGTTGAGGTTTCTGTAAAAGAATCCTTTAGAAAATGTGACAATTTGCCTTGTTATACAGACTTGTGTGATTTGTGAGCAGATCAGTTCTATACTTTCGACAAGAATAGCATACAAGATGATACTATCAAGGGCTCTGAATTTGACCCACTTGTTGCTTTCGATATGTTCTTTACAAATCAGGCCACATCCATCGATCTGGCCCCAAGAAACACAGATTCAATTATGAATATGTTGTATCGAATGTCTCTTGATGTTTACGGAAAGGCTCTTGAACAAGACGTTCAGTCGTTAAAAGAACTAAAGCGGCTGAACGATACCTATTACGCTCAGTATGAAGAGATCCTTAGCCTTTTGAAGGGCAAGAGTACTTCAAAAAGCAGCACTATAGAATACATGTCACAAGCTGCTAAATACAACAAGCAACAAAAAAGAAAATCAGATGAGCTCTTTACAGAAGATGACATTGAGGGGTATCAGAATGAGCGTCCCAGATGTCAGAGGACTACAACTGACTCAAGTGTTACATTCCAATTGACGTTGAAATACAAGTCAAATATTGAATCGGAAGCATCAAAATCATCGACATCTAGACAAAGATCAGATGTGAATAACAGCACAAGCTCTACTATAGTTCCAATTTCAGCTGAAGATACAGATGGAAGCAGTGCTAGTGTTGTAGATAGTATTGATGCACATAGTATATCTGAGATTGATGAATATGATGATATTGGTTTTGATGTCACTCCTGATATAGTTGATAATGAACAAGCAACGACTTCTAAATATGAAGAAAGAATGGACTTGAATGTCGTCCCTAATGTAACGCAAAAGACGCTGAAAATGGCATCTCGGTGGAACTCAACCCTGACAACTTTAGGTAATTTATCAACGACCGTTGATTCAAGAAAAGGAAAAGGCAACAAAATCAAAAAAAAAAGTATATAAACCCAAAACTCTCTCATTCAAAAATGAATCAGTCAGCAATTCACCATTAATTTTATTTTTATTTTTATACAATAAACAGGCAACCTTTTGGTTATAAAAGTTTCTGATCTCTTTTCTTTCTATCTTTTACTTTGCTTTGTACGACACAGTTTGATCTGCTTTAAAAGATTTAGTGGTCACATCAAGCACCCTTTATCACATAATTCAAGAAAAGCTCTCTTACTCAACAATAACCTCATTAATTCAATCTTAGTTGCCTCCATTTTGACTTCAGATGTGGTGCTGTTCACCAAAGAAAAAATTGAACCCATTATACGTTGGCTTATCTTCTTCATGAGGAGGTTTGAAGAAAGATCGTTCGAAAGTGTCTGCCGAAAGACTCCAATTTGCATTTTTTTTTTTTTTTTCATGTTGTTTATCTTATGTCACAATTGGACAGCTTTCGTGCTTGATGCTGAACGAAGCGAGTAAGTTCCATATATCTGTGTGTCGATTACAGCCTCTTGCGCTTGTTTGACAATATTTGCTACAATGCTTGGTTGAATGGATTGTACTTTGCTGGAATTGTTAACGTATGCTAGGAACACTACATGTTCGTCTGAAAGCTCTGATTGCAAATGTCCTGTTTTTTCTATGAAGGTGAATGGCGTATGTACAGGTCACGTTAACTTTTGGGATAAGGTGCCCAGGCTTGGGTGTTTTTACTGAACTTCCTTTGGCGTTCTAATGAATGGTGTAAACCAGGTGAGATTCGCCTGACTATCAAACTTGAAGTGGTCATGGCGTGTTTGCAAGGCACCGATATCAGATCTTGGCCTTCACATCGTTGCAATGCATAGTAAAAGAATGGCCTTTTGTTGTAGCTTGTCGATAGTAAGAGAACTATTGTCACTGAAATTGGCTGCAATATAACTTTGTCAAAATGGGCGATCCCCAGGCTTCAATTTGTGTTTGTTGTGGTAACTTGGCTAACATTTTTAGTTTTGCTTGAAAAAAGTCTTGAGTAATGATATTACTTGAAACTGGAGGCATGTGTTGACATAAGACACGGAAGACAGAAGCGACTGCTGTCCGGTAGACCTTTGGCTGCTGAACGGAGTTACGATTGGTGGTTCATAAAGAATCGCAAAACATTTTTGGGTTGTAGACTAAGGGATCGACTTTCGGTTCTTGCGAGATACACCAAGGCAACCATTTTTTCCATCTATAGTTATACGCTCGAAACGCACGTTTCCGTTTACGTTGGCTCAAAAAGAAAGAGATGTTCAAGTCGACGCCTATACTTGCATGGCATTATTTGATAACATCCAGCGGACAACGTCCAATGCTTGCTCATTCTCATCACAATTGGTGGCAAGCGTGTGGTCCGTATGATCATAGGATGCAAGTACTGTGCTGTCCACAGTGGTGCCACCAGTATTGCTTGTTGGATGTTTTTTGAAATCAGTTTCCATGGTGAGTGAGGGATACTGTATTTTTATTAATTATTGATTTTAATTTTATAAAATATTGTAGTAAAAGTACGTGCAAAAGGAGACAAATAGCAGATGTAAGAGACGGGGCACAAAAGAAAAGCACCAAGGAGAGAATGCATATGAATAATTGTACAGCTAGTTGCGTAAAAGAGTTGTTATGTGTGTAATCTACCCCAAAGCATCCAGATGTGTCCTAGCGATAACTAGGACGGAGAACCATCATCTATGCGTATTCTAGTTCTTGGTTGCTCCTAATCACCTGCTTTTCTTCGACATACTGTAGGAGCAACAGCAATCCAGAGAAACCTATGAGGAATCATATCATTATGTTGAAGCTCTCAAAGGATGTGCATGTAGTTGAGGCAAGCAGCAACGTCCCTGCTCCATAAGCGATACCCATCTAGAGCCGTCATGGCGAGTCTACAATATAGATGGGTACATATACAAAGTAGTGTTCAATTAGTATAAAGTCATTCAAGTGGTTAATGTGTTATTACCTTAAAAGTTCATGGAAAACAACCGTAGAATGCCACTCACATCTCTACGGTCGCAGATTTAGAACACGATGGAGCATGTAGAGGCTTTCGTTGTGGTAAGTTGGACAGTACCTACTGGCCTTGTACACATCTATAAGATAGACTGGGAGTCCTTGCTTCTTGAGGAGTGATAGGAAACCAAGGTCACGGATAGGCTCGTTCTCGAAATGAAATCTTGAAAAAAAGTTCACTGCCAGAGCACTGACAGAGCATACTTCAATGTCGTGATATCGAACAGACGAGCCATATTCAATCTTGCCATGCTGACTAGTTTTTTCAAAAGTGATAGTTGTAACCAAAGCAATGCATCCTGATATTCCTTGATTTTCTAGTACAAGCGAGAACAGATCAGCAAACTGCATCCCAAGCGCTGTTTGGCTACCACAAAGCATGGCATGACTGATCAAAAAGCAGAGTTTGTCTCTACAGCCAAGAGGGCCATTCTTCTCAGCCAAGAAATAACTACTAACTTTTTTCATCTCTTGTTGGTGTATTCAGCGTCACGATGGGCAACAAGATCAAAATCGCTTCGAAATCCATTGTTGTAAAGTGCTTGACGTAGTATCTGTATCGAGAAGGGTGTTTCATAAGTAGCACTAAGAGACATTATAGCTTTAGGATAATCCTGGATACTATTCTTGTCGAAAGTATAGAACTGATCTGCTCACAAATCACACAAGTCTGTATAACAAGGCAAATTGTCACATTTTCTAAAGGATTCTTTTACAGAAACCTCAACTGATTCGACGCATACAATTAAAATAATCGGGTCCGCACCAAACCTCTTGCTCGCTTGAAGACAGTATCCTATAGCCCTTTTCATGAATTCTTTGTCTACAGTACGTTGGTGCTCTATTATTATAAGGGGCCTGTGTTCGCTGCTTTGAGAGTAAGGACTACATCACTGTGTACTCCATTAGGCTTCCGTAGATTCCGGAATATAGTCATCCTCTGTATTAAAAAGAACTCTAGTAAGGATTGAAGAATTGACTGATAGCTTCGAATTGGAAACGAACGATGAGTGAACGACAACTTTCAATGATAAATAAGAGGTAAAGAGAAAAAAGAAAAAATATTAATATACAACAAAAATATATGGCTGTCACTCTATCTAAACTATATTTGAGCAGGTACTGTACAAGTTATGATAGGCTCTTTGAATACTCTATAAGACAATACCAGCGCTAACGTACGATAAAAGATATAAAGTAGAAAGTTACGGGTTACGGCTTTCGTAGATTGAAAAAAGAGATTGACCAATAATTATCATAGTTCATCTCATCTGCCTTAATCTGGACGAAAGATCTCAGCTGTCTAGAAGAAAAACCATCTTTGCCTTCGTCTCAATTAGGCACATATAAATTTAATAGGTCAAGAAAAGTTAAATGCTATAGAAAAATCCTTTTCACTTTCGAGTTATATTAATAACAAAAGAAGCCTCGCATTGGCGGCGATAGACACTCGCGATCTTAAAATAAGATATAAACCTTTTAAATTCTCGATAGAGAAAAAAAAGGGAAGGGAGAGAGGGGGTAGAAGCAAAGATGCAATTGATGAATAGAAAGCATCAAGTGTTTGTAATACGCTTTGACAGTTAGACGTAAATGTCTTAAAGAAATCATGTCTGATCTAGTAAAGTCAAGTTTTTTCTAAGCAAATAACAACTTCCAAAAGGTTAACAACGGCTTCTCTTTTCTTGAATACTTACCAAAGTATACCAAAACCTCTCCTACATCAGCAGTGTATTCATTATTTATATACCAGAAACAGTTTCGCATCCTTCTATATGTATATTTCATAACTGTTGCTCAATGATTGTTTAGTTCCAAGAATGAGATTCAAATGAGCTAACAGGTGTGATAAAAGTAGATTGTAATCATGGTGTAAACAGGTTACATCGAAATATATCACAAACCAGAATGCAATCACAGTGAGAACAGGCTGATATGATTTATCTTTTATTGATGTAGTCTCTCTTTTTTCCCTAAATAACGTATCTATTTGTACCATGTCTTTTTTTTCTTTTTTCTTTTGTAAGCTTGTATTAGTGATTAATTTAAAAGCAAGACAGGAACTGGGACCTCTTTTTAATTCATGTCTCGTCTATTCAACAATATTTTGGCATTTATTATTCCTATAAAACTAAGTGACTATGACTTGAGCTTATATGCCAACTTGATCCGAAGACACGGTCCATAGTAAAATGTCAAAATATGGTTATATGAACTTATATTTTCTTTGTTGCAGGAGGCATAGTCTGCAGTGACCAAAAGAGATGTGATATCATCTTTACGGCGCTCAAATCACCAACTCGCATTTCAAGACACACAATAAACCATCAAGTAATGAATTCGACGACAGTGCCATAAAGTGCTGACATGATCAGTAGATTCCGATAGTGGATGTAGAATGGATACAAATATGGTATATGCACAAAAAGAGCAGATGATAGTACCTTTTAAAGCATTACAAATAGTGACAGGACGCATAGCTTATTACCTATCGAATCATATGTCATCAATATAGGAAGCAAAACACTTTGGAAAGAACTACCCAAAAGGGTTCCAGATGTAGTGAGTCAGTCGGATAATATATTGAATTTAGAGTTTGCGGATATCCCACCAGAGAAATTGATTTTTGAAGAAAAAAAAGAGTAGGTTGTATTAATTGACTGATTTATACTAATAGTTATAAGTCCTCTGATAACGTATGATGAAGATGAAGAAGAGTGTATATTTCTCTATAGCAAAAAGACGTCATGTTCACGTTTATATAGTTGATCACTCTTTGGCACCCGGTTTCATCAATACAAAATATGCCTGTTTTCGACCTACACCATACGAACCACAGTTTAATCGAAAGCTCATTTCGCTCCTGTTGTTAATCGAAAAGAAGCGTGAATTAGCAGGAGAAGATGTTCGATCTCTTAGCTATCGTCAAGCTATTGCGGCTTTAAAGGTAATTGATATTGTTTTCTCTTAAGAAACAAATACCTAAAGACTTTATCCTAGGCTTACCCGCGTCAAATTCGATCTGTAAGAGAAGCAGAAAAGATTATTGGAATTGGTGCAAAAATGAAAGAAAATATTAGACAGTTTTTGTTGATTGGGACGATAGAAGAGGCAGAAGAACTAAGGTATAATGAAGAGTTTCGGACGATGAAACTATTCAGCAGTGTGTTTGGTAAAAAAAGGACTTCAAGCCTATGTTTTAATAGTCATATTAAAAAGAAAAGGTAGGCGTAGGAGCTGTTACAGCAAAGACTTGGTGGGATAAAGGGTATAGAACCTTACAACAGGTTCTCGATTACGCCAAACTGACATCAACAGTCAGACTGGGAATTCAACTGTTTCCTCATTTTTGTCAGCTGTAAATAAGAACAGCAGTTAAGTTCTTTTACTTTCTCATTCCTCTCTTCTTCTAGGATGAATAGGACAGATGTTGAAGAAGTGATAGACATTGTGAAGCATGAACTTGCTCAGATAGACACGGACGGTATCGTTACGCCTGTAGGAGGTTATAGGCGTGGTAAGCTCGAAAATGCTGATATCGATCTTATCATATCCACACATACGCAGTCGGCTGACGGACTTATCAAGAAGCTAACTGAGAGGCTACGTCAACAAGGTTTCCTGAAGCATATAGTATCCCATACAGGAAAGACAGTAAAACACTCTTTCAGGGCCGAGCCGATATTAAAGAATAACTTTAACGATCTTGAGCTGGTAAACTTTCTCTCATTATATTTTTTTATTTACTCATACAGCCAATAGTGTATCTGTGCAGTCCTGCAGCCCTCCAAGGGTATCTTCAGACAGGTAGACTTAGTTTTAGCAGAACCTGGTCAGTACGTAACAGCCGTCTTGGGCTGGACTGGGTCTCGCTATTATGAAAGAACCCTTCGCGATTTCTCCAAAAAGGAAAAATCGATCACTATTAACTGCCAATCTGTTACTCTCGAAGACGGTGTAAAAAAGAAGAAGATTTATGTGGAGTCTGAGGAGGAACTATACAGCATTTTAGGAGTACCTCACTTGGACCCAAAATTAAGAAATTGCTAGATTCCATGTCCTATTTTACATTAAAATGATGATAATGATACTCATAGCTTTCTTTATGAGACACTTGCCCGTTATTCGCTTGAAACCTCGTGTGACCTTCCGGGGCTTCAAACATAAAGTCAAACAACAGCAGCATACAATAATACGTGTGTATATATTTTTTTTTCCTTTTCTTTCTCTTCTTCCTTTTTGTACACTTAAATAATGGAAGACCAAGTCCCCGACGTTCCGCTTGTGTTTATCTCTAACGCCTATCTCGAGAAGAAGGCTCAGTCTGTTGAACAAAGACCCATTCTGTGGGAGGTAATTATAGTCATTATATGATTTCGGGTTTAAAAAAACAAAGCATCGCTCTTAGGGTTATCGACGCGCTGGTTTTGTTGGTCAAGAAGAGGTTGACCTTATCAAAGCAATCGATAAAAAATCAGCAACAGAGATTCAGAATGTACTGAATGACAAAGGTGTCGAAACATATGCTTCTCTCATCTTTTACCTTTTGAAAAACTTATCCCGACCTGATACCATTCAATATGTATGCTTAAAGGCAGACGAAATCTTGTCGGGTATAATTTATTACTAAGCATATAGGTCGTGTTTATAACTTTCTATTAGCTAATGAGACCAATGCTCAACACTTTCATAATGCCGCTTCCAAAGATAGTAGTCTCCCTTTTGAACCCTTTCTCAAGCTTCTTGACAATGAAGACGAATTTATAGCACTTGAAGCTTCTAAAGTTTTGACTCTTCTTGCTTGGTAATGAATAGAAACATAAAAAAAAGACAGGTAAACTAAACTCTTGTAGTTCTTCACCGGAACCAACAACCGTCGACCTTTCAGCTTTGTATGTCTGGATCACCAAGAAACTGGCTGGCAATCAAAACGACATTGTTGAGCTGGCTATCCAAGAGCTAGAATCTTTGCTGCGTATCAGCCAATACAGATTACCTATCTGGAACACTCAAAATACGGTGAAAGAGTAAGTGATGATCTATTGCTTCCTAACAAACAAAGAGCTTATGATTTGCTTAGACTAGTTCATCGTCTATCCGTCAACAAGACAGCCTCGACTCCTCAAATTCAATATCAAATTATATTTTGCTTATGGCTTCTCACTTTTGAAAAGGAAGTTGCAGCTGACATTAACGAGTAAGTAAAAGAAAATAAGAAAAAAAGAGGAAATGGTGTTCATTGCCTTTTACTCTATAGAAAGTATGATATCATCCCTCTCTTGGTAGATATTGCCAAGTCTGCAGTTAAAGAAAAGGTCATTCGTGTCTCTATTGCTACCTTGAGAGTAAGAGAGAATGATTTAGGAAAGAAAATATAATTCTTATTTTTTTTATAGAATCTTGTTGAATTAGCTCCTTCTCGAAACTTGGCTACCATGCTTGTTGTCAAATTGTTACCATTTACCGAAAATCTGAGTGCTCGTAAATGGTCAGATGCCGATATATTGGAAGATATCGACTTTGTTAAAGAGAGATTACAAGAAGATTTTCAAAGCCTCACGTAATTTAATTCGACTAGTAAAGAGAAAAAAAGGAGATTGATCTTATTCTAATAGTACCTTTGAACAATACGCTTCTGAAGTGGAGACAGGCAAACTTGAATGGTCACCTCCTCACAAGTCAGATTTATTCTGGAAAGAAAATGCGCAAAAGTTGGAGGAAAACAACTTTCATCTACTTCGTACCCTTGCCCGTTTACTGAGTACTTCAAATAGTGTCATGGTATTGTCTGTAGGCGCCAGTGATATTGGTTATTATATCAAATATGCATCTACAGCCGGAAAGAAGTAAGTAATAATTTCTTAAAAAGAAACAGATAACTTAAACTTGTTGTAGTATCCTTCAAGAAATTGGTGCAAAGAGACGTATTATGGAATTGATGACACACGAAGACCAAGAAGTCAGATACCATGCCTTAATGGCTGTCCAGAAATACATGCATCAAACTTGGTAAAATAAAAGCAAAAAGAGAGTATATGTTTATTATTGTGCAAAACAGATTTTTTTTTTTCGTGTCTATTCTTCTGGTTGTGGGGTACTGAACATTTTTCTGTACAAGGAAGTGCTGCTTTTCAAATACTTTTGCTGTGCTTGTTCTACTGACTTTTTTAAAGCTTGAAGGCTTTTATCATTGGGTTTAAGCTATTGAAAGCATGAATAAACGCGTCTCGTTTTAGATTTTTTTTAAATACCTCTAGGCCAAGATTTATAAAGGTCAAGCTCGCATCATACTCGCCCTTTTCCATATAGGCTTGACTCAAACGATAATACGCCTTTATGTTCGTGTGATCTCTACTCAAGGCTTCCTTGCAGGTGTCTATTGCATTATCATACTGTTTAAGCTTCAGATGACAGGCACCAATGTTCAGATGAAGGGCCACGGTCAATTGACGCGCCTCATCTAGTTCCTCTGGTTCACAGTCCCACAAATCCTTAACGTACTCTCTTGCCTTTCTATAAGTAAACAATGCAGTTTCTATAGCTCCTTGTTGAAACAACTCGTTTCCTTCGTTCTTCTTTTTATGAGCAGCTGCTATTCTTTCAGGAGCTGTACCCGACTTTTCCCAAAATCCTAACAGCTCTACTTCGAAACGTAGTTTTGCTTTGGAAGGAACAAGATATTTTCGTCCTTTGTCACCATAACCTTTGTTGAAAGGAGTTAAGAATGTTGTAAATTATACAACATGTCATTTTACCATAATCACTAGTACATATCACTTCTGCAATCTCGCCTACTTTCATTGTCGGAATAGCAAGTTCCCAAGCTTCAATGACTTTGGCTATATAATAGTTAGTTTAGATCAGCATGTTTCTTCTTCTTCAACTTACAATCTCGTAACTGAAAAGTGAACTCTGTTTTTCTATCACGCGAGGAATCAAACTTGGTATTAGTATCCACTAGATATGCATCGTAATGAACTATGAAAACATTAGATCGTGACACTTGTTATTCAATCAAAGGGACATGTTTACCACTCACTATATTCTTAGGTTCTGGCGTTTTACCCAAGCCTTCCTTGATGATTCTCTTTGTTACTGCTCCATCTTTGGTCAGTTGCTCAACTTGCATATTTAAAAAAAAGTGAAAAACTCAGTCCTTTCTCCCTTTTTTATTATTTTATAGGGAAATGGAAAAGCATGAAAGAATAATAAAAAACTTGAATGAGCAATTTAAGCAAGTGGACAAAGCATATGAAAACAATGATATGAGAGTCTTTGGTAAATGATAAAAAAAGTATAGTTATGAGTTTCTTTAAAAAGGCTTATAACAAAAAAGGTAGAAATACAACAAGAATATTTCAGGAACTGGATGTGATAAGAAGAAAGCAGATTGACTTGGCTAGTGACCATGTAGCTTTGGAGGCTATGAATGATATACCGTAAGATTATATTGATTATGGTAACTATGTGATACTAATTGATTGCTAGACTTATTAAAATGAACCATAAAGCAGATCAAAACAACAAGGTTTATACAGAGAGCTTTGAAAAGAAGAAAGATATGTTGAAGAATATGATGAAGAAGTTGGATGAATTAACACAGGCAATGTAAGCGTATTCAATAATAAAAAGATGAAGATATATAAATAAACAATAGGGAACAATTCAAGAATATCTCAAAGCCTGATTATCAAGGAAACGATTCATTAATTGAAAAAGAAACCATGAATGAAAGTCTAACAGACCAATAATACAAAATAGAACTATTGCATTAATGATATGGGAATCAAACTAGGCCCTATCTTCTTCTACATAATAATCTAGTTTTATTACTTTTGAAAAATAAAAAATGAGAAGCCATAATAACCAAAACTGTCATTATGCAATGCTGGGATGCATTGGAATATAAATCAGTCTATATAGCTTACAAAAAATGTGAGACTTTTTATTCTTAAATAAGTATGATACAAGTATGATTCTATATGCTAGATTTATTAACTACAGCGTTTATCTACTCCAATGTCACATGGCATCACACCATTACTATATCTATTCTACTCTCAGCACGATTACTGTAAAAACTCTTATATATGAATATTGCGCCATTTGTTTTTGTATAAATTCACTACCACATCATAAATAAGCGCTGTACCGGCAAGCGAGTTGTTTCCGCTTTTATTTCATAATTTATAATGTATTATGCTTGGTTTACAAAGTTCTCACCTCCACCAGCATCCAACTGCTTGTTTCCAGTTACTCATCGTGTCATTTTTTCCAATATACCCTCTCAGTGCTTATAAAACTCACTGGTCGTTCATCCTCAGCAATATCCTTTTTGTCAATTTAATGAACATGAGCTATACTATTATCATCACCTTCTTCGGTATCATCAACATCCTCTTCTTCGTCCTCATCACTGCTATATGAAATAGCAGGAGGGATTCAATCTTCAGTCACACAACTTTCTTTTAACTATTATGCCGCTGATGTCGTTCGTGAATGATCTGTTGCACCCTTCGTACATGTCGTGGGCGCTGTTGGTTATGTTCTAAACAAATTACTGTTAAGTGTCATCATAACGCTGAGAATCCTTTTTTTTCTTACAGTAGGAAAGGCACTGATCACGATGATAACAGCTGCTTTAAGACGGTCCTGTTATATGCTCTATAAAAAGATTCTTAAAGATGCGTCTTGGATAATCTGCATTGTGGCGCGTAACTATGACAATGGAACCAAAAACGAATGCTCTAGGTTTTCCCGCCTTGAAGAATAGTGCTCTTTTAGTTACTCTGACTTTGACACTTCCAAGTTATATAATTCACTTATTTAATGTATAATCAATAGACAACACACTATATATTTCTCATATCATTAATTGGTAACTTGTGTATAGGATGGATATCTATCCTCCAAAGGTACCATTGAGGAAAGAACTGGAGGCGCAAGATGTCAGGTTCAATTCTTGTACACACTGAAATTTAACTTCAGCACCAATAAATATTCACAATTAGCGTATCATCTGCTGCATTATCTGCTACTGCCTCCATTGTTTATAAGCAGAGGAAGAGGAATCATTGTGTTCGGTAATAGAATAAAGGTTAATATGAGTTATGTAATAATAACTTTGATCCAAATCATATATTTTCAATCTTTGAAAGAATGACGGAAACAGCTTTTAATCGTTCCTGAAAAGGAAAAGAATAATAAAAACAAAAACTTTATTTTCAGTTGTAATCATTAAAGCTCTTTTTATTTCCCTTTTTACTTTCTTTTCCTTTTTTTTTCTCTCTCTTTAAACAATGGACATTAGTCGAAGCATTTACAGGGCTGGACTATCTGGAAATATACCTTCACCGTCATCAAGCAGTCATATTTCAACAAGAAAATTACGCGACCTTCATCTTTCTGAAAATAGCAGCGCTTTTAGCTTCCGAGGTAGATATACATGACAGTCTTGTATCATTGCTATATATCTTATCTATTAATTTCAAGGGCATTCATCAAATGCTTATCCTCAACCTTTCAAGAATAAGAGCAATTCAAATCAAAAATATTATATGCATGATGATAGCGATTGGGATTCAGAGCCAGAACTAGAAGTTGTATCAGTACAGGAAGCGTCGAGAATACAAAGGAGGATGCCTTCTATTAGAAGAAAAGTTAGTAAAGCAAAAAGTGTCAGCAGTAATAGTAGTCATACTATCACTATATCAACAAAGAGGGACTCTCCTTATTATTGTGAAGAAATCGGTCCTCAACTTGATCTAGGCTATCAATGGCCACAGCAGACTAAGGCAGTAAAAGGGTTTGTAAAAGTCACATCAGAGAATACCTATGATCGATTGAAACATGTTGAAAGAAAGATGTTGGTTAAAAGGCAAAAGGTAACTTCAAAAAAAAAAAAAGCATAGAAATAGAATTGCTTAAACATACTGCGCATATAGAATAGAAGCCTGATTCAATCATTGACAGTTCATATCAAGGAAGCCTATAGCGATTTTAACCCAAGCTTCACTTTTGATGAGAGTAAGATACCAAAGCGTATACTGACTAAGCCAAGCAAACCTTGCAGAAACGAAGGAAATGACAATGAAAATTTTGATTATATACTTAAAGTCAATGAAATACTTGGTCATGACCCAAACCATCAGTAGAGTATATAACTCTATAAAATTTACCTGAAATCAAAAACTTATCATCAATCAATAGGTATAGAGTGATTGATCTACTAGGTCAAGGTACGTTTGGCCAAGTAGTCAAATGCGAAAAAATCTCAACAGGAGAGCTATTCTCGGTCAAAGTAATCAAGAATAAAAGCGCCTATAAAACACAAAGCTGTATGGAGATTGAGATACTGAAAAAGGTACAAAGAGGGAAATGAGGAAAAAATAATACGCACGTAATGTTGATTCACTTCATAGCTTAATCAACAATGGGATCCCGAGGATAAGCATCACATCCTACGCCTTCATCATGTATTCTCCCACAAACAACACTTGTGTCTGGTATTTGAATTGCTTTCATACAACTTATACGATCTCATCGGCCATAACCGATATAGAGGTTTTCCCCCAGAAAAAGTGCGAGCGTTTGCAGCACAGATATTAGATACATTAGCGTTACTGAAGGAAGCTAAAATTATCCACTGTGACCTTAAACCGGAAAACATTCTTTTAACGAGGTAGATAAAATAACAGAGATAATGTTCATGATTAATGTCTTGCTTTTTATTAGCGAAAAATCGATGACCATTAAAGTGGTTGACTTTGGATCATCTTGTCACGAAGCAAATAGAATTTACACCTATATCCAATCAAGATTCTATAGATCCCCTGAGGTCTTGCTTGGGTTACGCTATACGTCTGCCATCGATATGTGGTCCTTTGGTTGTATTGTGGCAGAACTATTTTTGGGATTGCCATTGTTTCCGGGTAGCTCTGAATATAATCAGTTATTTAGAATAGTAGAAATGCTTGGGTAAGCTGAACAAAAGGAGAAAGGTATCATACTGACCTTTGCTAAATTACTATAATAGTGTTCCTCCCAAGGATATGTTGAGCAAAGGTAGAAATACGCCATCATTCTTCAACAAGAAGATGACAGGGCCAGATACATTTGAGTATGAATTAAAGGGACGTGAACAATACAGCCAAGAGAATGATAAGAATGAGCTACCCAGAAAAAAGTATTTTCCTCAAACTCTTTTGAAAGATATTATTATGGAATTCAACAATGGAAAACCCGTCTTGACTAAGGACGAACAGGAAAAAAGAAAAGCTTATGGCTCATTCTACTCGTCTAGAGAAGAAGAGGAGCAAAAAAAGGGTATACATTTTTCTTTCTTTTCTACTGATGCATACCTGGTCAGATATGTACTTATTCTTATGTAGAATATGAGGCAAGGCTGTGTCTACTCGATTTCTTATATGGAGTGCTAGAGTTGAATCCGCTCAAACGCTGGACGCCGCAGCAGGCTCTTCAGCACCCTTTCATCACACAACAACCTTTTACAGGACCCTTTAAACCAGATGCACATATACCAGTTCCTTCAGCATCAGCAAGTATTGACGTGGCTACTAAAGCAGGTATGCTTACAGACGCAGATTCCACTTTTTTTAATTATAAACTCATTCACAAATAGGAGACAAGCCTTTAAACAGTGTACGCAAACGATCTGAATCAATGAATAAGCCCACAGCGCCCGAACAAATAAAGGTTATCGCTCAAGAAATTCATCATCCCATTGCAAAATACCCCAAAGAAAAAGTCTCCTCGCAGAATAGCTCCCAAGAATCGTCTCCTGAATACAGACTGCGACACGCACGATCCCAGGGAGACTATATTGGTTTGCTTCCTCCGGATATGTCAAAGAGCAACGGACTACAGGATGACATGCGCCATGTCAAAATATCTTCACAAGTCAAAGTCAGAACAGGCTCTCATGACTCCCTCAAGACCCCGCCGGGAAACGGTCAGACGGTACGTGGTGTCATGGACGGTGGTAAACCTAAATTGGCAAATGTACGAAAGGCACACGCAGGTGAAGCAGCTGGAGGATTGCTCATGATGCGTCAGAAAGAGAACCCAAAGAAAGACGTATCGAAAGCACGGTTGACAGATGCATTTAGATTAAAGACATATCGATAATAAATGATTTTATTACTATCGCCATGAATCAAGATCTTCTGGGTTAACATAGACATTTTCTCCGTTTTCTCGAATCGTTTCCTTTTTAACGTCTCTTGGCAAAGGTTTCCGCATGTCTAAATGATAAAGTTAGCCTTCAGTCTTTTTTTTATCATATTAAACTGACCGTAGGCATCTTCGTTTGTATGCCCAGCATAATAGTTTTTTACTCTTCGATAGACAGAATATCCAAATTTACGGTACATGTCTATTGCCACCGAGTTGGATACTCTCACATACAGATCAACAAACCAACAATCGTATGACTTTTCAGATACTTGTTCAAGCAAGTTCATCATACCGTCTGCGAGCCCCAGTCGACGGAATTCAGGTGCAACTGTGATAGCCGTGACGTGACCATGCCAGTTTTTACCTGTACCTTCTGTCTTTCCCATCACTATATATTCGAATTAATATGTCGTGTATTCTATAAGCTATCGTCATTACCATATCCCATAAGGTTGTTATGTGGGGACACTTGAACTGAAAATAAATCTGGCCATCGTGCAAGATATTGAAGGTAGAATGAGATATTGTACTATATAAAGTGTTACTGGTTGTTCTAAAAGAATATTATATAGTTACTGTTTCAGTAAGTGGATCGAGATTACTGCATGAAAATGTAGTATATTCGCAGCGTTAGTTCGACATTGAGGGAACAATTGCTGTGAGCCTTACATGTTATTAAACTCAAATAAATCAGTTGCTTTGAATCGTCGCAGTAAGCTCATGTGTAAAGGAGAAAAGTAAAAGAAAAATTCAATATTCATAGATCTTAATAGTCACGCGTCGGTTTCTGAAAGACGAATACATACTTGACAGCATTTATGCATTTTAGATAAGGAGTGATTTTATGCGTCTATCTTTACTGAAAATGTTTTTCTTTTTTTTTGAATAGACAGCGATTACTCTAAGTAAGTACAATATTACTTGCTATTCACCTTGAAAATGTCTAATACATGTGTGTATAGTGTGCCTTGTAGTAAGGCAAGGAAGGCGGGGATATGGAAAGCCCCAGACATGGTCCCTCTGGCCTTAAGCTTCAGTGAACGGCATAAGTGAACTGTTAGCATTGTAACAGTGCTCCCTTTTATTGGCCGGGGAATCTGTATATTTGTTGATAAAGGCATCTTGATAGTGGTGATGTTGTCTGACCTGATACTACCACTGATACGCGCAAAGAGCGCATTGGTGAAAAATAAAATTATACTGAATCAATGATTCAGTAAACATTATTTTTAAAAAGTATACCTAAAGATTTTATGTCGTGTTTTTCTTGAACTTTAAACAGCAAAGGCTTTTGGGTGTGTATATCTCAACTGCTAAATTGAATGAAGGTTGAGAATCAACAAGCAATGATATACGAATTGCCCAGCGAGTATCCTCATTAACTGATATCTGTAAGAAGAGCTCCTATCTTTTACACATTTCACATATCGAAATGAGCAATGACTATATCGCCTCTACTTCCATCTCAGATGTGATTATAGGCTTTCTAGCACGCTTTATTTTCAGCAATATTATAAAAATTAATAAATAAAATCCTTATTGTCCTCTTTACATCTTTCTGACTGTGCATTCGCCATGATTTGGAGAATTGATGGCAGGGACGTGTATCAAAAGAGTCTTCTGTGGCAAGGGAGGGAGGTCACCACATCTTTAGCCTTTGTTTGGCAAGGTAGCCGCTCTCTCTATTACTAATATTGACGGTGCGCTGGGCAATCTTGACAAACTTGGCTATATACATCCATGCATATTGTTTTTGCCGTTGTGTTTCCAAGTTTGCGCTCTCCAAAAACAAGCGTCAAGTGTACATCATTTTTCGTTCTACGTATGATCGCATCTGGTCTTCGTTGCTCGAAATTTTCTGCGACTTTGTTCGTCCATCTTAAGATTATATTCTGTTGATTGTCAGATAGCAGTGAAGTGAGCAGGGAATGATAGTTGTTGAAAGTAAGACGCGTGTGAGTTTCATAATAAGGATTAATGTTGTCAGCATGATTTAATGTAGTCGGTGTGATTATTTATCATCGAATGCGATAGAAGAAAATGTGCCCTGCCGTAAGATTATACTCGAGTTATTGATTCATATCAAACACGTCAGCTCCAAATTTCTGATTCCCCGAGCTTTGACTCATCTACTTCTTTTTTTTTGGGAGGAAATTCAGCATAGAGGAGGCATACTTAGATGCATCAGCCGAGCAGGCCGATTGAATATTAACAGGTAAAGCGGATCTTTGGAATTTCGTCATTATCGCACTCCATAGACTCTATTTGAGGAGAAAGGGAGTCCGTAGGAGAGTTAGACCGAGTGATCTTCAAAGCAAGATTCTCAGAACGAGCCTGTACAACGTCATTGTCTGTTGACAGGAAAGTGACAACTTGAGCAAGACTGTGAGAGCCAGAACAGACTTCAACTTCAGCAGCCTGGAGCGAATTAGGATATTAATATCATCGACTTCGACCCCAGAAAAACTGAGAGAGACGCTTCAATGGTCTCGCGCGACTGAACAGTGGGCGCAGTATCCTGAAAGATATGTATTATGTCATTGATTAGGAAGAATATAGTCTTCAAACCATTAGGCCTCGCATAAAATACTTAGACACTCGTCAGAAAAACTGACCAGGCCATCGTGTATGTATTCTCCAAAGACTAGCACTGTTAAAAGACGATGACAGATTGCATTTTACATTAAAGAACTAATAAATGTTGGAAGTAAAACTTTCATCCGCCAAATAATACTGAGTCCGCAAAAAACTATATCCGTAAATTTACAGCAATGCAGCATTCAAACATAATGTGCGGCATCGATCTATGCCACAAAGAATATATGTGCTATACAATACATCTTTATGCCTTCTTTCAACGTACCTGCATCAAGGCACAGCTATCTTCAGGGAAATAGGGTTTTTTTGTAAACTTGTTTTTACAATGATAATAAGCACCCATAGCTTTTTTGTTCGTCATACAGGCGTGTAATATCCCATTTTTTTGATGATAATGATCTAATAACACAAACATGCTTAATCAATCTTACCAAATTAGAGCACATGTTCACTCTCTCTTTCTCTCTTTCTCTCTCTCTGTCTTTTTTTAGTTATTACATTCGATCGATCTGTTTGCTCAAGGTTAGCAGTAAAGAATACTTGCTTCTTGTCAGAGAAACATTTGAATAGATGCACAAGACAAAAAAATGGCGCCTATTTTCATACATGTCTTGATTATGCATGTTTATGCTCACCTTTCCGTTTTTTTTTATTGATAAGAGTGTTATCCCCAAAGCGTACTTGACGACACTAAAAATAAATTAACGGCTTCTATAGAACAAAGTCATGGTATCATTTATTTATTGACATGTTTTAAAGATGACTTGTCTCTCATTATCTTTTATTCCTCATGTGATAAGGTTATTATTTGAAAATCCTCAGATCCAGGGCTTGTTTCTTTTTTCCTTGCATATGACTTACTATTTTTCTCCCGTGTTCCTTAAGGGGTTGTTTCCGTTTGTTGATCATCCTCTATCATGTCTAGCATATATCTATCTTTTTTACTTTTATATTAATGAGGACTCTAAAAAAAATGCATGCTATATATAGAAACGTTGGATAAATGTAAAAAAGGCCATAGTGACGTTGAAGGGGCGGGGATAAGCTTGCTTATTATACCTTTCTAGGGCGAAGCGTAGTTGAAAACCTGTTGTAGAATATTTCACAAACTTAATGGAGTGGCACGAGATCAAGCCCCACATTCTACACACATTGGTTTAATTGGAAATACTTCTCTGATTGGATGATATAGCTCAGCCAAGCGTTCGCCATCAAATCTATGGTTTGAACGTGTGAAGAAATAGAGAATAAGCACATGAACCAAATTCTACAATTCATGCAAAAAAGTCATCACAAACGCTCACACAGCGAGAAAGATTGAACATGGCTCCCCCTTTTTTTTGTCATTTCACTTTCTTTACTATCTCTGGTGTTAACGTGGAGATCAGAAGAAATCAGGGTGAAGATGGAAGAAAGAAAAATTAATGAAAAAGGGAGGGATGATGGTCTATGCTCTTGTGAGAAAAAAAAGATTTGTCAAGATATTAACAGAGATAGAGAGGAGAATGAGGCAAAGATAACATTGAATATTTGCCACCAGGAATGACTGGAATAATTCAAAGTATCCCCTTTGTCAAGACTTGCTTAATGACTGAGTCACAAACAGAGCGCTTAAAGTGACGATTCTATTCTGCTCTTGGTTGTTATCATTCATATACTGTCTATGTGTTCTCATATTTTTCATTATTAAATAAAAGTCTAGCCTTTGGATTGTGTAGCTAAAGGACATGAGCGTCATATGTTGCTTTACTTGTTAAACTCATGGATAAAGGATGACAAATGATAAAAAACTGACATTATTGTATGCAGTCCGAGAAACAACACTATGAAACAGACGTATTTCTCAAAAAAGAAGTAAGCTTAGACATTCATGTATATATCTTATCAAAGAGGATACATGAATAAAATACACTCTGCAGCAAATACGAAAAGTTAACCCGCCAATTTGTTACAACCCCCTTCTTTTTTCTTGTATAAAAAAAGATAGATAGATCATCCAAACATGAGAAAGTACTATTAGAACCCTTGTGGGTCACACGAATAGCGACTATGAAGTTTATATTCCATATTTATACAAATTAAAAAACAGATAAATACTTTCTTTATATTCTTTTTCTAGTTCTCATTTGCCACCTCAGCCGCGCGCGTCCGCTCCCCCCCCCCCTTTGTGTTATATATATAACTCAATTGAAATCATTACGATCACTTGACAGCTATTTCCCATTTTATTATCTCAGAAAGAAAAAAAAAGTTACTCGGTGCTATCTTGCATATTTATTTGGTCAAAATGGAACGAAGTGCTTCGAAATAAAAAAAACCTTAATCCTTTTTCCATAACAACAACAACAAACCATTCTAGTTTTATCCAAGCTTGATTGGATAAAGAGTATAATGAATATTAAAAAAGAAAGGAGCAAAAAGGGGATGATCTACTAAAGATTATGAATAAGACCAAGGTGTGTTCTCTTTTTGGCTTATCACTTGAGCCCTCTCTCTCTTGACCAGCTTTTATTTATGTTTTTATATATAATTATTTAAATTACTGTTTACATATCATATTGTTTATATATAACAAGGAGTTTGTATAGGAGAAGAGGGAAAACAAAGAAGATAACCAAGAAAGATGTAAAATAATAAAACGTTAACATCAAAGGAGGCAGGGGTCATCTTCAAAAACGGGGTTAACATATAAAAAAGCGCCAACCAAAGGGGAGACTTGTATTTTAAATGGTATATGTGGCAAATAGATTATTGTAAAAAAGAGTAATTAAAATCAAATTGTATTACATTGTTTGCATAAAGTTGATAATAAACAAAATATCAAAAAGAGAGAAAGAGAGAACGAGAGAGAGAAATAGTTGTTTATAGGGAATAGGTTAGCAATTTCTTTTTTTTTTGTTATTTTCGTTTCCTCCTTGTTTACTTAAACCAATCATATTGATCGCCACTAAACCAAAATACCTTTTATTTGTTTGAACATCATTTTGAAAAAGTATTTCAATGGAGGAATTTTGGCTCACTTTTTTATTTTCATTCTTTTTCTTTTCTTTTTAACCAAGGCATAAACGTATCACTTTTAAGGTACGTAAAAAAAAAGAGCGCTTTTAATTTATTTTTACTTACACACCCTAAAGAGAATGGAAGGATTATATCAAACATTACCTTATCCTTATTTACCACAAGCCCCAACTACGGATTATTCGAATCCCACAGCAAATCATTCTGGTAGTCCTGCCTCAACACCACTCATGATGTATCGTCCTACGCTCGAAAGACCTGTACAGCCATTAGAAAATCACCCCCCTCCTTCTCCTCCTAGTACACTTCACTGGTCTCATCCTTACCATCATCACCATCATTATCACCACCACACATCACCGAGCTCCTCTCCTTATGGCTGCTATGGTAGCACCAATTCGGTTGTCATGGCATCATCATCTCCAACACGACCTAAAGTGAGCACTAACATTTGGGAAGACGAAGGCACACTCTGCTTCCAAGTTGACGCCAAGGGTATCTGTGTTGCTCGTCGTCAAGGTAAATTTCTATTCTTTGCTGATGCTATAAGTCTGACTTTATTTTTATTAGACAACGACATGGTCAATGGCACAAAGTTACTCAATGTCGTCGGCATGTCCCGTGGTAAACGTGATGGCATCTTGAAAAATGAAAAAGGCCGTGTAGTAGTAAAAGTAGGAGCTATGCACCTTAAAGGAGTATGGATTCCTTTCCAAAGAGCAAGAGAGTTGGCTACAAAGTTCAAGATTATCGATTTGCTCTATCCCTTGTTTGCCGATGATCCCTCCATTTTTTTATGTAACAACCCATTGCCTCACAGTGACTTGAGTACGGACAAGTCCAAGATTATCGTAAACACATTCCATCCACAGCAACAACAACAACAACAACAGCAACATCGTCTCTCAATAGACTATAATACCTGGAATAACAAACCATCACATTACTTACCGCATCATTATCCTCAAGGTATTTATATATACAAACAAATAATGGTGACGTATAACTTATCCCTTTCGCTCTCCCCCAGTTATTCATAGAAATAATGAATTATCCTCTAATGGTAGTCCACCTAAACTGATGACTCAACCTACCAATCCATCAGAAGAACATAATAACCATGACGTCTATGACCCATCTCCTTACGACTATCGACCTTCTCATGGCCGCAGTAGCATCAGCAGCCTTTCTAGTCATCAATCTACGTATCTATACCCACACGATAATAATCCTAATCGCCACACTGAAGAAGAAAAATTACCTTTAGAGTCCTTTTATGGATGCGATAAAGAACGAGATGGTCCTACAACACCTTCATCATGGTATTCACCTGAGACACCTACAGCTGTACTTTATCAGCAAAAGAAACGCAAATCGTCATTATCAAGTGATGAATTAAGTCAAAAGGTCAGTCCTTATTCCCGTGTTACGAAAAAGACGAGAGTTGCACAAGAGTAGCTCTCTTTCTTTCTCTCTGTCTCTCTTGTTGTCTTTACCTTTCTCTTTTTTCTGCTTCTATATATAAACTGTGTATGTTCCTTTTCATATACCCCCTATTTCCTCAACCTTTTACCACATATCACATATACATGTTTTATTCCCCCATTTATCTTTTTACTATTATACTTTCTTAAACATACAGTTGAAACTATTACACATTTTCAAAAAAATAAAAACGACCATAGCAATAATCGGAGTATAAATAAACTTTCATTTGGTGGTGGCACATTAAATAATCACGGTATATTTTTCTATTCTTTATTCGTGATAATCAAAGGAAAGATTAATGAGTATATAAAGAAAACGACAAAGGGTAAAGTAAATAAAAAAGTCGATAAAGGGAAGAGATGACAAACATAACATATATATATATATATATGTAAATACATCTATTTATATATCTGTGGTGAATACAAATGTGTGTGGCGCGGGATGTAAAAAGCCACATTACTTGGCTTGGCACCGTTACAAAAACCATAATCTTGGTTGTGCCACACAACATTTTTCTTTTTCTTTCTTTACTTTCTTTCCTTCTTTTTTTTTTTGTTTTTTACTTTTTATTTATATTTACAATGACAGTGGCTGCAGTGAAAGAAGAATCAGAATTGACTATTAAAGAATACGTACCATCTAATGTGTATGATACTACTAGCAACAATACTCCTTCCCCTCCTACCATTACAACTTCAAATGATACCTCATACAATGACTCTATCCTGTCAACCAATAGCAACAAAGACGAAGAGATGATAACAACAACAACAACAACAACGCATGATAACACAGCAGAATCAAAGCCATATAGTTGCCCCGAATGCCATCAAACGTTTAGCAGACCACACAATTTAAAGTCTCATCTTACCACTCATTCCGCCGAGCGACCATATCGGGTAAATATTCATTCAGTTCTCAAAAAAAAAAATCTAACTATTTATTACTATTATATTATTATTAGTGCGATGTCTGTAACCATCATTTTAGAAGACATCATGACTTGAAGCGCCATCAAAAGCTGCATACAGGAGAAAGGCCCTACGTTTGTAAGAACTGCTTCCGTTCATTTGCTCGACTGGATGCACTCAATCGTCACTGCAGGGCAGAGGGTGGCTCAGCTTGTGCCCTTGTCATGCAACAGCAAATGAAACAACAGGAGCAAGAAATGGCACGCATTCAATATGAAGCATATCAACATGAAAACAAAAAGAGACGATCAGAGAATCACGATCCTGTAGTAGACAAGACGACAACCATGACGATTACTCCTCCTACGGATATTTCGCCACCATTGCCACCCTCCAATGGCAGTAGTCAATCACCACCGAATCGACCGGTGATTCCTCAATTACAAATTCCACATCCTGCTTCACATCTATTTCCAAAAGATCCAAACCATAATTACACTACGATACCACCTAATACAGCAAAATCACCTTCTGCTCATCAATTATTACCTTCACCCAATGTCATCTTACCTAATAATCTGACGCCTCCTGTTTATACGTCACAAAAAGGTTTACCCATCACGCCCTCATCTCCTCCTGCATCCTCACAGCATCTTCAACATCCAAATAATAATAATACTAGTAATGGCAAATCACCGCTTTATTCCACCTCACCGTGGTCATCACCTTATTCGCCCAGACCGACGCTCCCTCCGCTACCCCAAAATCATGATATAGAACGACTGCTAAAGGAAAACGAAGAATTGAAAAAAGATATCGATCAACTAAGAGCCATGGCCCAAAAGGAAGCCACATGTTTAAAGTCAAAAATACATGATTTACAAGTCGAGGTAAGTAGTATGTGTTGAGAATGAATATGTATTAACATTAATTATAGAATAAAGTCTTGCGATCCTTAATCCATGGACCTACGCCCACACTATCTGACAAGTCATGATTTTTTTTAAATAAAGGAAAAACATCGGACCTTACCAACTATTTTCTTCTGTGGCATCACCAATCATACGCATCGTGTAACATTGTGCGAGTCAAGCAGCCGTTGTACATAAAGGGCTAGAATGCCACTTTGAGGCGTAGTTTTTATCTTGACACTATTTATTCTTGACACAAAAGTTATCTTTTGAGAGGGAGGAGGCTTGCTTCATTTGTCTTGAGCATAAAGGTTGACCCCAAAATTGATATATTCTTCTGTGCGCTCTTTGCTTTACGGCAACACAAAACTACTTTCAGCAGCAAAAGTTTACAGAAACTAGAGAAATTGTAACCGTGATTGCAATTTCTTTATATATGAAGAACACCTGTTTGACCACTTGAGTAATTAAAAAAATAATTGGTGCCACGGATAAACGCAATTGCTATGCTTTTGTTTTATTTTCAATGGTAATCCCCCCTCTTTTCGCCACTATGTATGTGTGTATCTACGTTCTTCTAGAAGATGCTGTAATTAGAAATGCTCTTGTGATCTCTAGTACTTTCTTTTATACCTTCTCTACTCTCTAGTCTTGCTCGTGATATATTCTTGTTATCTAATAGAAAGTTACATAAAACAAGATTGTCCCCCTTGTTAGTGTTTCTCTTGGCTGTACCTTCCCATCCAAAAATAAACTCAAAGTACACATTCATAAATGTTAAAAAACTCAGTAGAAAACACTTGTAAGGATACACAACGAGGGGAGAAGAAGCTTTAAAGTGTGGGCGAAAACATGCACGTAAATTAGGCCAAAAAATTAGCTTAGGAAAAGCTTCTGGTTTAGCTGGGTTGCCTTTACGGATGGAGGCATTGTACAAAGCAAAACGATGATGGGCGCAAGAGCTGAAAGAGAGGGGAAGGATTTGACAGGAAAAGCAGGGCAAGGCGTTTAGGGGGGCAGTCTAACGTCATTCATGCTATCATTAGTTTAATATATCGAAACTTTATTGTTTCTTCAAGAAGAAAATAGAGAGTGTTTTATATTTTGAAAAGAATAGATGTCACAGCTGATGCCCCTATATGATGTGTACCTGGAAGAGGGGTTCAATACGCCCGTTTCGTACAAAAGCTCTGAAAAACAGGTGTCAAATTAATAAGTATATGCAGAAAATAAGTGCATGCCAAATAAAGAGCGTAGAAACGCGATTGTATGTATCAGCTTTATGTTATATATGCACGTCCTTATTCGTTTCAAAATCTTGAATGTGGTATTGCTGGCTCATCCTATGAAAAAGGTAGTGCTTTTCTTAAAAACAGGGATAGAGTATAAATATAGCTATTTGTCCTGTAAAGTTTAGTTCAAAGTAATTTTCTATAATGAATGTGTGTTTTTAGTTTTCGGCTATGGTAAATGTATGGATTCAGAGGGAAAAAAAATTCAAGGCCGGACAGAAAGCGAACTATAAATGACATACTTGTATCGGTAATAACGACCCCCTTTTCTGATGTGCAAACTAGTACTGCAACCAAGTATTACCGTCATCTTTTACACTTGCACAAACCAATAAAATAAACTAAAAAATATGCTGTACAATCAGTTTTATTTTATCTAGAACATTTACAGAATATTATTATTATTAGAAAAAAGGGAAGAGAGTACATTGTTATTAGAGCCTCTAAGTAGAAACACCGGCATACTTTTTATACGACTTGCGGATCTTTTTGTTATCTGCAACCGCATTCATTGCTTTAGCTACACCTGTACCATCAAAGTGATCTACTCCAAATAAGTCGGAAGCAGTATATTCAAGTTCAAACTTGGCATCTCCGTCGTTGTTGGCCTTTTCGAGATCTAAGTAGTACTGTTCCCAGTCAAGGATCGTGCCCACAGGATACCTGCCACCTTCTGCCTGGTATTTATATACACGAATCGCTGGGTTGTTTTTGGGGATAATAGAAGGTGCATTAAACAGGCCAACGGCTGTCTTGCTATCCACATTGTTGTGCTTGCCAGCATGAACGAGGGTATATTCATCGTCGTCAGAAACGATGGCGTTCAAATTATCATCTAATTAAATAGATTAATAAATAAGGGGAACCAAAATAAATTGGTATGTCACTTACTGTTGGTATGACCGGTAAAATGACCAGCAATGATCTTGCTGTGTTTACCAAGGAGATCGATATATTTTGAATAGCACTTGTCCTTGAACAGCTTGGATCCATCATCATCTACAGGAGGAACATGACCCATAAGGTAGACTTGGTGGTTGCCATCCTTTTGGGCATAACGATCAAGGGTGCTCTCAAGCCACTTTAATTGAATGGTGCCAGGACTGCCTTCTTTGTCACAGTCGGAAGCATCGTCCTTTTTGAAAAAGTACATCGAGTTTGTATTGATCACGGTCAATTTGCCATCAAGTATATCTTGAGCAAAGTAGCCACCTTGAGCGAAATTTTGTGTCAAGTTCAAGCCGAGAGGTTTCCAGATGGATTCTAGTTTTGTAAAAATTTTGGCTTTTTTGCCGAGATCGTTATGATCAAATCCATCGTTATTCCCAATCGTAGGTATCTTTAAAATAAGCAGTGAGTAAAAATAAATATAAAACGTGTACTCTAGGCTTACATAAGGTGTGTGCTTAGTGCTATAGGCTGATTGAAAGTATTTGAGAACGGTTTTATGGCTGTCGACGATATCATCGTCGCTGATTGGCAAGTCATCGTCTCTGTCCTGCATTTCAAGAGATTAGCTGCTCCGTTTCACGAAATTAATGAGGTTAAACTCACATGTCGGGCTGTATCACCTGTATACAGAATGAAATCCACATCTTGAACCTTTTCCTTGAGGAAATCAAATGCAATTTGCACCAGAGGTACAGGTGTGTCACAATCAGTACCCAGGGCACCATATTTACCGGATTCCTTGGATCGTTTCTTGCCATGTCGATGACAAAGTGAAGATGGATCAGCACCTTCCTTATAGTATGGATCAAGATGAATATCTATAACAAACTGTTATTGCCATGTTTTCTTAATTATGTACTAGACATACCTGTGATGTGAAGAAACTTTCCATGTAAACCGCTTCCTCTCTTGACAAGAGCACCAGGCTGTTGAAGAGGGACGGTATAAACGGATTGTTGTAAGAGTAAGATACAAGCCGAGATATAAGTGAAAGAGTGTGTAAACTTCATTGTAAAGAAAAAAGAAAAGAAAAGAAAAGAAAACTCCTTGATTCTGCTGTCGATGAACTGTATCCGTTTTATATCTGATCTGGTTAAATGGTATGACAAAATCACGTTTTATGTTGTTGAACCCTTAATTAAAGCATTTCTCCTTTTTATGCTATTGTGTCTAAGCAACGCACTCCGTCAAATAATTAGCTGATTTAAGTAGCTAATATACCTTTTTTATATTGTCGGTATTATTTATGTATAATGAGATATTTATCGTATTTGATGAATAAACACCATCTGCATATCATTATTTTAGTATAGTTTCAAAGGTAATGGTATCTTACATCAAGCAAAAATATCGTGTATATTTTTAGTCATTTAGATATTGCTGCATAGCATCGGTCATGATACAAACTGTTCCCCTCTCTTTTCTTTTTCATACGAGTGTTGTCTGTTTGATGATGCGTGATTACCGTCATAGTCTACTCCTTGGATATCATCGTGATTATGCATGATATACCAAGGGATCAAGTTATCCAATGACTAACAAATACTAAATGAGCATCATTACAACTGATCAATCAAAGTGATCTTACTCGTTTTTATTATCAGGGTAATTTTTCTTCTGTAATTATATTTCTGAAAGCTGGTTTTCAATTAAGAAAAGGGAACTCTCGCATGACACCGAAAATGTTTATGGTTTGATTAATTAAAGGGGAGCAAATAAGGTTTGTTATGTAGCATATCAAGCATACACAAATCTCCCAACTTGGCTTGTTGATTGCGGCACTCTGTGTCCTCTCCTTTGGATTTATATAAAAAGACTTTATTCTTCTTGCAGAATCTAAGAAAAAAAAAGAAGAAGAAAAAGAGAACCGATAGATTAACCGAGTGTATATTGACTGCACTGGGATGTCTGCAGTTTTTATGCCTGCTCAAGTAAACAAACAGGTCGAGGCCGACCTCTTGTAACACGGTATTTCTTTACTTAAAATGCAGCCGACTTTAACTTTGTTGGTTAAACTTCAGACAATTAGTCTGTGTAGTACTTTTTTTTGATAGTGCTAACAAGCAATTCCGCGTGTTACTGAAGCACAACCAAAAAAGATCGAGTGCTACTTATATGCATCTAATGACCATTCGTATGCAAAACACGCTAACAGTTGACAAGAAACCATCGATGTATTAAAAAAAAAAGTGATCCATCCACTGTAAGCCTTCAAGAACAAGTCTCTAGAGTACCATCACTTAGGAAATGATTTATATGGTTGCTTATTTCAAATCAGTAAAATAAAAGAAACGTCGGATGAACTTTGTGTTCAAAGATATAAAGAAACAAGCACAATTTGACGATTTGTGCAGGCTATGCTAACGTGACTATTAACACTCTATTGTTTCTTCAGCTATGGTCATGGGGTTAAATAAGGTCCTTCGAGCAATTACAAAGCAGGAGAGGTAGTTTGTATAGATTTAGAAAAATTAAAACTTTTTGAAAGGAGTTCCTTGGTAACATCACCTTCTCCTTTTCGGATAAGTCCACTGAATTAGACAACATAGCATGGTAACTAGAGCCATAATCCATTAGATAAAGCTCAGATCTTGTAATAATCTTGTAGAAGCTTGGAAATTTTGTGTCTTTTGTCAAAAATACACAGCTCTTTTCCTAATAGCCATGAGCATAGATAATGCTTTTACTCTTGAAAGTGTCCAATTTTCAAAAGAATGTAAAAATCATTTCTACTTGGGCCAAGATGGCTCTTACTGTTGTATAGTTTCATCTGATGGAAGAAAGAATTTAACGTGTACGAACTACTTCAAAAAGGGAGATGTGGAGAAGGAAAAAAATCTGGAAAACCAATGAGAGGAATACAATAAGCGTTACACAAGTATACAGTGCACACTGATTCTCAAAATCAAATATACTGTTCATAAAACCTGAAGTAGTAGGCCACATCAGACTTTATTTATCTTTCATTTCAATAAAGAGTCTATATCGATGTTATCACACAAGATACAATATTTCAAAGGCAGTTTAGATTTGCTATTCCGTGTACTGATGAATAACGGGACCGAACATACGGAAAAAGCACAGCATACAACGGGAAAATATACCAGAGGCACAATAAGCTCGATTAATTTGTCTGACGTCCTACACACACAGAAATCCTTCATCCGTCACTTTTGTTAAACCTTTATTACATATGAAACCAGTACGAGCTTGATCAGCTGAAAATTTTCTTTTTTTCATCAGCTTATGAGCTAAATCACTGAAAGCATGTTTTGTATATTAAAATGGGTTCATCAACGACCCATCCTAAATACAAGTTTGCATTGGAACACACCTATACCTATTGTCTCGGTTTAGGGACAATGGTTGTAAAGTGAACGGTAGTTGTGTGCTGAGACTGGTCCCGCGAGCGGAAACAAACCCTGGCTGTTCGTCCCTGAGATTGTTCAAAAACCCAATTACGGGATATGACAGTAGTTCAGACCATGGTGTACCTTTGCCACAGTGTATTTTTAATGGATTGCCTAAACTTAATTTAGAGCATATCAATGCGCAACCAGTGTGGTTTTTACTTATCCTTTATTAGTATTGCTAACACTTACTAATGTCAAAGGGTTATACCAAGTATTATCCGTTTGTTGTATGAATAAATCATGGAAGAGCGACTGTTGTCAAATCAACAAAAAAGAGAGTAAGGGATGTGATTGATGGGCCAAGATTTCCTAATGTGCGCTTATTATTAGTGTTACTCTTAAAGTTGGGTATATTATATCCAATCATTTTAGGTTAAGCTATTTTCTGAGCAAAACTTTGTTTTTCATTCTTAAACCCTTCATCTGACACCACGGAGGTTTTTCATTGTATGCAAAGATTTTCTCCGTAATTGCGAATTTGGAGCTGGGGATGCATGTTTAATTCACACACTTGTAAATATATACTCCCCCAAAAAAACACTAAGGATAGACTGTGAAAATGATTACTATATCAAGCATATCAAAACTGATATAGTGTCATTTTTAAAATTAACTCGCGCTTTTGTAGATGCATCTGATCGAGCGACTCACCAATGCAAGACAACGTGCCTATTTCTGCCAAGTTATGTCTCAAACACATAACCTGACGGAAGCTAATATTTGCCTTGGCTATATCTTTGATCACCTGATGTTCTGAGCACTTCTTTAAGAGATTTATAGCTGCTGATTGCTATGAAGAGATAGAAAATGACTTGGCAATGTTGGTGGTTTTGGATGCGAAAGAAGTGATTGAAAATTAATTGACAGCTTTTCGAAATATATACACTGCTGTACATCGATTCAGGCTCCGACTTCACCGTCATTCAAGTTTAGGGCATCTGAATCAACTCATGAAATCAACATTCCTATTTCAAAATGCAGCCTTAACCATGTTGCTACTAGCAACTTTCAATAATCAACCGTATCGCTCTTAAAAATCCAATGTAAATACATTTTAACTGAAAGAAATGGTCATTAATATTATTATTGTATTAATTTTGTTATATTTTCATTATTCTGCTTCTTTTGTTGAAAGTACTAAGGTACGAACTGTCGTGAGTCTACAGAATTCCTTCTTTGCGCTTGTTAATGTAAGCTAAAAGATAATGAAAAGATATTAACGAGATTATACGTATCTAATGAATGCTTTATTCAAGGTAAAAAAATCGTGTATTCATTTTGTAACTCACTCATTCGCGTTGTTTACATAAACTTGACAATTTAAGTCTCTCCTTGTAATCGGTCATTCAAACCATGATTTATTTCCGCGGGGCAAGTCTTTCCCCACACCATTAATTTCTTATTCCGATATTATTAATTTTTTTCCAAAGGACTTTTTCATCATTTTCCCAGTGGGAAAACCTGAGGGTCCCTGTTCATTGTATTTCGTAAGCAATGGGTATTTGTTGTTGGCTATAGATCAAATCAAGATAAGCTTATAAACCTTACTCAAAATGGAGAAGCTGCAGATGCATTGTTTAGCATGCGCATGTAAAAAGCGTCTGTGCATACAATAACTGTGTTTATATATTACATCAACATGTACACAAGCACACGCATATGACAAGCTTCTTCTTCTTCTTATTCTTTGCCTGTTCATAATTACAGTTTTTTTTTTTTTAGTTCTTTGAAAGAATAGCATCATCGGAGAAGTGATCATGAGAAAATCCAAGACGGGAAGTTTTGGGAATATGAAACCCTGTAAATTAAGTTTATTCCTCTTTCTTTTTCACTTTTTTCTCTTCTTTCCCTCCTTTTTTTCTTCTTCTTTCATTCGTCCCTTTTTATACTTTAAGTGACAAATGACAGAATTTAATTATCCTTTAGCCAAGGAAAATGCAAAGACAGTACCGTTGTACCATCATGAGCAAGTACCATTTCAGTCCTTTTATAAACAAAATACAACCAGTAATCAAGCTAAACTACCAGCAGATCAGAATGTGTCAGGGGACCTTCAGGACATCATCTATAGTTATCAATCGCAACCAGAGTTGCTCAAATTGATCTTATCTAGTAAATTAGAAGAAGACAAGAGAAGAGCAGAGGAAGCAAAGCTACGAGCAAAAGAATTGGATCTTTTATTGATTCAGCAGCAACTAGGCAACAATAGCAACAATAACAATAGTAACAACAATAACAACAATAATAATAATAATGATCTCGTCAACCTATTTCCTTTAAACATGCAACCTATGAATCAAAGTCCAGTGAGACGCCCTAGCTTAGATGCTATTCTATCTACACCTTTATTGTCACAACATAGGCGTGATTCTACCTTTGGTTCTTCATTTACTTCAGATGAATTAGATGACCAAGCATTCTCTCCCATCACATCATCCACAGCAACAACTACCCCTGTTTCCTCATCCGCACTTCTTCACATGGAAAGGTAAATTTTAATCACCCGATCCATTTGCGTTTGTGGGCTCTAATATATATAACATGATAGTTACCCTTCAGCCGTTATGTCATCATTAAGTAAGTTACCAGATGAAAATGCACACAAAATTCAAAGATACAGCATACCTCCAAGGCCACGTAGGAGAAGAGAGATGCAGGCGATCACCAAGATTGTAGAGACAAGAGAGTATCCTTACATAGACGGTTACTTTTGGAAGAACAATGGTAACACGATACAAAAAAAGACGGGGAATAAAAGCGTGTATTATAAATGCTCCAATAGCAATAAGGTAAACTCATATAGTCATTTATTATAAGTTTCAGTAGTAGAATAACCCGTGATTTTTTTTTCCCTCCTTCTTAGGGTTGTCCTGTTAACAAGACAGTAACATGGAAAGGCAATGGAGAATATTTGATAAAGTACCGAGGAGAGCATTTATTAGAATGTAATAAGGTGCAAAGAATTGTAGACGTGTAAAGTAGTTATTGTATACCACTGTATGGCCTTTCTCTAAATATGTATATGAACCTTATGATGTTACCCCCTCTTATTTTGTATATCCAACTGGATTGGATAAATATATGATTTTTATATAGAAAGTAACAATACAGTCGACAATAGTGTCGATCGCACAATTACGTGCTACGTTTTAATATCTTTATTTTATTTGTAATACATATTCTCTATTTACAACTCAAGACATGCTTTCAACATAAGCAAGTGTCCTCTCTTTCACTCTCTGTACGTCGTCTTCTGTTCCATTATTTTTTTCGAATTGTAGCCATTTCTTGAATATAAACTTCATCTTTTTAGATGAAAACTTCATGGAAGCAACACGTTCAAACAGACGTCTATATTTTAAATGTGTTAGTCCCTTGACATGAATTATATATGTCTATATGATTACCTCGCCATTTCCACATCACCCACTTTAATTTCCATGTCTAAATAGACGTTCCAAAGATCTAATCGTTTAGGATGATTACTCACAATGCCTTCTAATAGAGTACGTCCTCTTTCCGCTTCCCCATATTTAAATTCGAGTTGTGCAAACTTTTGAACAGTTTGAATATCTATTTGATTTGTTAGTTCATATTACACATACATATAAAGTATATTCAAACTCACGTTCGTGCTTTGGGAGCACCTTCAAGCTCCTCTGAAGTGTTTCTCTTGCCTTTTCCACTTTATTATGTTGTAGTAGGAACAAGCCAAAGCTAGTCCAGACATCGCGCGACTGTCCAAACTTCTTGCACATCTCTTCCCAAACAGATTCTGCCTTATCCAATTTATCATTACGCTCATAAATTTTGGCCAGTTCCTTATACACCTTGACTGGCTCGCAATAGATCGTTGCTCGTTTAAACACGTCTTGGAGAGTCTCTTCTGTACCAAAGCTATTTTCCAAGTTCATCAGAGCTACCCAGACGTTCATCTTTTCTTGCTCTTCTCTAAAATTAATCGTCTTTAACGCACGTTCACCAATCTTGCGTGCCTTATCAATCTCTGATAATTTCAGCTCATAGGCCATATAGTTGATCCAAAGGTACGATGAATTGGGTGATCCAACCAGTAATCGCTCAAAGTCATGTCCATTCTGTGGTGTTCGTTCGTTTAATTCTCCTGTTAGATCTTGTTCAATCTCTTTCTTCTTTTTGGACCTTTTGTTCTTTTTTGTTTCTTCATCGCTTTCGCTTTCTTCGTCTTGTTCTTCTTCATCGCTCGAATCAACTCGATTGTTGATGCCCGTCCAATCGAAACTATCAATCTCTAAGGCTGCAGTTGATGTATCCTTTTGTTCTGTCACTTCTGATTTATCTTGTTTTCTCTTCTTCTTGGCTGGTTCTTCAGGAGATTTGGTATCATTTTTCTTTACTGTTTCAACAGATTTCTCTGTTTGCTTATGAATTATCTGATCCTTCTTGGGATCATTGGTATGCTCAGCCTTTTTGGTGCTGTTGTTCTTTCTCTTGCCCATGATAACTTAAAGGGAAACTCTAGAGAAACTGGCCGAAAAAATAGAAATATAGCCTGCAGTCACAGTGGCTTAAGTCCGTTTTTAGAAGTCGCTGATAATGCAAAAGTAGATCAATTGCCTTAAAGCCACAAAAAGAAGTATGAAAAAGTATATATTTGGACATAAAGAGTAGATAAAAAAAAAAAAAAAGAGAGAGAGAGAGGGGAGAGAGAAGAAATAAAAGATACAGTTATGTACTTATAAATAATTTAACAATGGAGAGCGTTCGTCTATATAAAGTAAAAGGGGATCTAATGATGGTGATGATGATTGTCTTTATGACAGCTGTTATCAGAAGTAGTTAGCTGAGCCTTTGCTGAACTAGCATCTTCTAAATAGATCAATATATCCTGTATATTATGACAATCATTTTTTACTGTATCTTTGACAAGTTGCTCTAGTTGATGTGCCTTTTGCATTGACATTGTTGGGTTTAATTGAAGGACCAAGTCGATATGATTGTATCTTCCTTGCTTACGACCTCGAATAGAATGAAAATTAACCAAGCCTGACTCTGTTGCCTATTAAAAAAAGAGTAAATACCTTTCATTGTCATTTATATGTGCTTACCTTCACTTTAGATACGGCTGCTATCACAGACTGCATTTCATTTGCAGAAATTCCTCGGTCCATTAACTCGCTCATGGATGATCTGATTAATCCAACGCTGCTTTGGATCAGCATGGCCGAAACTGCGATACCGCCAAGTGGATCAAGAACAGGCATGCCTGCATAACTACCAACGATAGCTACAAGGGCAACCGCACTAGAATATGCATCTGATCGATGATGCCTAGCAACATGGTAAGCATCTTTTATAAAGCATATACACAAACGAAGAACCTACCATGCATTGGCTATGAGTACATCACTACGCTCTTCTTGACCAACCTTAATAGCTACGTTCAGCCCTGTTAACCTCTTTTTACGTAAATAATCCTTTTCTCTCTTTTTATACTTACTCACTCGATATAACCATTCTTTAATGATCACGCTTGCTAGAGCAAACCATGCAGCATTAGGATCTAACACGCCACCATGTCCATGTGAATGGCCCAGGAACGAATGCGATTCGGCTACAGTGCTACCAGCAGCAGCGGCGGCAGTGGTTACAGAAGGTGCCGAGACCTGAAGCGTTGCAAGTAAAAGATCAAACGAATGCCATCCAATACCAACAGCACCTGCCAAAAGCAAGGAAGATACTGCCACTGATCCAACTGTTTCGAATTTTCCTATATATAAAAAAATGCATGAATATGCCATCATGCTTCAGTTATTCTTTGTCCAAAAGTACCGTATCCATAAGGATATAGACTATCTGGCGGTTTTCGAGACATTCTATAGGTATAAAGTGTCACAAAGTCACTCAGTAAATCTATTCATGCAAAAAAAAGTTAGGAACCTGTCATTATTTTTTTTTAAAAAAAAAAACTTGCCACTAAAGGAGTGGAGTGATTCTGCTAATAGTGATGCAGAGTTCATCATCCTACATAATGTTCAGTAACCAATGACCCTCTCTTTTATTTACTTACCATCCTGCAACACCTTTGCTGACTGTTAACCCAACATTGGAGGCTAGACCGATGATAGTTATCCGAGTACCACGCTTACCTAAAGAAAACAGATATAAGCATCTTCTCTATGTCAAGTATATTTCTTTTTACTTGAGGACTTTAGAGATGTTAAGAGGTCTGCGTCATGATGATGATGTCCGTGTGTGCCATGCTGTCGAACACTTCCATTCCAAACTGGATGACGACGATTGTTGTGTGAAGCAGTGAGAGCCTTTGTAATAAAGAAGCGATTTAAAGGTTTGCGACAAAAGAGAGACTGTTTGTATAATATAGATCGATGCAGTACGCTTCTTTGTGCTGCAAACATGGTCGTCATAAAGAGAAGGTACGAAGAAAAAAAAAAAGAAAAAGGGCAAGGTCAGAAAATGGCATGATTTCATAGGTTGGACTGTTTTTTTGAAAGACAGCATCTGATAACGGGATTTTGTTATTCTTATCAGTTGGCAAACACATTTGATCTTTTTTATGTTAATGTTATAATTTATCAAGTTTTTATTAAAAGTACACAAATTTTGTAATATGTGCGTATAAATGCGTGTAATGCTGTACAAAAAAATATTATAAATAAATGTATAAAAGGGGAGAAGATCTTGAATTATCTAGTGAGCGTTAAGAGATTGTTGATGAACCAATTCAGTATAAACACCATTCAACTTGAGAAGATCCCAATGAGTGCCTTGTTCGATCACACGACCATCCTTGACAACACAAATAAGATCAGCATTTTGAATCGTAGATAGACGATGGGCGATAGTGATAGTCGTACGACCACCTTCTTCAAGAATATTGTCAATAGCAGCTTGTACCAACTTTTCACTTTCAGAATCAAGAGCAGAGGTAGCTTCATCCAAGAGAAGGACCTTGGGTCTACGAATCAAGGCGCGAGCGATAGCAATACGTTGTTTCTGACCACCAGAGAGTTGAGAACCCTTATCGCCCACACGTGTATCATAGCCCTTGGGAAGACTGCTGATGAATTTATGAATGTTGGCAGCTCGACAGGCGTTTTCGACTTGTTCCTGAGTCACTTGTGTGCCTTCATCAACACCAAAACGAATATTCTCGCCAATGGTCATATCAAACAAGACGGGTTCTTGACCGACAAGGGCCATATGGCTACGGAGATTGTACAAGGAGTAGTTCTTGACATTGTTGTCATCCAAACGAACGGTACCAGAAGCAGGATCATACCAACGTTGAAGCATACCGATCGTCGTTGACTTGCCACAACCAGAAGGGCCCACCAAGGCAATTGTATGACCAGCTTTACCATGAAGGTTGAATTGACCATTAAAGATAGCAGTATCAGGACGAGCAGGATAACGGAAAGTGATGTTTTCAAAGTCAATGTCTCCCTTGATTTGGCTGTGGCTAGGCTCAATGCCTTCCAATTCAGGATCAATTTCGGGTTCACGTTCAAGAATTTCAAAGGCGGCAATAGCAGAGAACTTGGCCTTGGACAGAGTAGATGTGAAGACAGAGCCACGACCGACACCTTGAGCAGTGATCATAATAGCCATCATACAAGTAAACATTCTTTGGAAATCAATCATTCCCATGGCAATGAAGTTGGTACCAGCATAAAAGGCAACTGCGTTGGTGTAAAGAATAATGCCTTGTTGAAGTGCATAACCAACGGCTGATGTGTAAGCCTTTTTTTGAGCGAGAGAATGAGGGTGGTCAGTAGCACGATGATACTTCTTTTCGAAATAAGTTTGCTTGTTAAGAGCGGATACAGTACGGATTTCTTTAATGGCTTCACCGGCAACTTCACCACTCTGTTCATTCGCTTTCTTGGTCTTGTCTTCGAAACCACGATGAATGGTAGATTCATAATAAGTAGCACCACCGACGAAAGGAGCCATACAAAGAATGACAAGAGTTAAAGCCCAAGTTTGAGAGAAGGCGATAGCAAGGCCTGATAAAGATGTTAGTCGTAAGGTTTATGTCTTTATATATATATATATATTTACCTGTGATAGCAGTGACAATAATTTGAGTGACATCACCCCAAGTCTTGGTAACAAGTTCGTTTACGTTTTTAGAATCAATGGCCAATTTGGATGTAAGAGCGCCAAGGGAATTGTCCTCCTGATCATAGAAACCTATTTCTTGCTTCATGAATGCACGGAAGATATCAGCACGTAAACGTTTGGTATAGCGTTCACCAGCAATTTCAAAGGAAATGACTTGACAAGAGAAACCAATAAATGCACCGATACCAAGGACAATAAACAAGAATGCGTAAAGATTGGTACCACTCATAGGACCAGGAGGAGCAGAGAAGGGATCGATCAACATGGCGATGACTCTAGCAAAAATAAGAGCAAATAGAGGGAAGACAGCACCAGCAATAGCAGCACCTACGACACCAGTTGCCAAGAGTGGCCATTCGGGACGCATCTGCTTCAAAACTTTGCCCATGGGAATACTTTGTTTCTTGGCAGCTTTGCGTTCGGCCTTGGCTTTACGGAGCTTAATTTCAAAGGCATCAACAGAGGAAGCATGACTTGTGATCTTGACCAGTTGACTAGTAGTATCCTTTTCGTCGAGCTTTTCATCATTGTTCAATTCTCTGGCAATTTCCATTTGTTCACGTTGAAGCAATTCTTCAGCATCAGGTTCTTCAACATCAGCACCGACTTTCTTTGTAGCAATTTCTTGCTTTCTGACCAAATCAGCATAAACACCATCGAGAGCAAGTAGTTCATTATGAGTGCCTTGTTCAATCAAATCACCTTGTTGCATGACAACAATCAGATCAGCATTACGGATAGTGGAAAGGCGATGAGCAATGACGATGGTTGTACGATCAGCAGAAGCAGCATCCAAGGCAGCTTGAACAAGACGTTCGGATTGAGTATCTAAAGCAGAAGTAGCCTACAATAAACAGTTAGTGGGCTTGATCAAATTTTCAGGACAATAAAGTTTACCTCATCAAGTAAGAGAATAGAGGGGTTTTTGAGAATAGCACGAGCAATGGCAATACGTTGCTTTTGACCACCAGAAAGCATACCACCATGTTCACCGACCATGGTTTCATAACCATCAGGAAGTTGAGAAATAAAGCTGTGACAGTTGGCCTTTTTGCAAGCTTCAATGATTTCTTCAGAAGTTGCTTGATGACTAACACCCATAAGTAAGTTTTGCTTGATTGTCATGTTGAAGAGTACAGGCTCTTGACTGACAACACCGATTTGACTACGAAGCCAAGAAACATTGTATTCTTTAAGATCATGTCCGTCAAGGAGAACTTGTCCTTCATTTGGGTCGTAGAAACGCTGGATCAATTGGACACTGGTTGATTTGCCTGAACCAGAGGGACCAACGAAGGCAACGGTCATACCGGGGCGAATCTTGAGGTTGAGCTTTTTCAAGATGGTGATATCAGGACGAGTAGGGTACTTGAACATGACATCCTTAAATTCAATTTCAGCAGTGAACTTTTCGGGCTTCAAACCTTCAGTGTTATCGGGATCAATGGTTGGAACACGATCGATAGTAGCGTAAATCTTGTAAGCGGCACCACATGCGCTAGAGACAGCAGACAAGTTTTGAGGTAATTGAAGTAAAGCCATAGCGCCCATAATCATTGCAAAGAAGACGACCAGGACATCGGAGCCCTCCATCATGTGGTCACGCGTTAACTTGGAACCATACCAGAAGGAAAGACCGTAGGTACAAAACAGAATAAACATAAAGGATCCAAAACCAAAACCCAAGATTTGACCACGTTGGATACCAGTTTTCATTGCTTTTTCAAGTTTCTTGGCGTAAAGCTCGGCAAAGCGATTTTGCAAGGAGAAAGAGTAGACAGTACGGATGCCAGAAAAGACCTGTTCAGCAACAGCGCCAGCATCAGCATAGGAATCTTGAGCCTTGAGAGTATACTTGGTGATGAAGTGACCCATTGCACCACCACAACCTGCCATAAGAGGGAGAGTGGCCAAGATGACGACAGCCAGGCGCCAACCCTTGACGAAGGCAGTGACGAAACCAGCGACGAATTGACCGATACACATGATAAGGATACCAAACTTTTCAGAGATACCATCTTGAATTAATTGAGTATCAGTAGCAAGACGGGTAGTGAGAGATCCTTCTTCGGCCTTGTCAAACCACGACATATCTTGGCGAAGAATAGCATGGACATACATGTTTCGGATTCGTCGGACTTGATTTTCACCAGTTAAAACCCAGAAGCATTGGGCAATATAAGCACAGGCAAGAACAGCTGTTCCCATGTAAACAAAAATCAAGACGAGAGGATGACTGACTTCGACCAAATGTGCAAAATCTCCAGTTGCCATGCTGTTACCAATTGTTGACATGAATTTACCAAAGATAATAATAGATACAGGTTGCATTGCACCAATACCTGCTGAAAAGACGCATGCGGTTAAGATCATTAATGCCTCGAGCTTTGTGGCGAAACGGAACAGTTTGTAGATCGGCACTGCAGGTTGCTTCTCTTTCTTTTCCTTTTTGTCCTTCTTGGTTTTATCGGTTGACTCCTCTTCTACTTTGACATTTTTGGCGGCAGCGATTTCTTCAAGCAGTAAGTGATCCTCTTGTTTTTCTATACTAGTTGATTTGACCACAATTTCTTCCGTTGATTGGACAGTCGACGAAGACCTCGACGTACTAAGCGCTTCAGTCATGTGATTTAATTGATAAAAGAGAAAAAACTGTGTAGATCAAGAAAAGAAGAAAGAAGAAATAAAAAACAGTGGAGAATATATAAGGTTTTCAATGTATCACAGAGTAGGTACGGAACATTCGGAAGAGGATTCTACCGAGAACATCATCCAATGAAAATATGCAACAAGCTAAAAGCGCACGAGAAAAAAATGCATATCACGATTGAAACCCCGCTCATTCGGCACCCATTTCCTTACTTCTGGGATGAGTCAAACGTAAGAATTCGGCGTTAGTGTTCTTTATTGATTATGGTTTGCAAAAGCCGTAAATCATTTTCTAGTGTATCTCTTTCGAGATGAAGCATAATTAGACGCTGTCTAATAATAAAATGGTAAGCCTTATGTATGTGCTTTCAACGATATACTTACTTGTTCTTTTCTTGTATTGATTCTGGTACGGAATCACTATAACCGTTTTGACTCATACGCACTTGTAGCTTTTCTACATCATTCATGATCTTGTTTAGCTTTTTTGTCAATTGCTTATTTTTATGCTCTATTGCCATGCTCATGTCAGTCCCCTTTGCTGCGGCATTCTCTAACTGAGCTTTGATGATGTCGGTGGTTGGTACAAAAATTTTCAAGTTTTCATTAATCACTTTGACAGTATAGCTATGCATATCATTTGGCTAATATGCGCACGTATGCGTAATATGTGTTTAGCCACAGAGTTTGGCAACACTAATAATGAATTACCTGTTTATCATTAATTTCAACACTTGATGCCTTAGTGAATTTCTTGATTTCCTTCGTGTAGCTCTGAAGAGGTCCGCTTATCAAATCAAACTCATTACACCAAATAATAAATGGTAATTTTTTGCTAATACTAATCTGGTGGCCTTGTCTAAGGGATCTGGAAGCGTGAATGATGGAGAGAATAACCTTTGTTCATAGTTAATAGATCAGATCGTGGAAAAAAAAAAAAAAAAACTATAAATAGCAAACCTTAAAATGATTTTCAACACCATTATCGTAAAATTGGCTGAATTCATTCGGATCAGGATATTCTTCCACCATAATAGAAGGAGTGTTTCTGCCATGAAGAATAGGTAGTCTTGACCGTGTTTGTTGCCATAATTCCTAATCATAAGGATGAGAATAGTGCCGATAGATACAGTTACACATACCTCTGTAACAAATGGCATAAAGGGATGAGCCAGTCTCAATGAAACGTCCATACATGCATACAATATTTTCATCGTATTCATCTATTTGAACTAAGTATTATATATCTCTATACATAGAATGATATTTACCTTGTCTTGTTCATCTTCATTATGTGGATTCAACACTGACTTGGAGAACTCAACATAGACGTCACATACATCTTCAACAATAAATCTCTTTAATGCATCTGCTGCTTCAAACAATCGAAAGCTTTCAAAAGAAGTCTGACACTTGGATACTGTGTTTGCCATTCTTGATAAAATAAAACGATTGACAAGGGACAGTTGATCCTTGTCGATACTCTTATAGTCAATATTGTTCTCATCCAGCTTATTCAAGCCATATTTGAAAAGGTTCCAGAGCTTATTACAAAAGTGCGTTGTTTGGATCACATTGGAAATGTCTAAATTGATCTGTCTAGATTGCTGTGTATATTGTATAAGCGCAAATCGCAGTGAGTCTGTGCCACAGCTGGGAATTCCGTGTGGATACTCTTTTTCTAGATTTTTTACGCTCCTGTCAATTCTGTTTGTTAAGTTTCTATTTATGGCATACAACGAAAAGTGAATACGCACGTGCTAATTTCCTTTTGTGGTAGATTTGATTTGAGCAAGTCTTGCTTCATCCTTTCCAAGCTGACACCCTCGATAACATGCAATGGGTCAATCACGTTGCCCAGCGACTTGGACATTTTACGCCCTTGTGCATCTCGTACCTATTTGTGCATAAGAGCGCTATGCTGATCCAATTCTTTATAACTTACCATAGGGTGCAAAAAGATCGTTTCAAACGGTGGCTTATGTTCTGTAAAATAATTGGCCAACATGGCCATTCGAGCGACCCAAAAGAATAGGATATCAAATCCCGTTTCCATCACTTGAAGTGGATATCGATCCTACATTATTTGTGTTATTATTATAATAATATGATCGTCGCATCTTACAGGGATTGTTTTGTTTTGAACACCATCCCATCCTAATGCAGAGAGCGGCAGCAAACCAGAAGAAAACCATGTATCCAGTACATCATCATCCTATATAGTTTATTAGTAACTGAGTTCATAGAATTGCACAATCTCACCTTCTTGAGCTCAAAAGGCGTATTCTTGGAATAGCCTTTGTCTGCCAAGAGCCTCTTGGCATTCAATCGGGCATCTTCTGTGTCATTTCCTGTTACCCAAAGATCTACAAAGGGAAATGGAGATTATAAGTCATTTTCTATCTCCTTTCTTCTCTCGGTTACCTTGATCATGATGCTCATTCAACCTTATTTGGTAAGCAGGAATCCTATGCCCCCACCACAGTTGTCGTGATATGCACCAGTCCTGGATATTATCTATATACATTGACATCAGGAACTCTGCTGCTATAACTGATTTAAACCTACCAAGCCATCGATACCATTCTTGAGTATAAGTTTCCGGCAAAATTCTCATCTTGCCCTCCTCCACTTGCTTCTTGGATACGTTGGCCAGTTCACGGCAATTCAGGTACCACTGTGGCTGAAGCAGAGGTTCAATAATATCCCCTGATCTCGAGCAAAGAGCAATACGCATGACATGCTTATCGTCTCTACCCTTATAGCTCCCCAACTCTTTCAATTTTTCAATCACACCTTCTCTCACATCAAATCGATCACGACCCTATCTTGGTTACTAATTGAGCCATTATTGACATATTTGGAAACTTACGACCCACTCCATTATCCCACACTGTTCATTCAATCTACCCATTTTATCAAATATGCTTTTAACAGGAAGATGATGTCGACGAGCACATGCGTAATCATTCGGGTCGTGTGCTGGTGTAATCTATTTGTAAATGAGTCATACTGGTTTCATTTGCTTATTTTTTTGTTACCTTGACTACACCAGTACCGAATTCCATATCAACAAGCTCTTTATCACAAATAATAGGAATCTTATTCCCATGAATTGGATGGTAAACAAACTTGCCATGTAAGCTCTAATCCTTTGGGTAAATGCCTTATTCCATGACTCTCTATTTCGATTACCTTGTATCTTTCATCATCAGGATGAATAGCAACAGCGCAATCACCTAGCATAGTCTCAATACGAGTTGTCGATACTATAAGCTCTGTAAGTCCATTCTGATCTGGATCAGCCACCTTGTAAGAAAAATTATGCAATACTCCAAACTCGACGCTATATAATTCTTGTCAATACGTAAATACAATAGATGAACATTTAATTTACGGTTTGCTTCTGCCTGGTAACTGTATCATCGTTCTTCCTTGAATATCCTTATAATCCACTTCAATATCTGATATCACAGTTTCTAATGCACAGCACCAATTCACAAGTCTGGTGTCACGATAGATAAGACCATCCTTAAACAACTGCATGAACGCGTTCTGAACAGCCTTTGACCTCTTTGCGTCCATTGTGAAAAACTCTTGATCCCAGTCAAGAGATGCACCCATCCTTCTCATCTGATGCAGTATACGATCACCATACGTCTGTTTCCAATTCCAAATCTCCTTTACGAACGAGTCACGGCCCAAATCATGTCGTGTCAATCCACGCTCTTTCATCAGCATCTTTTCTACTACAGATTGTGTTCCAATGCCTGCATGATCTATACCAGGTATCCATTTGACGTCGTACCCGTTCATACGTCGCCAGCGTACGATTGCATCCTCAATACTAAAGGTCAATGCGTGGCCAATATGCAGTGAACCAGTAACATTGGGCGGCGGAGTGATCATGGTGAATTCTGGTCCTTTGGACTTATTAGAGTAGTCAGCGCTGCTTGCTTTAAAGAGCCCATTCTTACTCCACCAGTCGTACCAGCCTTCTTCGACCGTTTTAGGGTCATAGGTTGGTAAGAATGGTTTGTTTGGTTTCTTTTCTTCTAGTAATCGTGTGACATTCTGAGAAAACCCTCGGCGAAATGAAATAAAAGAGTGAGGTTTCAGTAGTAGTTTGCTGCGTGGCTGCTTTGTTGTTAACTGCCTTGTTAAGATTCCATGCTTTTGCATTCTCTCCTGTCAAATATAAAAAAATAAAAAAAAAAAGTGCAGCGGTCGGAAGTGAAGAAATTATTCCATTTTCGGGTTTGGGACTCTTTTTTCTAGTCTTTCAGGAAATCAAAATCCTGAGTGATATAGTCAAACAGGTACCCGAGATCAATAGTTCCCAGGTAGCATTCAATCAAAAAACATCCATATATCAGAGATCGTCTCCTAAAATCAAAAAAGATAGCCCTATGATATTTTATTCTCATGCTTGGTATGTAGACCGTTCCTTCAAAAGCCATTGGAATTCGCTGAAACTCGCTCGCTGCCTTCTCTGGCGTCAAGTTGAGGAAGCTGGTTTCTATGACTATTCTGGGTCCTCAAGATAGTACAACACGAGGAGACTTTGTTGAAGAAATCTTGTTTATAAGCTGTGAAAATTAAGTATATTTTCAAAAATCTCACATAGGCTTTCTTAGTCCTACTTTTGGACGACTTAATGTTATTGGTTGATATTCAACTCTTTCAATAAAAAACAAACAGTCTTACTTAGAGCAATCAGCTAAAAGCTCTAGGCTTTTCATTTCTCGGAGCAAAATGCTCCATTGAGTTAATCTGCTTGATTTGAATATTATATGATTCATATAAGTTCACTGAAAGGGCGCTAAATGATGACGAGCAACGTTATAAAAAATCTATACTTTGGTGCTGTATACTGTTCAAAGGAGAGTTACCTTTTTTTTAAGATGTATGACAGAAGAGTACAGTAAAATTGATAAATGAACAACGTGCATTCACTACAAGTACATTGTCAAGAGATACTTTACACTATAAGCATTATCCAAAGAGAAGGAAGCAAAGCAAACTATCTTTCTTAACAAAATTGACAGTTTGTTAAAATAAAATTAAAGTAATCAACGTTGACTATGACCAAGGAGCTATCAATGTACAATGATGTAATAAACTCCCTTATCAACGATTGACTAACAAATTTATTAATATAAAAGGAGTAGATTAAATGAAAGCGGGACCGTCAATTCAATTTAAATACCGTATATTCAAAATTGCCTATAATTTGCACATCACCGATAAGAATTATCCTCAAATACAGCCAGGGATGCATTTCGTGTAATGTTCATTTCATCCAACTGTTTGACTACATGTAACTCGCTATTATTTTAAGTTACACGGTCGCTAAAGGTGAAACGTGAAGCTAGGGGTGATTTTTATACACTTATTTTAGATTACTTATTCTTTTGTGTCAAGAAGGCGTGCTGCTTGCTATGTACTTGAATATAGTAGAGGTAGTAAAGTCATATTTATGGTCTTTATTGTGATTTTAACATCTTTCATATGAAGCAAAAAAAATGAGTACTAAGAATCCTTGATGTAAGGGGAAAATCTGTAGGAGCTACATAATACAGGGTGACCTGTCCCTTGATGCGGAGATTATTACCGTGTTGAATATGAGACTATTAGGTTAGAGCGTTGTAGATCACGGTTACAACCATGAAGAGATCTATATGAACACTGTGCGTTTTTTTGATTTCTTGCTTAAAGGAGAGTTTAACACAGAAAAATCAAGCTATCACGACGAATAAATCACGTTGAAATAACTAGGCTTTTAATGAAGCAGGGAAGCGTTAAGCAAGGGGAGCATCGTCTCATTTTTATAAAGTTAAACAGGAGCCTTTATTTGCCTTCAGGTTGCATAGCTCAACATTTAAGATCATCATTAAGCATATTTAAGGGCGTAAAAGGATGCCTGAACAACATAAAGCTTAAACTGCGAAATAAAATGTCAAAAAGTGATTACTTTAGCAGAGATGCTTGTGTCTGTAAGAGTTTTTTGATCTTTAACTACTGTCTATTATCCTAGTGTACTTCATTCTTATGTGTTCAGTAACTTTAATTTTCCAGCGATTGATTATAAACGTGAGCACATGGTCCATTATGTATAAAGTAAGTAGACCTATCTACTTACGCAAAAACAAGCATAGACATATGGCAGATTGATTTACCGAGCTTAAAAGGTATATATAAGGAGGCATTTCTTTCATGGTTATCATCATACACACAAACTCAATATGAAATCTATAATCGCTGTTGTTCTCCTTGCTGCAAACTTATTGGTTGCCAATGCCGAGCCTGATTGTTTCAAAACCATAAATCAAGGTGCTGCTACTGTTGCATTGGGAGTTTATACGCAACAATGCGCTACGATCAGTTATAGTGGTGGTGTTATCACCAGTGATGTCAAGTACAATTGTTGTGGTCCTAGCGTTTGGATTCGTATAAATGGTGCTGATTGGAACAAACTTGTTGCTGATGGTAAACTGGATGGACTTAGATATCAAAGGTCTGACCTCACTTTCCGCAAAGTCGTTGGTACTACGCCAACTACTATTTCCGCAGAACAATATCTCCCTTAGTGTGGAATATGTAATTGTTATGAAAACCATTAATAAAAGCCTTTTCGCTTCATTTACCAAATCAATTGTAATAATAATTGTTGAATATTTTATATCAAAAGCAGGCTTCTCTAAGACTTTTCACAAGCTTTGAGGGCGGCACAGTAAATCATGAGCCCAAAATCGATATTTCTCGCAGTTGATCCCAAGCGGTATTCAGCCAAAGAATATCACTCATGCGTCAGAGATAGCCTCCTAAAATCAAAAAAGACGATCCTATGGTATTCTGTTCTCATGTTTGGTGTATAAGCTGTCTCTTCCGAAATGTACTATTTGAATCACGAACTCAGCTTATGACAATTATAAAAAGAATAGTATCCAATTTGCTCTAGAGTTATTACAACGAAAGAAGGTGCTCGAACGATCGCAAAGATCAGCTTTGATCCTACCGAGCCCACTATTGATGAAATTCTACGTTCTGGAATTAGCTTTGATGATTTAAAGACGATTTTAATCCCGATAACGATTTCACTTTTGTTCGGGTCTGTTTGGTTGATCTTCCTTTTCTCCGGATGCCAAACTGTTGGATGGTTTGAAGACTAGTTGAGCCAATTCATACTTATATGAAAAGTGGTTGTGGTGTTTTGAATGTTCCTAAGGGTTGGAGTTATTCGTCACTTAATCACTGTATGTCTTAGTGTAATTCAGATAAAGAAGACTTTTATAGTTATTGTCATGAAATTGGGAACATGTTGTTCGTGATTGCTCTAAACACAACAATCATCGCATCCGTTGGAACTGTGGAGTTGATGGTCATTATCCATATAATCACCATTTCTTATCTTTGGAAGCAGTTGCTTCAGTTACGAAAGCTTCTAGTCCATTCAATGGCCGCACAGAGCTGGCATGATGAACACTAAAATATTTTATTTCCCAAGAGAATATTAGATCAAAGAACTGAATATATCAAACATAAAGAGGATATAATACATCAAAAAGATCATTTAAAAGAAGATCATATGATTAATACTTAAACAGTGACTGAAAGAAACGCGCTCTCTCTGCTGAAGAGAAAATCATTGCATGACAGGAGCAATAGAACTAAAAAACCTAAATATGGGAAAAGAGGGGCTCGTTTAAATTCACAAACTCTAATCCCATCCGTGACTTTAATATTTAACAGATATGAGTCAACTTTTTACCCTTCTTTTTCCCATTTTATTTTTTACCATGGAACAACAAACAGTGACGAATATCACACCCTATCTCTCTGAATGGAGACAGAGTCTTAAGAATAACATGATTGGCAAGAAGCTTTCTGAACTTCGTACCCCGTCTTTAGTTATCGACAAGGCAATACTCGAAAGAAACTGTCAGCAGTTGGGTAAAATTCACACTGAGCTAAACACTAATATCCGTATTCATGTCAAAACACACAAGGTAAACTCCCTTTTGTTTTCAGTATTGAATATGACTTAATTTAAATAAGACAGTAGAAGCGGCCAGAATACAATTGGAGGGCGCAAAATCAGATGCTATAGTTGTTTCTACACTGGCAGAGGCTTATTTCATGATCGAGTCTGACCTAGTAAAGGATCAACTCCTTAAGCAGGTACATATATCATGATGTCTGCAATCTTATTATACACGCATAACTCATGATTTGACCATCAAGGTCTTATTGGGCTTTCCTATCACACCAGACAAATTCGATGACCTGTTCAAACTTTCGAGAAAGGTCACATCTTTTCAAATCTTTATTGGTAAAAGTCAGAGACTAAAGAAAAGTGTTTTAAAGCTAATGCCGCGATACAGATAATTCCTCTACATTGGACGCACTCGAGTCTTATTGTCGATTGAGAAATGAAAGTTTAAAGGCCAATGTGTTCTTAAAGATTGACTGTGGATACGGGTAAATACTAGAGCTAGTTTTCCTATGTATTTTTCTAAAATTAAGATTAGACGCGCCGGCATTCCAGTGGATCAAGAAGAGTCGATTGAATTGGCTAGACGACTTCAGGCTTCTGAACATGTCAATTTTCTCGGTATTTATAGCCATGCAGGCCACTCTTATGCATCTCAGACAGCAAACGCAGCTCTAGAGTACCTCGAAAACGAGTGCAATTCTGCTCGTGCCTTCCGAAACCGATTTGAGCAACATGGTATTACTATAAAGACGATTTCAATAGGCGCCACTCCTACTGTAAAGGCGATCATCAGATTCATGGATGATGCAAGGATCAAGAATATCTTGCAGGGCATTACTGAAGTGCATGCAGGTGCATATGCTTTTCTAGATAGGCAACAGGTGTCTACGACGCTAGGCACATTAGATGATGTTGCAGTTTCAGTCATGGGCCGCGTCGCCAGTAAATACCCCAACCGTCATAGCATTCTTATTGATGCTGGTGGACTGGCTCTCTCCAAGGACACTGCTCCACAGGGAGGATTTGGGTATGTCTTGTTGGACCTTAAACATAAAAAGCCAGTAGCCACAGTCTCAAAAGTCTCTCAAGAACATGGTATAATCACTGATATCGATCAAGAGCTCTTCTCGAGCCTTCACATTGGACAAATCGTTCACGTTGTACCCAATCATTGTTGCCTTACCTGTGCTTGTCATCTGTATTACGTTGTTATTGAAGAAGGAAACGATACAGTTATTGATGTATGGGTACCAGTCAAAGGATGGTAAAAATAAAGAAAGAAATACATATTTATTATTATTATTATTTTACTGGAAGGAGGGGAGATGTTATTATGATACATTAAACAATCTTTGTTGCCCTATAAAAACTAGCATACATATTAACGCGATCAATGACTTGACCAGGACGGCGAATAGCCAGAGGCTCTACAGTAAAGCTATATTTCATAAACAACTCATTATACCATGGCCTTGTTCCTGCACTGCGCCAGTAGACTTGACCTCCCGGCTGTAACACGCGTTTCATTTCCATGATTTCGTTTTCTAATTCTTGGCATTCATTAGGATCAAACCAGTCCATATGATCCATGACCACAAGTCGTGTCAGATAATCATTGGACATGCCTTTGAGTGCATCCAGGATAGATTCTGTATGCAAGCGGAATGCGTTTAATGCTCCAGAGGTCTAAAAGTAAAGATAAGTATATGATCCAACATCATATGAGCGTTATTTTTACCTTTAGAGTGTTGAATCCTTCCTTTGTAAGATAAGAAGGACAAGATGTGTGACTATAACGCTGCTTCAAGCAGAGATAGTAAAAGTACTGATCGTCCTTGAAAAGTGAATGAGACGGAATAGGATCCAAGGTATTTTCAATATACTCTTGGCAAGTGCTTTCTTTAAGGAACATGTTCATCTGATTTATGGGTACTGCAGAAGACGTTATTACACTGTACTTTCTCTATCTGCTATTGTTTACCTCCTAATGCGTTCCACATGAACATTGGGTTATGTAACACCTTTTGAAGCATGGGTGAAAAGATAGCAGGCTTTATCGTGTTTTCCCAAATTGACTTTTGCTCTTTAATCGTATCAGCAGATACCATAGCATTCACTGCATCACCTAGTCCTTGCATACGAATCCACCATTCGAGAATAGATAAGGCTAAACCAGAGTATCCCGTCTTGTAAAACTTGTGATTGAAACGGTCTGAATGATGAGACCAGTATTGAAAAGCATATGAACTTAGATGAGGTGAGAGCGTTTCATGTAGTAAGACAGAGAAACGAGGATTATAGCCATCACCAAACATTCGCCAGAAATCTTGGTATTCCAAGCTGGTGATACCTGCAAGCTTGAGTTCCAACAAATGGTTCTATAAAAGCGATAAGTTTTATGCTTTCATTTATGCCAAACAAAACTTACTTGACAGGGATTCATATCAATACAGTGGATTCGTTTGGGTTGTGCCTTTAAAGCATACTCGAGAGCGTTATCACCTGCAGATGTGATCACAAACATAACATCTTGGCTTGAGATATTGAGGTACTCCAAATCAACACGTGGATCCTCCCAGGTAAATGCGTAAATGTAAGATCTAAACTGGGTATGACAAGGTAAGTAAGGGTCATAATCCAATCTCCATTGCTTATTTTGATAACTAAATGAGCCACGCTTGACCATTTGATTTTGTTGACTTTGGACAGAAGATCGACCACTGGCCACACTATCCGTGTCATCAGACATTTCGACAAGACTTGATAATTCGGCTTGGCGAGCGTTGGAGCAGCCTAACCAGATATAGTAGGGCATCTGGATCAGGTAAGGAATAATGAAATGGTTTCGACGGTTGAGGGATTTGATCGTACCAAACTTGTATTCCAAATAATCTCGACGACCAGGATATAGGTGGATATGGTCTAGTTCAAACCAGGCATGCCAGAAATGTCTTGTGAACCAGTTACACTGTCTGTTTTGTTGAGGTGACCAGCTTTCAGCAGGTGCACGTGATCGACCAGAGACGTAAAAATCAACGACACCTACGACACCCTCGGGTGATAGCAAGGATTGTATACGATCGACTACAGGGTAAAAATGATCCATCATAGATACTTAAAGAATACGATAAGAACAACCGATCACGAAGGTTTTATAATAAACTTACAGGCGTATGATACGGTGACTAACCCAACACGTCCTTCTAACGATCCTTCATCGCCAGGCACTTGAAAGCTAGCTGCATCTTCACATAGAACCACCACATTCTTCCATCCCTTCTTTTCAAAACGTTCTGCTGCTACTGCACAGAGCGATGGTGTCAGGTCAACAAGGATTACTTTTTCAAATTGATCGATAGGGAAATAATCATTCATGGTTTCGATGTTCCAGCCTGGACGATACAATTTTAAAAACCTCTCACTCGACCCGATTACGAACTTACCTGTTCCACCGCCAAGATCAATCCAGATAGGTTTCTTGTTCATCATGCCTGAGGCAATTTGCTCCTTTAATTGTGCAGCAGAGAGCTTTAACATCGTCTTACGCCCTCTCAAAAGTGCTCCACGAGAATGATCGTAAACTATGAAATGTTAGTTACAAACGCACCCCCTTCTGTCACTGTTTTGTTTACTTTTAGCTTGATCTTGATAAAACGATTCCAGTCTGCCTTGTAGGTTATGACCATGTTCACCCAAGGGCTTAAAGAAGCACGAATACATAAACTTGAGAGGTGTCTGAATGTGTTGCCAAGCGACAAGACAGAAAACGGAAGCAGCGGAACCAAAATATAGAGAGAGCAGGAGCCATCGCTGATAGACTTCATTTGCAAATACATTAAGCAATTCAGTCTCCAGTTGAATGGTATATATGCCTATCATAGCAATCGGTACCAAAGCAAATCGTACAGAGAGTGGTAAATGATACATTTCTATTGAAAATAAGAAAAAGAAAAGAAAGAAAGAAAAAAAAGGAGGTGAATCGTAATTTACTTAAGGGGAAGCCAAATTAAGGGGGCGGGACGATAAACACTATGTTATAAGCTACTCCATTATTTTCCCAATCGTAAAGGATCATCTTGAACACACACTCTCTGGATTCATTAGTAGCTTCAAGCTAACAAAAGATAATTTCTACCAATGAAATATCAAGAAATGATCCATTATCTCACATGATGCACTGTCAATCTTGACCTATGAAAAAGTCTATTTGAGGGATGAAACAACTTTATTCGTTTTCTAAAATATCTTCAGATAATCCACGGTCCCTTCTCCATTTCAAAAAGTCGTCATATGTCTTGACCTTACCATTACTTTCCTGAACAGTCTTTTTGAAGACAAGCAAAGAGTTTTGAAATCGACGCTTGTGGTTTGAGAACCAGTAGGTGATGTTCCTAGGCTTTAATCCCGTTTCTTTTTGAACTTGTTTACGCTGTTCTTTCGTCAGTTTATCTCTAACACTGTAAATGTCAAAGAAGATAGACTTTAGATAATGAGTAGTTTGAGCATCATAGGACGTAGCAGTTCTTCTTGTGTGCTTTGATTCAGAGGACTGACGACGCGATCGAGAAGAGCTAGAGTTTTTGCCTTTCTTGGAAGCTTCCCTTGTCCTTTTTCGATAACCATAATCATCGTCATCTGCAGGGACCACATAGTCTTCATCATCGTCGTCATCATCGCTATAATCATAGTCGTCGTCTTCCTCTTCTTTTTCTAGTTCATATTCTTCATCACTCATTTCCTCCTTTACGTCTTGCTTATAATTGTCTTCTTCAGATACGTTACTCATAAGTGATAGATCATTTGAAGAATCACCAGTAAGTCCAGGATGAATGAATAAAGACTGATCTTCGGACCACGTGGGGGTAGCTGGAAGTGAAATGAATGGCTGGTGCTGACTTTGTTGTTCAACCGAAGGCGTAACAGGTGCTGAAGACCAAAAGTGAACCCAAGAGGGTTCAATATGGGGGAACTGGGCATCGTTCACATGGTGCGGAATGTAAAAAGCTGGACTCGAGTCGCCAGCCAAACGATTTTCTTGCTTGACAGGATCCAAACAGGTTGACTCGAGAGACAAGAGCGAGAACGTATCCATGGCCTGCTCTGCTAGATCTTGGTCAGATACTTCACTGACGGGAACCCTGACTATCAAGTTGTTTTGAAAAATAGGTAATGCGTAGGGGTCCAGCTTAAATTGACTGACTTCTTGCTTAATCTTCACTACGGCTTCTACCAAGGGAGCAATGGCCTCCAGCGGACTCTGATCGAACCAGACACGGCCATTTTCAATAATCTGGAGAACTTGGTGCATTACTTCCATCTGATCCTTCAATCGACGGACGGCAGAGAACATGCTACGGGGGAGCGTCTTGGGGTTGCAAGCTGCCTGAGAGTGCGACCTGATGATGGAGCACATCAAGTAGTGTGCTTGCAGAATGCTATATTGGAGCCAAGCTTGAACCGTTGTCCGATACTGGGGCTCCTTGGCCATCATGATGTGCTTTTGAAAGTCTATCCAAAGACGCGAAAATTGAGAAAAGCTTGGGTGAGAGATAAACAAGGGCAAGTCAGGAAAATGACGAAGCATTTCTACCAGCGAAAAGGGCGATTCGTCATACCCTTCAGTCTCGATTTGATCCACAATATCGACATGGGCTTGAGGAGTGAGAGTAGTAGAGAGATCATCACATGCATCATCAGAAATGTAAACTGGCACTGATGGCTGTGTTTGATAGGTATAAGCGTCATATGACATATTGCTTTGTTCTGGCCTATTGTTGGCCTGATAAAAGTACTGTTCTTGAAGCATAAAATATAGACGATATACGAGAGAAAAGAAGAAAGAGAGAGTTATATAATTTTTGTGTGCCTTGACTTCTGCTATTTTAACGCGTAAAAACAAGTGTTTATAAGCCTAAAGTATTCAAGAGAAGTATAATTGCAAGCCTGTTCTTTACCTGTTTTGAATTGACTTATTTATATAAAAGTGTACTCAAGCCCAACTTTTATAACATATAATCTGTATTTTTCCTATTCAAGCGAACAATTGAATATAAAGAGCACTATGGTTTATTTTATGTTTCTTGATTATTTTGAAAGAGTACATATTTCATTCTTTTGTATAGCTTTAAATAACCAATGACAGCTATCATAAACAGAAGGAATAAAAATAAATAGTATTGCTGATTATTAGCATAAGTTTGTGTTATATAATAAATATCTTCTTCTAATATTGTCTCATAGGTCATGTTCAGTTTGTTCTTTGATTGATCGTATTCCTTTACTAACCCTTCAATGATCCCCTTTGACGGTCTGATTTCATATGTCCTTGAATGAACAGTTGGCTCCTTTGTTATGTTTACTCTCGGTGTGAATGATGCTGACTCAATAATACTTGTTGCTATCGTTTTATGGAAAGCTATTTTGCTGTAAGTTCTATGATCTATTTATAGTATAGTGTACCTATAATTATATTATTTTACCTGTTGAAAAATGTGTATGATCCCACCAAAGGTACTCATGATCATCAGGACAGTCAGTACAATCGGAGGTAATAGGAATAGATGTTTGTTTGTAGTTGAATAATGCTGGATTTACTATAATGTCGTTAACAAGCGAATTTATATCTACAAGGTCCATCTCCAATGCGTGATGGTGTCTATTAAGATTTGCAATATCCTTTTCCAACAATTTATTTATCTCTACGGCTGCTTGATTTTTCTCAGTTGCTTGGTCGGTGTTTAAATAGTATGGCATATATTCAAGTGGTGGTATGTTGAAGATGATAAACTTGTTTGCTTGAAATACTTTGTTGATCGACCTCTAATAGAAGGCTATTAGGTTATGTATTTACCTAAGCATACACTATTTACCAGCTGTTGACCGATACATTCTGCAATCTGTTTAAAGTCAACCTCTATTCTATGATTATTATTATTGAACATAATAGAGCTCTATTTAAACTTACCTTTTTTCTTTGACATTTTATTGATGTCATGGAGACCAAACCAAACACCATAAACAGTCTCGGATGAATTTAAATTTAACTCAAGTTTATAATATCCTTCAACTTGATCTTTAAAGCTTGGTATATATTGTTTTGTCTTTGGGTACATGTTATTATCGCATACTGATCCACTGTATGCAAAATTATAAAGTGTGGCATTCCAAGAAGAAGCTAAATATTCATTCCATAACGGACCATTACACCAACGCTGACCATTACCAACATCTTTAAACGAGATGAGTATTCTTTTTTAACATGTATTTTTTTTTTTATATAAGCTACCTGAATTCGAATCACCAAATATCACTATATTCTTGACCTCGCTCGCAAGCACTAATAGTGAAAGTTGAGATAAACTCAAGGCAACATTTATCCTCATTGCTGTTTGCAAAAAGAAAGGGAAGGGGAACTAAAATAAATGATTTACATAAATTTCCCAAAATAGAAAAATTACATGAATTATTTCATATAGAGTTTAAACCTCACTATAAGAAAACTATTAGCCTTTTTCGCCAAGAGAATAATACACATCGTACCCTTTTGTCTTTATTTCAGAAACCTGACGAGCATGTGATGTAGAAAAAGTATAATTCACGCTTTTTAGCACTTTGTAATCGAGGAAAATAATGAACTTTAACACACCTAGCAAATGAAGACTATATCAAAAATAGGCTATAGAAGCATATAAGGTTGACCACCGAGCTTGCTTAATGACTCTCAATTTGAATATGATAATACATATCTACTAGAAAAAATTCATTACGATGGAAGAAATTGACGAGATGGACAATGCATCTCAAAGTTCATAGTGGTGTTCCCTCACTTTCACATCAAGAGTTTCTAAATACCAAAAAAGGCAATGTGTAATTGATTTGGTAAGCACAGATTTATATCTGCAAATTGCTCAATAAAAAAAATTTTCAATTAGAAAATGCTTATACTTCACTTCTCTCATTTGTGCGTTATATTTAGGCCTATTGAGCCTTCTTTTTTTCTTTTTTTTTTTTTTTTGCTCTTTGTACCCTTTTTCGTTTTGCTTGTTTTTTTCTGTATATTTTTTTTTTAAAAAAAACGTCCCTTTAGAGACAACAGCAAGGGCAAACTCCGTTTAAACTATTGTTTTATTTGGAAAATAGGGTAAAGTCACACTGTACTCAGAAATACAAAAAGTAACAGGATTGAAAAGAAGTAAAGAGAGAAAGAGAAAGCTGAATTGATGACTGAATGAAAAACAACGTCATTCTCATCGCCTAATTGATCTAAATAATTAATAAAAATACAAAGAAGTAACAAATAAAAGCTTTGAACGGAAAAAAGGATCGGATATCATCAGTCCATCAGTTCTAAATTTTCTTTTCTTTTTTTCTTTTTTTTTTTATATATTTTTATATTATATATTAAATCATGTCTGTCATTGAAGAAAAGGCAGATAAAATAGAATGCACAGATAATGAACTAGTCTCACATCATTCAATATCAAATCATCATGAAGACGAACAAGTGACTTGGAAAATGAAGACACTAGTACTGCTCTGTTTATTTTCATTACCGGGTATAAAAATAAAATACCATACATCATCTCTTGTTGGCTTATAAGATCCATATAGTGGGTTGTCATTATCTGGAAGCAACGGTTGGAACATTAAAGACAACATTAAAGCAGGTAATATATACACTTTCTTTCCTTTATTTATGCTAATACCGACATCACACCCAGGAAATGCAAATCAATAATACCCAATTTAGTATTTTACTATCCTCCGTTACACTTGTAAATACCGTTTTACCGCTCGTGGCAGGTTCTCTCATAGACGACGCTCATAGCATAGGTTCTGTACGTTCAACATTTATCGTAAGCATCATTATTCTACTTGGAAGCATTCTAGTCTCTATTGGTGCCACTATCTCTAGCTATTCTTGTATGATGACCGGTCAAATTATCTATGGCCTCGGTGGAGGAATGATCGTAACGATGCAGGAGGGCCTTATTTCCCGCTGGTTCCGGGATAAAGAAGTCACTGTTATCATCGGCGTCATGCTTTCTATTGCCCGATTAACCAAATGGGTGGCTAAAATGGTGGCATATCCTATTTACAACGCAACAGGATCCTATGCGAGTTCGATCCATATTGCTACCATGTTTTGTGCTTTGGGTGCACTGGCCAATTCCATCTACTGGTTCGTCCTTTGGCAAAAAGGATGGGCTACCGTGACAGGGAGAGAAGTACAGTCGAATAAATCGAGTCTTCATTATAAAAAGAAACAACCGTTCAAATGGTCCTATTCTGTACTGTTGCATATTCCAGGTATATTCTGGATGGTGCCCCTTGTTCAACTGGTTATGTCTAGTGTTCTTAGTAGCTTTGATGATGTTGCAACGTAAGTTTTATTCCGATGTATGGCACACATTATCTAACCTTATGATATAGTGAGTACATTGAATTTCGTTACGATACTGACTTTGTCTTGGCTGGTGTAAGTTGAGTTCATTGCTTGTAAAAAGAATAAGACTGACCTCTTTTAAAGTACCAAAGTAGTTTGACTCAGGTAGTTCCTATCGTCGTTACTCCAATCCTAGGTATCCTTGTGCATAAATATGGCCAACGCCTGACAATATGTATGCTTTCTTGTTTAAACATCTACAGTATCATTGACCTTTTTTTATATAGTATTCTTTGCTACCATCATTCTGTTAGTCTCTATGGTACTCCTTAGTTATACTTGGGTTACGCCAGCCGTCGGTATGATCCTATTTTCACTTGCTTTAGCCCTAGGCCCAGTATCTCTCCTGAGTTCCACTTCATTACTGCTTCCACACGAACTCTCTGGTACAGGCATGGGACTACACAAGTGCGCCAACAATATTGGCACCACGATTGTTTCTGTACTAGTAGGCTATGTTCAAGATCTCACATATCATGACGGTGATCCTGATGACGATAACTATGACCTCCAAAACGAATATACTGGTGTCATGATATTCTATCTTTTCTTAGCTGTCCTTTCCATCTTTATCGCTGCTACCTTTTGGCTACTGGATCGCTTCGTTCTTCGTAGCTGGCTTCAGATAAACAAAGCGGAACGTGAAAAAAGGCTTGATCAGTGCGTGGATGCGTGTGAAAAAGAGCAAAAAGAAACAAGTTTGAAGTATGTGGGTATGCAACTTAGAGATAAGAAAAAGTACATCTACATCGCCTTCTTTATGTTCTGGTTGCTGGTCTCGTGGGCTGTTTTCTTTACATTTGCGCTCATGCCAATTTATGAAAATTATTCATTAAAATAAGCTTTTCCCTTTTCTTTATCAAGACTCGCAGGTTATATAGAGTAAATACTTGTTCAAGTTCTTCAACACTGCTAATTCAATGCTAAATCCTAAATAAGTATTTTTATTTTGAGATATATGCTGTTAGAAGAGTAATTGGATATTGTCCATACGGAAAAATAAGCTGGAGGCAATCGTCAAGATATAACAAAGTTGATACTACCTTGGTGCATGCGCTGACACTAAAGGTAATGTTGAACATGGTGTTATTTACTATATCTGATCTTCATTTCTTTCTTTCTTTTTTTTTTGGTATCTTTAATATTCGATGCTCACGTCTCTCGCTGATGACGATAATTATCCGATCGCGAATAATAACACTACCTTTTCCTCAGTTGTGACTTACTGTGGAAACGCTTTTTGAGAAATCTTATTGTAATCTTCGGTAATGCGATCTTGCAAATGCTTCTTCTTCTCCTGAGTTTACTCTTAGCTACCAGCTAAAATTGTTGTATCAGGGGAATAAACTGGCAAGTATATACATGCACCTTTCAACCAAGTTTTGAACATCAACTCGTTTATGTATAGGAGTGATATCCATGACCAGAAAAGAGTCGTGCATATACTCAAAGTTATCCATGATATTAAGAGTTTCTTTCAAAAAAAACAGATGATGATTAATCGTAGGTGTTTTCAATTTTAACAATGGATGCTTCACCTCCTTGAGAACTCATGCACCACAAAGGTTCATATTTTTATGAAAACCAGACTCATCAATGAAAATACAGTTCCTGAGAAAAAATTCATGATCTTTCATGTGCCCCCATTCGTACCTTGGTTGAATTGCACTTTTGTCACTGTTTCTACGAATTCAAAGATGCGACAAGTGAAATTTTGAAATCCGACAATTTGATATGGAAACGCTGTAGGTCCAATCAAGAGTAAAGGAGTTGAACACACCAATAGTCTTGTTGCAATTACGATCCCTTCTCCGCCGATCTTTTTCTTTCTCTTTTTTTTCTACTTTTACTTTTTGTGTGTGTATTGGAAAATGTCAAGCCCTTTACCAGTAAACGCCAAAAAAAGGAACGGTGGTGATGATATAGACGATCATGTTGGTTCCTTTGACCGTGCAGAATCTATAGCTAAACTTGGTTCATCTGTACCCTTTGGTACTTCCCCAGCGAGAAGCATACGGTCACATAGAACCTATGGTAGTACGCATCCTCATGATCCATCTAGACCTCATTCTCCTTATGGAGACACTCTGACGGTAGACATGCCTGATGAAGAAGTGGCCAGAGCTGTCAGACGTCATTTGGTATCCACATCGCCTTCTGGCTCACATCTTCGTCCACCTTCAGCTCATCCTAGTGTCCATAGCGAAGATGACGAAGCACACAGCATACACAAGCTCCCAGGTGGGGCGATCACACATGATATCTATAAATGGACAGAATCGGTCGAACAGGAACAACTCGCTCGTAAGAAACGGTCTCAATCGATGATGGTCGTCCCTCACCAGCCGTCAGACCCTGCTCTGGCCAATCTCAAAGACCCCGGAGGATTCCGCCGTCATTTTGTGTTTAGAAAGGCGGCCAAGAAGGGTAAAAAGCCGCCAATGTGGGTAACGAGCTCATTTGTCGATTTCCTGGCCCTGTATGGTCACTTTGGTGGTGAGGATTTAAGTGATGAAGAAGGTTTAGATAGCGATGAAGAGGAGGAGAGAAGAAATCGATGGCAGGGTCGTGTCGAAGAAGAAGAAGAGATGGATGAAAGCACGAGATTACTGAAGCAGGCACGAGCAAATGCAGTACAAGGAACCGCAACCCCAGCTAAGGCTGTCTTTTTACTTCTCAAGTCCTTTATTGGTACAGGCGTCATGTTTTTACCCAAAGCGTGCGTTTATTATAAATATAGAGATAGTGTCAGGCGAGGGCTAAATTTGTTGCCATAGATATTTTAACGGTGGCTTGGTCTTCTCGACTGTTTTCCTATCATTTATTGCAGCCATCACACTCTATTGCTTCTTACTTTTGGTAGAGACACGTAACAAGATACCTGCCTCCTTTGGCGATATCGGAGGTATCCTGTTTGGTAATTCCATGCGAATGCTTGTCTTGGTAGCCATTACTACATCTCAGGTAAATTTTGTGTGACAATGAATGCTATTCGGAAACGCTGATCGTATTTTCTTCCGTAGATCGGCTTTGTTTGTGCCTATATGGTATTTGTAGCACAAAGTATACAGGCAATGGTTCAAGCTATTACACACTGTGAAACAACCATCCCTCTCCAACATCTCATTCTGGGTCAGGTTGCAATCTATGTGCCCTTGGCTATGATCAGAAAGATTCAAAAATTGTCATTCACAGCATTGATTGCAGACGCCTTCATATTGATAGGTTTGGTGTATCTGTATTATTATGATACTTTTACCTTAGCCCTCAAGGGCGTTGGCAATGTCGAATGGATCATCAATCCTTCATCTTTTCCAATGTTTATTGGTACAGCCGTGTTTACTTTTGAAGGCGTTGGTTTAAGTAAGTAAAAAAAGATAACGAACGATTTCTCCAATATACAGCACAGCTAATCTGTATATCTGCCTAGTCATTCCTATTACTGAATCTATGAAAGACCCAAAAAAATTCCCCAAGGTCTTGTCTTGGACTATGCTATTCATTACCGCCTTATTCATATCTGTCGGCTTACTCTCCTATCTGGCCTTTGGCGACAAGGTACAGACAGTCATCTTGCTAAATCTACCAGTGACTCCGACTGTGAATGCGATTCAAGGTCTATACGCCATTGCCATCTGTCTTTCCATTCCCTTACAGCTCTTCCCTGCCATTCGTATTGTCGAAACGGGACTCTTTTCCAAGTCTGGTAAATACAACCCAATTGTAAAGTGGCAAAAAAATATGTTGAGATTTGCTACTGTCTTACTTTGTGCTGCTATTGCGATTGCTGGTTCTGGAGATCTTGACAAGTTTGTATCCTTGATCGGATCAGTATTTTGTATTCCACTCTGCTTCTTGTTCCCACCTCTGTTCCACTACAAGGCGGTGGCTAAATCTTGGGCGAGTAAGGCTGTGGATATGATTATTATTGCATTTGGTGTAGCTTGTATGCTTTACACTTCTTATATAACAATTGGACTATGGACAGCAGAAAGTGAGCCCACAGCTCCTATTTCTCGTTGTTAACCAAACTGAATTTTTGTTATAAAATATACCTTTTTTTACATATATGTCATATCCAAACATAATTCACGCTTATTAAAACTAAGGAAATTACCCTTACAATAACACTTATTAGTATATAACATCATTTTTTGATTCAGATATCACAGCAGTAAAACCAGGAAACCCTTAATTAAGCTACTCTACCCCAGGACAACTGTTAGACCCACGTCAACTATAATTCCACAGTAAACTTGAATAGTATAAATAAGAACTACTCTTTAGCAAATAAAAGAATTAATTCAGTCTTACTGTATCTTATTGTCTATTATTACTTTTATATTCCCACAATATATACACTTTTCAAAAGACTAAATTTTGTGTTTATTAAATAAACTGATATAAGGCCAAGACCAAAAAGTGCTCGAGGCTGCAGATCGGATGATATAGTTACAACAAATAGCCGAATATAACATAGAGTATACAACAATAAGCGGTGCTTACTTTGTAAGCTACAATCTATTGAGGCCCATTATTACAGATGGCTGTTGTAATAGGCTAGGACAACATCACTGAAACTGCGTTCATATATAAGAAGTGGTAAAAGAGTAGAAGCGAGAATTTGTTCGAGAAGTGCAGCAAAAAGAAAAGATGCCATTTTGTTTCAATGTTAAGAAATTAACTTTTGATGAAACATCCAACAGGTATTATTTCAATTGATTTGGTAAACGAAGTAAAAAGGTTTTTATTAATGGCTTGCATAACAACTACATATTCCAAACTAAGGGAGATATTGTTCTGCAGAGATAGTGATTGGGTTAGTGCCATCCATTTTGCGGAAAGCGAGGTCAGGTCTTTGATATCTAAGTCCATCCAGTTTACCATCACTACGAAGTTTCTCCCAATCAGCATAGTTTATGCGAATCCAGCCGCTAGGGCCACAGCAAGTGTACTTGACATCACTGGTGATAACACCACCACTATAACTGATCGTAGCGCATTGTTGCGTATAAACTCCCAATTCAACAGTAGCAGCACCTTGCCTTATGGTTTTGAAACAATCAGGCTCGGCATTGGCAACCAATAAGTTTGCAGCAAGGAGAACAACAGCGATTATAGATTTCATATTGAGTTTGTGTGTATGATGGTAACGATGAAAGAAATGCCTCCTTATATATACCTTTTAAGCTCGGTAAATCAATCTGCCATATTGTCATCCGAACATAATTCACGCTTATTAAAACTAAGGAAATTACCCTTACAATAACACTTATTAGTATATAACATCATTTCTTGATTCAGATATCACAGCAGTAAAACCAGGAAACCCTTATTTAAGCTACTCTATCCCAGAACAACTGTTAGACCCACGTCAACTATAATTCCACAGTAAACTTGAATAGTATAAATAAGAATCACTCTTTATAAAATAAAAGAATTAATTCAGTCTTACTGTATCTTATTGTCTATTACTACTTTTATCACACATATGACCATATAGTAACTCTTCGTTCCGCTTTGTTTGTATACAACTGACCATATGCTGGGGTTAATAGTCAAGCGTTAGAAAATAGACGCTTTATTTAAAAGCTACTAAACGCAAAAGAGTGAAGCACGCTGACATAATAAGAAATACTTACAGTTGTAATGATATAGTAGCTAAAGAATAAAGTATGTATACAGGTGGCAAGTATCTGTAGTAGAGTAACAGCATTTTGACATTTTATTTCGTGTATTACGCCTTGTGTTGCTCAAACATCATTTTACTCACATACACATGCTTAAAAGTTTAATTATGCAGCTAAAGATAAACAATAAGTCCATGTTAGAGATTATAGATGTAACACTGCTTCATCTTTATTTTACTATTGATTTTGAGAGTATTGTAGACCTATGTATTCCACCTCTGTTTTCTATGTGGATTTACTATAGTTTGAATTTTTTACTTTATATAAAGCGATACTTTCATTATGTTGTTTGGTTTTTTTCTGCGTTATTAGCTCTCGCTTAACCAAGAAATCAAGACGTGTATATGTTTATAAACCATAATCTGCAGCGTTCCAAGTTAAAAGTCCCATATTTGACACGTTCAGGATACGGAATTAAATTCCTCATCAGAGATTCTCAGTATTTATTTCTTCTTCCTATTTAATAATGTCAAAAATATAGTAAAGATCATAAATGTAGCTCTGTTATTTCTACTGCATTTAAACACATTACAAAAGTAAAAGCAATCTATAGTAAGCGTACATCTTCTCTCACGGTATCTAGGGAAATTCTTTTCGGTGATGTATAAACTTTAGGTAATTTTAGGGTATACAGACTTTAAACTAAATTGAGTGTTCTTGAGTTTGTGTTCATGATCATGCTACTCTTTGGTAGTAATAAACTTGTGTAAGTCGATAGTTGATAAACTGATTTCATTATACTACAATTCTTTATAGAAAATGAAAGCGCGTATCCATCGTTGTACGCTAATAGTTCTACTTTGATTGCTTACATGTCGTTTGAGACATTTATGTAACCTCTTCAATAGAAAGTATATGTCCAAATAAGACTTTTGTGTCCTCAATGTTTTCATAAAAGGCAACGTTCTTTTAAGTAACACTTTGCTTAATGACTGTAATGTTTCAAAAACAAAAACAAGGTACAACAAACACAGAGTAGTGAGTCTAAATTTTATGACGTACTATAAGCAATATTTTTTCAAGCAGGACTAGATAAATTGTGATACTGGAGCCTAAGAAGAAAAGACTCATGCATATCAATCAACCAAACAACGTGAAAAAAAAAAAAAAAAATAAAAATAAAAAAAAATCAATGTATTGATCGTATTCGTGTACTACTTAATGAACAAAGCTTCATATACAAAGGTGCTCATCTACAGCTAAATACTATATAAAATGAAGCAAACAAGAAAATGATCCAGTGGTAATTTTTAAAATTCAGTAAAAGACAGCATAAAGCATTAAATTTCACTGTTCATTGTTACATCAGGTTTTGGTGGCAAATCTCTACCAGCCTTTGCCCATTCTTTCAACACTTCGCCAGGCTCGCCCAGGACTTCGATAGCACGAATACGGCGATTATGTTCATTATCACATTTGACTCCTTGCTTACCGATAACAACACGGCTTGATTCTTTGTCCATATTCTTTTCTCCCTGCTTTACAAAGGCTCGTACACCATTCACCATGACAGGTCCGTCTGGCTTGAAGAGTTCTGACGCGCTGTTCACAAATTCATGAACGGTATCATAGCATTTTAAGCGTGCACAAGTATTCAAGAACTGTGCAGAACAACTTGGACAGCAGAGCATCAAGATGTTGCAAGAGGAGTGAGAGCAGTTTTGGTATCTATTGCATGGTTGTCCACAGATTTGGCATTTACCAAAGACATCATCTGTAATCTTTTCGCCCATACGTGCATCAAATGTGAAGTTCTTGCCTTTGAAAAGTGATTCTTTATCCTCTTGCTCTGCGATCCATCGGCCATATGCAGTGATACCGCCATCGACTAGATGCACTTTTTTGAACCCTGATGCAGATTGTAAAATGGCACCTGCCTTTGTGCATCGAATACCGCCAGTGCAGTACATGAATATTTCTTCATCCCTTGGAACTTCAGCGCAGATTTCGTTCATGGCTTTAATGCAATCTTTATAAGTATCTGCGTCGGGGCGGATGGCACCTTCAAAAAATCCAATGTTGCTCTCGTAGTGGTTTCGCATATCGATCAAGATGGGCTTCTTTCCATGCTGCTTTTCATATGTGCTGAGCTTCTCATGCCATTCAGCCGGTGAAAGATGAGAAGGCACATTATTAAGATTGTAAGAAGAAGGGTCTAGGCCGTCGACGATAAGCTATAGAGTGAAAATAACCTGTCAGACCGTGTTTCACATGTTTGAATCCATTCTTACCTGTTTGCGAATACGGACATGCAAAGCACGGAAAGATCTCTTACCGTGCTCTGTTCCCAAATTCAAATCCATCAAGTCTCCTCCCACCAAAGGCTTAATGCTCTTTTCTACATATTCTTGAAGCTTTGGCAGACACTCTTCAGGACAAGCCATCTGAGCGTTAATGCCTTCTTTTGAAATATAAATTCTTCCAACGATGCCAAGTTCACCAAGGTCGATCAATAGTTTTTCTCGAAGTTCTTCTAGTTGAGGCTGAGTAAAGTCATGAAATTTATAGAAAGCAAGTGTCTTGTAAGTAGTTGGATCATAGTTTTCTATTTTAGATACGGGTTGGTTGCGTAAAGCTGGTGTGCAAGTGGATAGCTCGGAAGTGGGTATATGTGTTATCAGATCAGTCATTGGTGTATAAGTTTTAAATATGTTTTGAACTCGAGTGTGTCTTTGGCTGATCAATGATAATCGTCTGCTAGATCTAACCAAACAGCGAAACATGAATAAAATCTGACAGGGCAAGAGACTTTATAAATCAAGGGGCAAATTTTAGCTATAGAAAAAAGAAATGCCAGTCACAACTGCATTTTGGGTCAAAGTCAAGGTACAGCATAAAGAAAAGTTGTATTCCATTGTTTTCCTCAACAATAACCAAACGTATAGACATGCTTAGATCTATAGCTAAAAAAAAGTTTTCGATTTATATTATAATAGCATTTATCTTTGATATCCAGTTGTAGTGGTATTTTTGGTCCAAACTCACAGTAATATATTTTATTTCAAAGACCCAAAAAAGTGGACTCTAAACTTCACACGTGTTGCATGTTCTATGCGTTTTATTTCATGTTGTAATATCAACACAAATATTTCAAGTGTAAATCTAGAGTTGAAACTATTGTTAAAAGACATAAATAATCTCTTTGATATATTTCATTGATTGAAGAAGCAGTCAGCCACAACTTAATTAAACGGTCACGCTTACAACAAAAGGTAACAGTACAAAAATTTTTTTTTTTGTAACTCAGAGACACTTTAAAAAGAGCGTCATCACGTCAGACAATCATCTTGTTCTCTTTTCCTACTTGATGTAGAGAATAAAAGGTAAAGTATAGTTTTTATTTTATTGGTTTAGTTGTGTACATACCTAGGGGACACACATTTTCCCCCTTATGCACAGGATGAATAAGTAAACTGGCATAGTTCAACAGACAAGGACTTACTACCCTTCGAATGTTGACGAAAAATACTTTCGCCCCTATCTGATCATATATGTACATAATAACGCCATACTTAATTATTTATTTAATATGTATCCTTTACTAATTTATCCTTTAATTAGATATGTTTATTTTTCTTTGTATAAAAGTGTGGACTTAACATTTTTTTAAAATAAATTATGTGTCTATAGTGTGTTATATACGATCTTAGTATTTTTGTGACTTAATATTTCTATTTTAATTACAATCCTCTTGACTATAAGATTAAATTTTAAGCATACAATTAACTTGAACAAAAAGACAGGTGATTTTCGTGTCCAAAAGAAAATTTTTATTACTTTTCGATAACGGTCCATTATATAAGGGGTACTAATGGTCATCAGGTCTATACTAGGAAGGCAGTGGTTATTTATTTTCCATGAGTTCTGTTCGTTTCAATATGATTGAATTGTATTATTTTTACAAGTGGAAGATTGCTTCACTGTATATTTTTTTAATCATGAAATAATCTCTGATCTGTGACTGTTTTTGGCATTCTTTCTGTTTGAACAATTGCTGCTGAAAACGCTGGATATTTTTCTTTTCTATATTAAATAATAAATGTCACCAAAAGGTACAATGTAGCATAAAAAAAGAAAAGAGTTGCTCAACCAGATCTATATATAAAGTAGAAGTGAAGCGTAAAAGAGGAAGACCACCTGCTACATCACCACCTGCTTCACCTAAAAGATTCAGTTCAAGAGCCAGCAGTACAGGTAAAAGACTAGCTTTTTTCTGTTTGATTTATAATAATTCATTGAACCATTAGATTATGATGCAAAACGTCGACGCGAAAAAAGTCCCTTAAAGTTAGAACAAGAAAATGAGGATGAACTTTCAGAAAATGATGAAGTAGGAGAAACCAAGATTGACAAAAATGGCAAATTGCTTGGTGGTAAAAATTGTATACTTTATGTGTTGTCTCATTATGTATAACAAAAAAAAAATAGGTCGTGAATATAAAGTACCAACGTTCAAGCTGCCAGAATACGGTGACCAAGAGCTTATGTTGGCTATGGATCCTTCAAAACTGTTGGGATATCGTGACAGCTATCTATTCTTTCAAAGAAACCCAACGTTAAAACGTGTACGAATTAGTGAAGAGGAAAAGAACATGCTAGTGAAAATGGGATTGTTAGTAGCTTGGTTTAAGGGTAGAGAAGTAGCAGTAGTAACAGCTCGCTCAGTGTTCAAGCGATTTGGATCCAAAGTTGTAAAAAATGGAAAACGCGTAGTGGATGACTATTTTGAAAATAGACAAGAGATGGAAGAAGACAACCAACAGCCACTAGACGAAGTGAATGAAATGAATACAATCGGCCACCATGAATATCATTTTAATGAAGCAGCATTGGATAATAGAAATTGGATATATCATGCCGCTTTGGCAACGAGAGGATTTAACGCTCAGTTGCAAGAACGACGTACGACAAGATCATCATTTTACGATATTCATTCTGATGTAAACCAAGTGCCACTGGGATATCAACCACGGTCATGTCGGTTTGAATTTATCAAAGACAAGGACTATAATCAAGAAAGTGTAATTGAATATAGATCAGTTTCAGATGACAACCATGCAGGCTTTCGTGGAGTAGGTAAAGATATATTGGACTATAACCTAGACGAAGCGTTGAAGACTTTGCCTGAAGAAGAACGAAATAGTATTAGTAATGCACTGCAAGAAAAACCACCTATCGTGTCCACTAAAGAGGGTGCTGATGAAAATTATCCCTTGGCGATTATGGATGGACAATTTCAATATGCTTTCCCAATGTAGATCTACGTCTCTTTTTATAGTGAAATTCAATTAACTTTTTTTTTATGTAGACATCAGGCACGCTTTAATTATCCAATACCGAAAATACCTGAACCCAACATCATATTTGATACGGCACAGTCGTTGTCAGCACAGCAATATTATCTTGGTGTGGTCTATCATACAGTGAACCAGTTTGCAGATCCTCGAAGACAACCAGCTCCTGCGAGACCTACGCCCAATGTCTATATCCCGCCTAATGCCCAACCACATCCACAGCAACAACAACAACAACAAAGGATGACGACTGCACAACCAGCGCCTTCTATGAACGTAAGCTAGTTTGTCATTAATTTTTGTTACGTGCTAAATATTCTATATAGATGCAGCAGCCAATACCTCAGCAACCACAGCAACCTATGCAACAATCTGTAGGTGCATGTTCCTTCAAAATTTCATTAACACAAACATGCGGACGTCCTGTAAATCATCCTGGCCAGTTCTGTCAGTTACATTCAAATGCACCAAAATCAATGGCAGAAACTGCAAAAGCTCCTCCTCCTCCAGCAGCCAATTATTTAGGTAACACATGTACAGATTGTCACCAAGTCGCTGCAGCAGACACGCTGTACACAACAGCGAAAAAAGAACGCATAACAGATCCAGAGGCACTAGTGAAATGTTCGAACTGTACAAGAAAGTACCACCCTATATGTGCTAATTTAACCACGCCCAAACAAGTCGCTGCCGTGGAATCATACGCATGGCTCTGCCCAGAATGTAAGATATGTGCTGTTTGTAAGACTGTAGGCGACGAATCCACATTGATGATTTGTGATGGTTGTGACAGAGGCTGGCATACAAGATGCTGCACGCCAGAGGTTGAACATATACCCGAAGGTAAAAGAAAAAAAAAGAATAGATGGACGTGTGATTAACAGCTATTACACTAGGAGAGTGGCTATGTCAGTTGTGTGCTAAATGTCATGGCTGTAGTGAGCAAGGCATGAAGGACGAATGTCAGTATACACATGCAACGGCACCTAAAGACGACAAGCACAAATATCCAGTGTATCTTGCAACCTATTGTCGATCCTGTATTACTGACTTTAATGAAGACAGATTCTGTCCTGTCTGTCTAAAGACTTATTCGGAAGAAGAAAATGATGAAGAGGATAACGAAATGGTTGCTTGTGATACGTGCGATCATTGGGTGCATACACGATGTGATGAGTCGTTGTCTCCTGCGCGATATCAAATGCTCTGCGACGATGAATCAGCCAAATACTCTTGTCCCATCTGTGAAAACAGAGTGAAACCAGCCGTTGACACAGATGCAGCACGAAATGCATTAAAGGGTGTTACTTCTCCAGGCGGCACTTGTATTGGTCTTTTAGGTGGAAAGGTATTTTATTATATTTGCTTTTATCTTTTTTTTTTTTACTGATCATTTGTTTAGGTGAAGGCTAGAGGGGTTATTCATTACAAGAATATCAAAGTGGGGGTTCCTGAAATTGATGGAGCTGGTATCACGAATATAGCTTAATGATCACTTCTTTGATTAATAGTGGATAGATATGAATTCCATCCTAAAGCGACAATGTTTGTAACCATTAAGCGATAGTTTAATGGCGTAAAATAAAAATTAAATATTTGAACAGCTGGCCATATCTTTAATATAATGTCAAAAAAAAAAAAAGAATAAACTCGATCCTATTTATATCATTTACCTTATAATTACCAATAAGGGCTGTCGTATATCCATTGTATAACTTTTCCTGTATTTTTGTCATTGACTTTCCTTCAAATAACCCTTGACCCACGAAAAAGGCTATGACGATGTGTGTCAAAATAAGCTGATACATATATTCCATTTACCTCCAATGAAAAAAGGAGCAAATATAAATTGATCGCATGCAACCTTGTAAAACAAGGCTATACAACAAAAGCTTAATTTCTCACTTATTAATCATTGACAAAAGTTACCTTTGGATGGTGATTGTGTGGTTACTCTTTTGTCGATAAATCTGTACCAGTTGCTCAAGATAGGCCCAGCAAAAATACCACCAAATACTGTCATCCTAGTCGTACGCATAAAGTCGTGTTCGGTCCAACCTCTTTTTTCAATCACTTGTTGTGCAATGACATCGCCTATTTGCAAATAAAAGAACTCATTCCTCTCTCCTTCTCACTTAGTCTGCCTCTTTCTTTTTGTTACCTGTACCAAATAAAACAGCTAAGCATGACTATGAGTAAAGAAGAAGAAGTGGGTATCCTACTGTTACCTGTTGATAAACTCTGTACTAGAATTGGATATTTAGTGAGTGCCCTGTGATACGCGATAAACATATAGAAAAAAGAAAGAGAGTACGTGTAACTGAATGAATGCAAAATTGATTGGCTCAAAAAGACCGACATCCTTTCTACCCGCTCAAGAAACTCTGCATTCCCTCCTTCTTTGAAAGGTACTGGTATTCCATCCTTTGCACTTTATTCACAAATTATTCGCACACTGATAAAAAGGATAATTTCAGACAACAAAATGAGACAATAATTAATAATAAAAGTGAATCCATCAGAAGCGAAAGAATGAATAAAGAAATGATTAGTAAATCAGCTGTTTACATTAATATTAAATACTTGCATTATAAAGAAGAGAATCTATAAGAGACAAAAAGAGAAGTCAAGATCAGACTATTTATATTAGGTCTCTAATAACTTTTTCAGTTACGTGTTACTCATAAGTACTGACCGCATTTATCTTCTCTTCTCTCAAAAAGATAGAATTCATTGTCTTTTAATAATAAAGAAAAGATTGATAGCCAACTAAAGTGTAATTGCTATCGGTTTTAAATTGTGCGCGAATAATTTCTGAAGTATTGTAGAATAAGCGTGACTGTATTATGTGCATTGAAAGGGCCGTATTTTCAATAACAGCTATCTCCACTTTTAGACTCACCCCCTTTTTTTCTTTTTTTTTGTATATCTTTGCGATAATATGACGACAGCTAAAAGTGCTTCCTACGATTATTTGATTAAGCTTTTACTTATTGGAGACTCTGGTATATGTCAACTGTATATAGAATACAAGTTATGCTCATATACTATGTCTTAGGTGTTGGTAAAAGTTGTTTACTACTTCGTTTCTCAGATGACTCCTTTACACCTTCATTTATTACAACTATTGGTATCGACTTCAAGATTCGTACAATTGAACTGGATGGCAAACGTATCAAATTACAAATATGGGATACAGCAGGTCAAGAGAGATTCCGTACTATTACAACAGGTAAAATATACACAGTTTATATGAGGGATACCTCTAACCATTTTTTCTATCGAAAGCTTATTATCGAGGAGCAATGGGTATCTTGTTGGTGTATGATACAACAGATGAAAAATCGTTTGCAAGTAAAGGAAGCATAACCATTTTTTAAAAAAAAGCAAAAAAAATAACTTTATATAGACGTGAGAAACTGGTTTTCTAATATAGAGCAACATGCAAGTGAAGGGGTTAATAAGATATTGATTGGAAACAAGTGTGATATGGAAGAAAAAAGAGTAAGATCAATAGATTGTCATGTGTATACCTTGTCTTATGCTATATAGGTTGTTTCCAAAGAACAGGGACAGACATTAGCTAATGAACTTGGTATTCGGTTCATGGAAACAAGTGCAAAAGCAAACATTGGCGTTGAAGAAGCCTTTTTTGATTTAGCAAGGTAATATTTAGGCCATTCATAATGAATATAGACACTGAGACTCTTTTTTTTTTTTAAAAAAAAAAGGGATATTAAAAAGAGATTGATTGATACTCAACAAGCCCAACAAACTCGTCAAAGAGAAGAAGTTATATTAGATCAATCTACACCTTCAAAATCCAATAATGGTGGATGCTGCTAATTAAGTTACCCTTACTTTGTTTACCCCCCTTTTCTTTTCTATTTAGGCTATGTATATGACTATGATACGAAAGCAATCTTTTATTATATAAAATATATATGTTAATATGTTGACATTGAATACATGGCCTTTTTCTTACTTTTTTTTGTTTTTTAAAAAAGCATCATTTCAAATAGAAGAGAAATAGAAATATAGAAAAAGACCTAAAGAGAAGAGGGGGAAAGGGGGGTATACATTAGTATTTATAGTATGATGCAGTTGTTTGCAGTTTGAGACATAGTTGCCGCACGATGATGGTTGGCTCGAGTGCCACGTCCGCTGATAGAATGTCGATTAAGACTGCTATCTACTGATGTTGTATTTTGAAATGTATAAAAGCTCTTGATGGTCAGCATAGGACCTGCTTTCGCCATGGCCTCACGTACCCCTGACTCTGTAATGTTTGAACAGTCAAGAACTTCAACATTCATCTGTCGCTCTCTTGAAGGCGACGTGGATGAAAACAAGCTGATGTTAGAATCAATCGATGTGTTGAGTATGGCCGATTCAGATAAAGCCTTCTTTAGTTGTTGTAAGTAGACAGCGATTGTATTTAAGACTTCATCTGTTATCGTACAATTATCAAGCTCAAGATGTTGTAACTTGTGACAGACACCATGAAGGATCAAGTGAGTGATTGCATCATCGGAAATGTGAGTGCAGTTGGACAAGCAAAGCCGTTTCAGTTCTGGCTGGTTGTTAGCTATCGCTCTCACGGTGATACCGGTAATCTGTTGTAGATCCTCAAGGTCAAGATAGACTAATGTCTTGAGTCGTGGTGCAAGGTAACAGAATCCTTGATCTGTCATCAAAACACAACCTGATAGTTCAAGATGAGTCAGCGAGACTGCATACTGAGAGAGGTGTCGAAGTGTTGCATCTGTCAGTCGTGCACAGCTAGACAAGTTCAAGTGTGTCAGCAGACCACTACCTTTCCCACTGGACAGAAATGATAATACACCCGTGTCGGTTAAGCTGGTGCAGGCAGCTAAACTAAGATAGGTCAGATTCGGTAAATGTTGGCCTAGAAGTTCCATTGTGTTATCATCTAGTTGAGGACAACCATTCAATTTCAAATAACGCAAATGAGTTGAACATGAAGTGATTATTGGAAGAATGCCGTGTCCGGTGATGTTTCGACACCAGCTTAGATTGAGCTTTTCTAATTTACCCAAACATGAACCAGCAACAGCCAGTGTCGAATTCTTGACGGTGTCAAGTCCAGAGACATCCAAGACACGCAATTGATGAGCACGCTGCAGAAAGTAGGTGATACTTGCACTCGATAAGCCTCTGCAATCTTTGATGATCAAGACTTGTATGTTGGGGCAGTGATCAGATAACGTTCTGAGTGCATGTCCATTAAACTGAATACAACCTCTATATTTTATCATTTAATGCTATTAACATGTGTACATGCATAGATATGCGGTACCTAAAGTTAGCTGTCTTTAAAAAGCCAGAGGATGCTTTAATCAGTTTTAACAAATAGTCAATTGGAATTATCTTGTAGAATGGAGCTACATTAAGCTTGGTCCAAAGTGATCCATCGAATACGAGTTGATTCCATTTTCTACAGACCTACACAACTCGTTTATATATAAAAAAGAAATATTGAAATCTCCATTACCACAGTTGACTTTAAAAGATCTTGAATAGGCAATTCAGCCAATATCTTTATTTGTAATTCATCAGGTAATTGCATAAATTTCGAGTTATCTACACACAAGTATTGGATACCAATTCAATATTCATATTATTATTTTTACCAAGAGTCTCTTCTATCATTTATAAGAAAATAAAAAGAAGAAGAAAGAAAGATAAAATAATAATAAATTTTTAACACTGCATTTATAAAAAAGTAATGTGAACCCCCCTAATTATTTTGTTGACACAGTTACTTGACAATCAAATGATCAAAATATTTATCTTTATTGATGGTTTTCCACTAATTTGCCTACTAAAAGATACTTTGAAGCAAAGTGTTGCTATGAAAAGTCAATATTGTTCATCTTTAACCTCGCACTCTTTTACCTCCCATTCTCTTAAAGATTCCCACTCATCTGCACTTAAATCCTCTAGTTTATCAATTGCTTCATTTGGGTCAGTCAACATATCCAAGTCAAAAGAATTCTTTGCTAATCCACGGGAAGCGTCACGTCCTGCAAAATTAGCATAGGGTCCACCTGACAATAATGTTAATATAACGACGATTAATAAACTATATGTATATATATATATAACACATGCCTGGTCCATAGAAATTTCTTCCTCTGGATACATCATAAATAGACCCATTCACCGCCATCAATATACGTCCATCCTTGCCTAAACCATTAAAAGGTAGAAGCTCTATAGGTGTATAGTTTTTAAAGACGAGTACTTCTGGATGTTTAGCTTCTTCAATTTTTGGCTTGCCACTTGTAGTGTAAGCACGAAGAAGATAGGCAAGCATCTACGTTCATCAGTATAATCCCTTTTTTATTATTTCATTGTAAATTACCGCCAAGAGTGCCCAATTAAGAGGATTTTCTATATATATATATTGAAAATGAGTAAAGAGTTGTATACACAAGTTTTCCAAACCTTTCAACTGTCTAAGCACTGTATTTAAAGTAGTTGTTAATGTTCGCTGATTAGACATTTGGACATAAAGGAAAAGGGAAAAAAGAGAGGGGTAAGTCTGAGTGAAACAGCCGCATAAATTTACAGTGGCCGAATGAAATACACTGTGTGCTACTGAAATGTTCTTTTTCCCCTAGTCCTTGGTAAATAGCTAGTGTTACTTGTTAAAAGAGGATAACAAAGATTGATGACTCTTTCATTGTATCTTCTATACTGCAAAAAACCTATTGAAACGTCTAAATGACAAACAAGACACTTTCCACTGCAAGCGACTCGATAAAAACCAAGTTTTATTCTTTCTTGTGCATCCCATATTATATTTCTACTATGACAATGGCCTTAGACAAAGTATGATCACTTTAGGTATCTTGATCGCAAGTACGACTGTTGGACACTACTCCAGAATCGGGAACGTTAAATTGCCACCGCAGTTAAGAAGTCCCAACTCCATCTATTGAAGAATATTAGGAGCCTTTTTTTTTCAAATGTCTTTGACTTATCCCGATTACTGGCATCATGGCCAGTGTCCCAGCGTTCTCTTGCATTTAAGAAGGATGCGGCCTTGTTTATAAATTCAGTGTTACAGTGACTGATTTTAGCAGATAATTCAGGAAACGTTTCCTGGAAGAGTAAATTGCATAGGCCAGAAAGGCCAATGGCGAGGGCAGACAGGTTGTCTCTAGGCTTGATGGCCTTTTGTTTGAGACTAACATACAGTCAGGATTTCGACACAAGAAATACCCTTTGATCTTTGCCTTGATATCTTTGTCTTTGATAGTCTTTCGATATATGGGGTGGTCCAGCTTGGAGAAGCAGTATATTTAATATCTGTTTTTCTACAGGGCGATTTAATCTTTTCCCTCCAGAATATCAGCGGAGTATCAGCAAGATTTTTTTTTGTCTCTCTCTCTTTTTTCATTGACAACTATTTAATGACATCGCTCTTAGCCAAGCGTTCCTTTTCTTCAGGCATTCTTTCTCTATGCAAACAATTCTCTGCTCTAAGAGTGACACCTACACTCATTCGTTTTACTCATACATCAAATACAGAACTCACTCCAAAGAAAGACAGCCACCTTGATTACCTCAAAGAACAAGCGCTCAGTGTACGTAAAGCCAACAATCTTCGCACACGCTGTCATTGGACAAAAGAAGAAGATCAGAGATTACTTGATCTCCATGCCAAGTATGGAGGCAAATGGACACTTATTGCCAGCCATTTCGTTGATCGAACGCCCGCTGGCTGTAAAAAGCATCATGAAGTTTTGACCAATGCAGAATATTTTGGTCGTTGGGAGAAATACGAAGTAGACGCACTCAAGAAGGCATGTAATGGTAGACTATATGAAGAAATTGATGACTGGGAAGCCATTCAAAAGGCTTTACCTCGTCCTCGTCCGCTTTACCTGATCAAGCTTAAATGCAGAATGAGAGATCCTCGATACAACTCAGGTCGTTGGACCTCTGAGGAAGCAGACAATCTGGTCACGTTTGTAGATAAGTTTGGTGAAGACTGGGACTTGATCTCATCCCTGATGAAAACACGATCACCTCAACAGTGCTATGAGCGTTGGAAATGGCAACATAAGACACCCACCAAAGGTCGGTTTACAGCTGAAGAAGATGCCAAGATTATAGAAGGTGTCAAAAAGTATGGACTGAACTTTGGTGTCATTTGCCAAGCGATGGGAAGTGATCGTACACCTCGCCACATATCGCAACACTATCACAACATGCTTGACCCAGAAATTGATAGATCGCCTTGGACAGTAGAAGAAGAAGAACAGGTTTACAAAACGTGTTTATCGCTTCAGCATAATATGAAAAAGACAAAAGAGGTATTAAATTCAAGACGTTCCATAAGAGATATGTGGAACAAGTTCTTTATGTATAAACGAAGAATGACGGCCAAAGCAAAAAAAGAAGCATTAGAGAAAATTGAGCAAGTTCAAGAAAACAATAAAGATTAAAACACGAATGGAATTACTGCCTTTCGATTAGGATAGCTTTTGAATTCTTTCTTGTACCATTCATGTGTCTTGCAAGCACGAGGTATGAGATTAGCAGCTGTGGATGAGACAAAGATAATTGCAGGGATACTTGGTGATGCAGCCAAGGCATAGCCTGTCCACTCGATGATCTCACTCAAATAGTTGGGACAACTGACGTACTCAAACAACCCACCTGTGGGTATGAAGTAACGCTTTTGCTTTTCTTTCTTTTGTCGTAGTCTAAAGAGCAATGTGTCATGATAAATATTGGAAGCAAAGCCAAGGGCCCAGAGACCAAGCCCAATCCAGAATTGGGTTCGATCGACCGATCGACTGTGACGACCGATCCACATACCGTTCGTATATCCATTGATCAAGTTAAATACGACGGATGAAAGTGAAGTGAAAACATGGATAGGCGCCATTGAGCTTGCGCGCGCAGGATAGATCACACTACGGTTTGTATAGTGAATGATCCAGGCAGCTGTCAAGATGAGCTGGAAAGGTGTCCAAGTAGGCTTGGTGAAATAGAGAGAGAGAGCAAAGGTGATAGGTGACACAATTTCCATAATACACCAGCTCCATCTGCCGTTCATGCTCCAATCAATACCTAATTTTCCTGCAAATCGGCCTAATATAACAAGGTTACACCTTTACCCATTACATAGTGTGTGTATTTACCATATGGTGCATTAATGACCAATAGTGCTGGGACCATGATGAGTGGGAAAGTGGCATATATACCCACGGCTGTATCATAGGTTGATTGCTTTAGCCAATATTTTGATATTTCCTGCAGCATACAGAAACGGAAGAAAGCTTTTGGCAAGTTTTTTTTTTTTTGAAATTTGATACTCAAGAAAAGAGCCAATAAGAACCAAGACTTGACGTCAGATAACACAGACATTTGAGTGGCCCACTTGTTACGGCGTAATTCAACCTGAGCCAAAAAAGAATAATAATTGCCAGTTTAACAAGGACAAATGTAGGATAAAATACCACTCCTGTGAAATTATAGTAATATGTCATCTAATAATAACTATATTAGCTGCTTGTATAACAATAATAATATAAATAGCAGCCATAGACTCTCTACCCAAGTAAACCCTCACACAAACTTAATAGTATACAGTTCTTCTTAATAAAGAATCTAATTCGCAAGTCATCGACTTAATTGTCTTTTTACAATAACAAAGCTGAATACAGCAGCAGCCCTGCAGCTTACATTATGCCAACATCCATCTTTTATTCGTGAGCTTGGATGTCAATTAGGGCAGCATGAAAGTCTCTCTTCCCCTTCAACCCTTGGTACTAAACTTGATTTCAACTCACTCGCTGAAATTGCCGGTAAAGTGCAACGTACGTATTAAAGACAATGTCTACCGAAGATCAGGAGGGGTATCGTTTAATGGCTCTCTATTTAAAAAACAATGAGCTCTGTCTTTTTGAGAGAAGAGAAGAAACTCTCCTTAAAAATAACACGTAACTGAAAAAGAAAAGACATTCATAATAAACAGTCTGATTTAGGCCCCCTTACTTTTCTTTTCTTATTTGGACCAAAGTAAGATCAGCTATTCCTCAGCTAGCCCCAAGGTACGTTATGTTCTTTACTCTTGTAAGAAACTGGCGTATAGTATTATAGATTATAATCGAACCAGTGCCGGTGCTAGCTGAAGGTAGTTTGGTTCTACCAAACTTTGGCTCATCCATTCTCTATCCTGCTCTCTTTTTTCTTTCTTTTCTTGTTCTTTTCGGGCCAGCTATCGCTGGCTCTACCCATGATGCACTTCGGGTAAGATATTAATCATTTCTTTTAAATGTCTATTCTTTTTCTCTTACAAACTCTCTTCTTTATAATGCAAGCATTTAATATCAATGTAAACAACTGATTTACTAGTCATTTCTTTATTGATTCTTTCGCTTCTGATGGGTTCACTTTTATTATTAATTGTTGTCTCATTTTGTTGTCTGAAATTATCTTTTTTATCAGTGTGCGAATAATTTGTGAATAAAGTGTAGAGTGTTACTAAAGAGTAATAAACCTTAAAGGCTAGTCGGATAAAAGTATATTCATGTCTCTACCTCTCTTTCATTTTTTCACCCACTCTTTTATGAGCACATCAGTGCTTTTGGGCCATTCTTTTTGCATAATTTATGCTATTGGACCCACATCAAGAGAGAAAGAGAGATGATTAGGGCTGCAATTTTATATGAGCATGGTGGTTGGTTACTATTTTTAGTAATCTCCAGAACGGTAGAATTACTTTACCGAGAGTAGATATGAAACTTTTGCACAGGACATAAATAATTAAAACAGACTCCCTTCTTTTCCTCTCTTTCTTTTCTTTTTATATTTTCTTTATATTATGGATAATAACAATAACAACAACAACAATACATTTACTTGGATATTCGATAATCCACAACAACAACAAGCGAATAGCTTATTCATCAATGATAGTGACTTGTTTGATATTCTAATGAATCCAAATCAACAGCAAATTGAACAAGAAAAGAAGAATAACAAAGGGATGATCAATAACAGCAGTGAAAGTAGCAGTAAGAGCACAACAAGTCATAGTAGCGACAGTAGTCAGAGCGCAGGAGGAGAGGAAGGGTTTATTAGTTACAAGCTGGATAACATAAAAAGCACGGATATTATTCAGAAAACACCAGCAGAATTTACTAGTTCAACAGGAAAACTAGACTTTAGACACATCAATAGCAATATTACTGAAAATCAATTGAAAGCAATGACTTCCAAGGAACGAAGACAATTGAGGAATAAGATTTCAGCAAGGAACTTTAGAAATAGAAGAAAAGGTAATATAAAAAAGGAAATTTATGAGCTGACGACTTATTTTATTTCCTTTTTTGTTAGAATATATTGAAGGAATTGAAAAAGAATTGCAACAGCAAAAGATTGAAAACAGTCAAATGAAATTGGAAATTAAATGGCTTAAATCAAAAGTAGAACAACTTCAAGCTGAAAATGATAAACTGAGGATAGATATCGTTGTGCTCAATTCACTACCTGCTCCATCAACCTTGGCTCCATACTCTTCTTCTCCTGATACAGAACCTTCTCCTATGCTTAGCAACGACAACAACAACCAGAGCAATGCGGTTGACGATTGGGATTTCGTCTTGCCTGACTTTCCCTCAAGTCAACCAGATACTTTTATTTCACAAGCAGTCGTACCTTCTTTCAATCAAGTCTTTTTATCTAAAGAACAACAACAACAACAACAGGTACATTCTTCTGATCTTATAAGACAATATCCTCTTCTTGCCCCTGCTCTCATGTCTATTGTTTTGTCACATACAATGACAATGAGTACTGATCAGCTACTAGCTTCTGCCAAGCTAATTCCTCCTTCACCTCTACCCTCAAAGAAAGAAACAGAAGCTGTCTGGAACCTTTTGGAACCCATCAGAATTATGAATGAAAGAAACAATAGATTAGCTATAACCGATACAGAAAATCAAAAAGAAGAAGAAGAAGAAGAAGAAGAAGAAAAGGAAGAGGAAAAGAAAGAAGAATCAATGTGTAGAGTAAGACGTTGTTTATTTTCTCTACTTCAGTCCACTATTTATAATCATGTTGCTGAAATGATATCCAATCACAAAGCAAAGCCTGTTGAAGAAAAGCCTTTCCTTTGCAGGTCTTATACGAAGGCTATGAAATATATCACAGCATAATCAACTTCTTTTGCATTCTGTACATACTTATTAATAAAGCAGGCTTGTGCAACAGCCAATCAAATTAAATTCAATACACGCTTAATCCATCTGCCCTTTTTTTTTTTTCTTCTTTCTTTCTTTAAGCATCATGCTGACATCTATACTTGCAGGTCTTATTACGACCACTTTATTTAACATTGCAAAGGCTGCTGGAACAGAAGATATATTTGAACTACAACCCGAAATTCATCACGTTTTTAGACCCAATGAGAAGATGCCACCTGTCTTCTTTTCTCAACTCTTCTCACTCATCGTACTCTCTCCTTGGCTCATTCTAATTTTTGGCGTAACATGATATTATAATCAAACCATTTCTATATAAAACTAATCTATTTTATACGTAGTGGTTAAACCTTGGCTATACACCAGCAAAAGTTATGTCAGACTTTGCATCCTTCAACCGTTCGAGTATATATATCCTAGGCTTCATAGGCTCTCTTGTTGCCATTGAATATCTATTTTACCTTTACTGGACAAAACTCAACTTGATGGAAATGCTCCCTTACTTTGGAGGGCTTTGTGTAATCACATTTATTACTGGACAACGCGCTTTATCTAGTATCCAACAAAAGAGAATAAAATAATTATCTGTCCTTGGTCACATTTACCGGACGATCACTGTACACAATAGCTGTAAACTCTCCAGCAACGTCTTTATCATGTGTGGCCAGAACAATGATATATCCAGTTTCACTTTGACTGAGAACAACTTCATTCGTGGCAACGCCTTGAGTGACATTGGTATAAGGTCCTGAGGTAGCCACTTCTTTGCCAAATAGTTCAGTAGGATGCTTCTCATAGATTGTCACATTCATTGAAGGAACAGATTCTGAATTGATAGACTGAAGGCGTACCCTTTTTTTTTTTTGTATTAACTCTTTTGTTTCAAATACTCTCATGTTACTTACTTGACTGTCGTTAGTTCGCGTACTTCAAGCAAATAACGAGGATTCTTGCTGTAGTTGCCAAAGCTAGGACAACCCATGGCATTATACCCAACAATCCATTCTCCATGAATAACTTTTTTAAACATGCCCTATAGATATTATTTGTAAGACTATTATATACGTTTTTTCTTTTTCCTTTGTTCTTACTGCTCCCTCTAATGGTATAGGTTCTACGTATAACTGCGTTGTGCTTGCAACTGTTAGTATGAATTTACCTAAGAGATCAGGCTCAAAAGTGGATGCAACGATAGTATAATCTCCCGCTACAGTTCCAAAAAAAAAAAAAAAAGCACGATCAGCACACTACAAAATATCCCGTTCTTCACTTACATCTGATATGATCCAATTGACAATAACAAAATCCATGTCGATAGGGTCCAGATTCGGCCAATATGTCGCGTACAGATACACTAGATGCTCGTTTACCTCCTTCAACAAGCAACAGATGAATAGCAAAGCCTTTTGGTGCTTCCAACATCAATAAAAGTTCTGCATTTGGTGTAGGAGGTATTGTGAGTTTCCATTGAGGATTGTTTAGATAAGTTACATTGCTTGCACTTCCACCCGCCGTTTGCTCTGTCCATTGTCCATGAATCTATAGCTAAAAGATGAATACTTGGCTGTTTCTTTTACTTATTAGAATACCTTTTTCTCAACCGAATATTTGATGGGTACTTCATGTAGTTTAAACGGCGCTAATGAGTAGGCTCTAATAGAGAAATAAAGTGATCTCTCCTTTTCATGCTGAGATACAACGATGGTATAATCACTTTCACCTGGTGGTGCATTAAATCGGACCAGGATATGGGGACTGTTGACATAGGTACCCTTAGAAGCATACATTAGTCTGGATGCATTAAAAAGATGCATATACATTATACCTCTTTAAACGGATTGTCTGGGTAGTATATTCTTTCTCCTCCTGTATTGCTATAAACATGTAGCGTGATATAGTCTGTGTTTTCTTCTGTTACCATGATATGTTTGGACAGCAACAACCACACAGCCGCTGGCTTTTTGTCGGGTACGTTTACTTTTAGACTAAACTGAGGATTATAAGCCAAACTATAAACGTCCTTCTTGGGCCCCACATGTTCAGGCCATACACTAATTTACATTCTTAGCTCTTTTCAATAAAAGATTAAAAAAAAAAAAAACTTACGAGTGAAGTACCCATCGATGAGTAAATAACTCTGGGTTCCAGTTCAAGTGTATAGATGTAAAATGTGTGCATACAGATTCATAGTCTATCCAAAAGATACCATCATCATTTTCCTCTGCTGCATCAGGATCAAAGGAAAGCGCCTCTCTTAACTCAGCAGTCCAAATGTTACTGTCCAGATGACTGTAAGGTCCTCTCCATCGCTTATGGCTCCAAGGGTTCTTTACTTGTAACAGACGTTTTCCATGAATCACTGTAATGTCAATGACAGCGTATGCGTGCGTAGGTACAAGGCCAAGACGTGCTGCCTCTTCCTCTGTCATCTCTCCTGTTGCTATAGTAACTAGTACATCGCCATACTTCATACCATCCAAGATCCTATCCCAGACATTATCTGGCACAAAGTATTTACTAATGAAAAAAAAATTAGTTTGATTTCGAAAAGTCTACATCACTTACTCATGAATAAAGATGTGCTCTGGAATCCAGCCAGTTAAGCAGCTATAATAATAAAGATATTTATTGCCTCTGCCAGACTGAGACCATTTATACTTACTGTAGATCAATGCCAGAGTTCCTATAGAGACATAAAAAAGAAAAAGAAAGAAAAGAAACGCTTGAGTGTATGATGATATATGTATATAAAGGAGGCACTTACGATCCAGGGAAATCATATCCACCCATTAATTTCATGTACTTTATGTAGAATTAATAAACAGCTTATCTTAAAAAACCATATTTTTATTTTTACTGCTTTTTCTATAATACTAGCCCATAGCTCTCCTTTGGTAGTTGAAAATGTGCACATCAGAGTACCTTCCCTTGAGACAGGCAATAGATCATCTACCACTATATACATATTATTATTATTTGCTTATGTGTAAAAAAAGGGGGTTACTTACCAACTTTTCGAGCTATACCGTTATACACCAATTTAACCACGTACTTTCCATTAGGATTATAGCAAGGTAGACCCTGTTTATTCTGAGGATATATACAGGATGTGATTAACTGCTTCTTAAATTTTTGTTCATAAGCTGCTGCCACACACAATGAAGCTACAAACGAACAGTCAGTGACTATATCCTGAATAATACTCGTGCTCGATATGCAGCAAATGAGTTTTGGATGCCGCATAATATCGCAAGGACGTCTCCAGCCTCCAAACTTCTCTTGTTGTTTCTCAGAAAGGGCAAGAGATCCCATGGGGTCGAGAAATTTAGTAGGATAAGAAAACTGCTCCTTGAGATCGGTTTCATCAATCCATGGTAAGAAGGTGTTATTGTTTACGCTGGAGGTGTGCTTTAATACTTCAATTTCGGATGCTGATAGCTTTTGAGTCATGACGTCGTCTGTCGGCTGCTGTTGAATAGAGGTACTAGACGAACGACGACGCGAACCGTTCGATAATTGATCCATCGTTGACGATACGGACGAGGACGACCGTGTTCTGGGCGAAAGAAACTGCGTGGCTTTCTGTTGTTGGGCCTTGAGTTGTTCAGCTTTATCGATCGCTTTCATAAACTCTTGTCGTGCATACAGCTTCTCTTCTGTATCGTTGGGGTATTCCTTAAACGCCTTGAGGTATAGCTCAGCTGCATCTGAATAATAATCTAACGCGTGTTCTGTATTGCCCTTTTCTTCATTTAGCTCGGCTTGATCAAAAGAGAACTAAGCTAAAGTGATTAAAATAACCTTTACATATATTTAGACTATATATACAAAACCTTGGCTTTCTCTATCCATTCGTCTTGTATACTTCTCTCGATCTCTGTCTCGAATAAATCTCGTCTGCTTTGATAAGGTGAGTTTTCATTAATATAGATGGAGGTATTTTTTCTAGTTGGCTTTATGCCATCCAAGTATCTTTCAAGTTGTTCTATACGATGCTTGTATTCATTTAGTTTTTGAATCAACTTTTGTCTGTCAAAATCAATGTCGTCAACTAAACAATGTCTGTTATTTTTTTTTAAAAAGAGAAAAGCTATATATAAACAATATACATGAAAGTAATGTTGAAAAGTTCTAAGTAAATTTTATTTAATAAAGGACATTAGCTTTTCTTTTCTTTTTTGTTTTACTTTTATGACAATCGAATAGGCATTTTTTGCTTCTGAATATCTTGCATTGGTATCTAGTTGAATAGCCTTACAGGCGTGGATATAAGCTTCTTTATACAAGTCTCGTGATGAACTATTATCAGACTTTTGTAAAATAAGAGTGTGCATATAAAAAAGAAAAAGAAAAAGAAAGAAAAATAAAATAAAAAAAATATGCATGTTGTGTGTGTATGTCTGTTTGTATGTGGCGTCGATCGATCATACCATGTTTTATTAATATACAAAAAAAAAGAATCTCTTAATTTAGTGCTCATCATTAGCACAGTGTTCTTTATATTGAGCTTCATCCATCAAAGCTTCTAATTCTTGAGGATTGGCAAGCTTAATCTTGGCCAACCAACCTTTATACAAAAGTGATGTGAGTCATACCATTTTTTATATATATCTTTTTCTTACCTTCGCCTTCAGCACTTTGATTGATCAAAGAAGGCTCATCTTGTAAAGAAGTATTGACTTCGACAACTTCACCAGAAACAGGAGTATAAATATCACTTACAGCCTTGACAGACTCAACAGTACCAATTTGCTCTATTCTTTGGAGGTTATTTTTTTTTCTTTCAAAATATACACTTTTTACCTTCTGCACTGAACTTTTCTCCGACAGCGGGAGTTTCGATGAAAACGACATCACCCAAAGATTTTTGAGCATGATCGGTAATGCCCACGGTTCCGATATCGTTTTCGACAGAGATCCATTCATGAGCTGCTGTATATTTCTTTGCTAATGACACAAATATACCTTCTTAATGGCCTATCCTGACCTCAAACATGAGAAACTTACTGGCATAACCACGGAAAGCAGTCCAAGCGGTAGGGGCAACTGGGATATAAGGACGGATAACACGTGAGGACAAGGCGCGAAGAGACATTTGATTTATAAAAGAGAAAAGAAAAAGAAAAGAAAAGAGATCTTTTTTTAGATGCGGGGGGAATCAGTAGAAAATCTTTTGTCACCGAGTTAAAAAAAATTTAAAACGGGTGGTTCTTTCCATTAGAGGCATTGTTATCTTGGTCGGGCAGTCAATGTCTTTCTTTATTATAATTTACTTTTTGTGTACACAATCTTAGTCGCGCTTAGGACGAATGGGGTCAAAGAGTTTACGGAAAGCAGCGGGACCAACCCAAGTACCTGTTAATAATCCATTCCAGTAGATGGAAGGAATAATCTAAAATCATATGTTAGTATTCATCAATGGGAAGCCTATTTATAGTTACCTCTTTGTTCAAGAATTGAGAGACCTTACTGATCTTGCGTTGGTCAACTGGGAAAGTTTCCAAAGGCTTGCCAGTATAACCAGAGAATTCAGCCAAGATTAATTGTTCACGACCCACGATCAGAGGGCAGCTAGTATAACCATCATATGCTGCCTGCTCTACCTTTTTACCTTGGAGGTCAGCAATCAAATTATGCTTGACAACTCCAGATTCTCCAGTAATGGCAGCTGCTGTCTTGGATGTAGGAGCAGAAGAGCAATCACCCAAGGCAAATACGTTCTTATACTTATTGTGACGAAGTGTATCCTTGTTCACGTCTACCCAGCCAGCTGCATCAGCCAATTTAGATTCCTTGATGAACTTGGGTGGACCTTGAGGAGGAGCAACGTGAATGAAGTCGTATTCGAATGTCTTGAGTTCGCCATTTTTGGAGTTATCCTTAAAGATAGCCTGATGATCACTTGCCTTAATTTCAACCAATTCATGCTGGAAGTTTAACTTGATACCGCGCTCATCCGCCAATCTTTGAAGGACTGCGCCATAGTAATCAACACCAAAAATTTTGGCACCGCTGTGATTGTAGATGACGTTGGACTTATCACGTACACCGTTTAAACGGAAGACTTCTTCGGCCAAAAAGGTGATCTTGGTAGGAGCGCCAGGACACTTGAGTGGTGTGTTGGGGAAAGTAAAGAGTGCATTACCTCCCTTGAATTCTTGGAGGAACTTGTATGTCTTTTGAACACTCTCAGCATCATAATTGGATGTCACACCGTCCTTACCAAGAGCTTCTTTCAAGCCTTTTACAGAATCCCAGTTGATTTGAATACCAGCAGCAACAACCAGATAGTCATAGCCTACAGTTTGGCCATCTGAAAGCTTTACCGTATTATTATCAGGGTCAAAGGAGACGACCTTGTCTTGAATCCACTCTGCGTCCCTTGGCATCACTTCACCCATTGGCTTGACAGATTCGTCAAAGTTTTTAAGTCCACCACCAACATAAGTCCATAATGGTTGATACTGTAATCATAATTGGTAAATGAAACTGTTCGTTTGGGCATATAAGGCGACTTACATAGTGTTTATTTGAAGGTTCAATCACGGCTACTTGATTCTTTCCGAGTAATTTTGAGATAGTTGAAGAGACTGAAGGTAGAATGAATAAACTGTATTAATAAAGATGAACTCTTTTTTTTTTACCTGAAAGGCCACCAGGACCACCACCGACAACGACTACTTTAAACTTTTGACCTGCTTTAGGTGTTTCCGAGGCAACGGTAGCAAAGGTACGCTTAGAGAATGTGAATAATTGCTTACGAGCAGCCAACATGGTTATAGAAAGTTGAAAGAAAAGGAAGAAAGCTTGTATTGTCAATTGGCTACAGTTGATTAGATAATAAACATACTCCGATATTGCGCGATTTTTCTAATATGTGATGGGTCTTGTCAACTCTTGATGTTCCACGGGTCATATTGACCAATCAGATTTATATGTCTAGCATTATTGCATATTCTCTCTTTCTTTCTTTCTTTCTTTTTCTATTTACTATTGCCTAAAACTAGTGCTTATGTCGACACAACCAAATTATATGTACAGCTTTTATACTTTTCTTACTTAGCTTTTCCTCTGGGAAAAAGGTACTGCTATTATTATCAATAGAACATTTCCTGTTGGTCTAGCGTACGACAATAGAAAGTCAAGGTGCGGATATTCTTTTAGGAGTGTCGATCATATATATTATGATGGTACGATTCATAAGAAACGTACCTATTTATATCTTGTAACTCGAGCAATTCAAGTTTACTTTATAAAGCTGGCATCGACCAAATAACACATCTTTATTGTCATAACAAAAATAACTAAATTTCCTTTGCAACGGATCGTTTTGCTCTTGTCTCTGAGTTAAATCCTTCTCGAAGCACGTCTACTTTATGCTTCACCTTATCCACACTCCAAGCTAACTTACGAATCACTCGATGTTTACTGACCTTGTTCATTTTACGTTGTTCAATCATATCTGCCTTCAGGTCTGTGTCATCAATATCTGCACCATTCTCATCTTCATCAAACTCATCATCAGACTCTTCTTCACCATACTCTGAAGAAGCCTCAGACGATCTCCTATTTTCTTCGTCTTTCATCTTTTCTTTCTCCTCTTGAAGGGCTTGTTGGAAGTCATGATCCAAAGGCTCTTTGCCCTCATCCTTACTTTGCTCTCTTATCCATTTTTGTGCCTTGTACTTGAGTGTATCGCTGTAGAATGGATCTGCTCCTACCATGTCCTTCACAAATGATCTCAGGTGTGTGTGTACTGGAGAGAATCCAGGTACAAACTTGACACGAAGTCTAACCTGACCTAGATCGCCTTCCTCTGGCCAAGCATCTTCATTTTTGTTTGCATCACTTGTCTTTTCGCTTATGTGAGGACGAAGTCCGACAATCACATCTTGCCATTCATTATCAACAATATCCTTTAGCCATATTCTACCCGTTGCCTTGGTATTCGTCAATGCGCCTTGGGAGATATGGATATAAAGAGCAGTACGATATCGCATCATGAGCGGAAAGTAAAGGTGTCGATCATACCAACCGCTTAGATTATCTACAACCTGAATGTCGCGAGATTTAAGTCGTTTGATGATTGAAGGATCTACGTTCACAGCAAGAGTAGCTTTAGTGGGGCTGGTAGCAGTAGAGTCCAAAGGAGAGTTTAGACGATCAAGTGTAAGCTTCTCGAGAACGAGTGTGCCAACATCTTTTGGAAATAAGGATTAGTACAATACATTTTTTTATAACCCTTCTCTCTCTTATACCTGCGCCTTGTAATGAACGTGGTAAAGTCATTTTTACAGGTTTATATTTAAGGGAAAGCAAGACTTTACCAAACCCGATTCCATCCGAAATTGGAATCCATTTCTGTGCTTCTTTAAACTATAATACGTGTAAACACATTGACCCTTTGAGTATCTTTTATATATTCTTCTTACTTTGGCCTCCTGATCCGTAAATAAGTCTTTCAATGAAATGGCTTTTGTACCAAGAACCGGATCACGTTCAAATTCAAGTGCTGTTTTTACTGTGATACGGATAAATGCATTATCAATATCTCGAACAAAATGTTCAGTGATAGCATTCCAATGCTAAAGTAAAACGTGTAAGCATCACATTTGATATATATATGAAGAGACTTACGGGACTTGGGTTACGCAATTTCGTTCTTGTTCGGAACACCTTGTTGTCATTGATGTACAAAATTGCATAAGGGCTAACGACGCTATTGGGATTATATGGATGCTTAAATCTGTCATCAGAGGGCAATATGGCAGGATCAGCAATTTCCAGATCGGACGCTTGATGGATTGTAACAGACAAGATACCATTGCTATGTTCTGGTTGAACTTGTTCCTCATCCTTTTCATCTTTGCTAGTGTTGTCTTGAGGTAACTTTTTGCTCAAAATATCTGTACTTGGCGTAGCATACTTGGGATGGAAGCTTAGCTTCATATCCAAACGAACCTTGGATTCCTCGATGGGTTTACCGTCAATAGGCGCCCATCTAGAAAAATGAATATTAGCCCGCACTCTTCTTTTGTAACTAAAGTAAATATGCATTACCCATCAAAAACGACACGCTCATCTTGACTCCAACTTGCGACATTTCCCAATTTGTCAAGTTTGCCTTGAACGATATCCTTGACAGACATTGATACAGAGCCCCACATATCATCATACTTGATCTTATCAGCGTCCCACACTTTGATATCAACCTGAGTCTCAGAAACAATGTCATCTGTAAAATAGCTGAGTATACCATATAGCCTTTCTTCTTTTGCCTATACCTGCATAAACCAAGACATAAAGATTCTCATTCCATCTGGGGTCAATATCGTTGGTCAGAACACGGGTACTGGAAATCGATTTCTTTGGTTGTGTGCTTAATGATAATGTAGCATATGAGTCCTTCAAGTCTAAATTGTGTTGATTAATAATGCATAATTTGAGAAAAAATCCATAAAAACCTACCTTGCAAATGAAGTGAAGGATCTCGAGAAGCTTGACGAACTTCTACTTTCACAACACCGATAGCGTTTGTGTCTCTAGCAAAAGCCCCTACTAATGCTCTGACATCAATCGTCAAGCTCTTAGGATCAACCATATCAGCAAGACCAAATTTCAAGCCTTCGTTAACAAGTGCTTTAATTGTAGGCAACTAAAACAAGAATTGGCGCTTTGGTTTTTAAATAACAATAAAAACTTACGTTCATAATATTTAAATGCTTTGTTAAAGGCATAACCCCTGTTTCCACCTTGGGAACACTCGTAAATGCAATAGTAGCCTTTGAGATGAACGGAATCTCAGGCCCTGTCAATAGCTTGAATCGAATTTTACCTGATAGGGATGTGAGTTCAGCCTTGACTTCGATCGGTGCACCCACTGCAGTCAAGAAGCGAAGGGTGAGTCCAGGCGGAGTTGACTTGGGGCTTCGATTAGTGGCCAGTGAGGCAACTGGATGTGCATGAAAACTAAATGATGCTTCACCAAACTATCCAAAGTGACATATTTAGTGTATCATTACGAATACCTTTTTTATATTGACTTACTATGCTTTCTTCTGGTTGTCCAGGTAACGGTGGGAATACACGGATCCTAAACAATGTGTTAGTATTATTTTGAAATAGTAGAAGATAAGAATGACGCTAATATGACGATTTTTACATTTGAATACGAGGAGCTTGCATACCAATATCAAAATCAGATACCTTTACTCCTTTCTATAGCAAAGCTTCAGTATAGATTCACAGTGTTTTTTTTAGACTTACAATAATGCTTGGAGCAACACTTTGGATAGCATCTTCCAATAAATCTTCTACAATCGTAAATAGTTCAGGATCAATACTACGCCAAATCTTTTCAACCATATAATTGAGCCATTCAACTGTTTCGCCTTCAGAAGTATAAAGCTAATGTGGGGTAAGACAAACGTAAGTGGTATATATTTAGATCAACATAATTATGGCCATACTGTTTTCATATTCTCTTGCTTTTCTAATTGCCATTCAAGGCCTTCAGAGCTTGTTCTTCCCAAGTTCCAATAAGCCCAAGCACATAAACCAATCATGGTAAAGCCAAAGAATATTCCATACTTGAATCGACCAACAACGTAACAAATGAAACAAGCAACGATAATATACTTGAGAGCTTTAATCTGTAGTTGTTCAATAAGTACGTCTGGCTGAGTAGGATGCAAAGGCATTGCATGTTTCAATTTTTGTTTGGGACTAGCGCGGCGGTATCCAGTATCATCTGTGTCGAAAATACTTTTTATGTCAGAGACGGTAGATTCAACAATAGAAGGCTCCCGATAAAATCGACGATTATCCATTGCATTTTTTTGAACATGATTATCTATATTTCCATTCGAAGGATGAACGTTAGGCTTCCAAGGAGCATTCTCCTCATTGCTGTCTTCGGGATTAGACCACACTTTTGCGTTTGGATCATGCTGTTCAGGAAATAATTGTTTTTCTTCATGCTCTGGAGGATTTTCTGTATTTGGATGCGCTTGTCCAGAGGCATCAAGAAAAGTACCAGGCTTTTGCTGTGCCTTCTCTGCTTCAGTGTTTTCTTCCTGTGCATCTTTACTAGTATGTGCTTTATCCTGAATCTCGCCAAGGTCTTTCTTATTTTTTTCTTGTCTCTCTTTTTCATCACGCCCTGTTTCTTCCATTTCAAGGGGTGGATTTACATTAGTAGGTGCAGTAGCATTTTCTAAAGCACTCATGATTTTGCTTTGTTGTACTTGAAAAATAAAATAAGAAAAGAAGAGTTTTCTGACATGTCAAAATAGTCATATTTATGCTTGGGGTTTATTTTGTTACTCTATTTGGAAATAGTTAAATTACAACGGATTAACGCCATTTATTAGCTAGTAATGACGTTGAGACAGATCTTCTCTCCTTTGTAGCATATACTGTGCTGATCGATGAGAACAATAGAACAAATTAATTCAGTCTGTTCTATTTTAAAACATCTTTGAGATACTAGCAATATTGAAATATTATCTTGCATAACAATAATTTTCTTTGATTGTTTTCCTGTCTCTTTTGTAGAAATTGATGTAATGCATAACACAATGTTTAAGCTTAAGCACCTCAGGTTCTGTCTTTATTCATAATGACAAGTAGTATAGCAAATACATAGAGCATATGCAATAACCATAGCGCCAGTGGGTAGTCTTTTGGTATAATTTACAGAGTATTTATAGAAAGTTCGATGATACATTTATACTCATCACGGATAACTTGCTAATTTACCATATGAAAAAGAGAAAACACAATCTTTTCTCAATTCCTTTGTACAGAGTTTCTCATCTGCGTTCACTCAGGTCACAAGCTCACGATGGCCGAAAAGACACTGTAATAAGCCTATTAGAAACATAAAATAGAAAAGCGTGTCTTGTCAGAAGTGAGACTTTTTTGTGCTTTTTACAGACAGCTTTTATTTTTATTAGTAAATTATCTTTGTTAAAAATAGGATAATACATACTTAAAGATTCACATTTAATGAATATAGTTTTTTGTCAGTCAACTGTATCGAAAAATGATGGAGAGAAAGAGAAAGAAAAAGCTTATATTCTTATTAAGTAATCTTTTGCTACTGTCACTTGAAAGCAACAAAATTTACTCGTACTACATTTTTCCAGCTTTTTGCATTTTCAAACCAACTCCATGTTGACTTGATCGATTTTTATTTGCCTCGCCATTCTTCTTCTTTCTTCAGGGCCTATCCTACCAATGTTTAGCATCAGTCTTTGTATATTTTGGAGATAATCCTCTTCAACATCATTCACTAGTACGAATATCAGTCTGTCTACTCTTCGGTTCTGCTTTCTTTTTAAATATGTCGCTTTCAGCTGATTGTGCCAGCTTTCAATATAATTGCTGATCTCCACATTGGTATAGATAGCGGGCTGATATGCTCTTGCCCAGCGTTTGAAATCGTCATTGTTGAAATACCACATGCAAAGACAAGAGATCAACTGCGTATACGACCCAAAGTCAAGAAGAAACGATTGCAATTTTCTATTAAATTCTGATGCATTTCTTCCCACATTAATGACTTCAAACTTGTGATATCTTTTCTGCATTCAGTTGAATCTTGAGGGGTATTGCCTGTCTTGATGTACTCTTTTATTTTTGCCATCCAGGCACGAGCGACGTGAAAGAGGCACCATTGTATTTGAGCTTCTGGATACACGGTTTGAATAGCACTTAGCTCAACGCTAAAGAGGTCAATTGTTATCTTCTGGACATCTACATGATCTTGGCTTTTCACTAAATATAAAATTCAGCAACAGGTCTTGCAGGATGGCCCGTCGTAAAACAAAAAGTAACTGGACAGCCTGTGCCTGTAAATGAATGCCTAACAACAATGGTATATAAAAGGCAACGGTCAATACTTGGAGTCTTATAAGTAGCATCTAAGCAGAAGTAAGGCGAATTTAAGAGAAGATTCCTCTACCATGGGGATATTGATCCAAAGGTGTAACTATTGTTGAAACTATCACCAATGTAGGCACTGTAACCCTTGAATTTAAGCTCGTCGATCCAAATTTTGATGGGCTCATGTTGGCCACTATGACGCTTATATGCGTTCTATTGTATATGCTTGTACTGGCTGTAAACTAATTCGGGATCCATCAGTTGATCGCGGTGAATAATCTCACGCATTGATGAAGAAGCGTTCCATTGGTGATTAATAATGATGCAGAAGTGTTTAAGATGACGTAGACTGTGGCTAGTACATACCCAAAATAGAAAAAGAGTGCATAAAAAGGTGTCTATAGTGTCACGTGATTTCATGACTATAAATAAATGTGAGCTTTCAAAAAAATTTCGAATGCCGATGTAGTGAAGAGGATTATCACGCGTGTTTCGGATACACGAGATCCCGGGTTCGAATCCCGGCTTCGGCCTTTAAGAATTTTTGCCAAAAGTTCATCTGAATGTTACACGTTGTGTAACGTAAATGAAACATGAGCAATGATATTATGTAAGTCTCATCATAATTTTAAAGCTGCATGCTTCCACTGGAGAGAGATAAACATCCGATACAAAAATCATGTTCTAATTCATTACAAAGAATATCGATTTTGTATAAAAGGTATCAATAAAGCTAACTGGATGCGGTATCTATCTATAACTTCTTAAAAGAAGTGCCTTTAGTAAACTATTTGCAACACAATTAAATACATATTAGTGTGCTGCAGGTGAATCCTCAAATTTAAAATAGATAATGCATAACTGCCATTTGTTTGATCAAAATAATCCACGAAATATTTGGTTGCTATGGTTTTATCTATTGTTTAAAAACATATTAAAAACTGTATTTCAAACATAATGAGAGAGAGAGAGAATCCTTGAGATTAAAGCCTGCATAACAAAAAGTAGCAAATACATTAACATTATTCTGTATATAAACTATATGCTAACAGCTGTTGACTGAAATTATACAAATTTGTTAATGTGGCCATAACCTACTGTACTTATCTTACAATAAAAACCAATATAAAAAAGCAAGATAGTAAAAGGATCATCTGCCAGGTTAAAATATATTCCCTCTTTCTTTTTCTTTTTCCTTGAAAGAAATAGGAGGCTATATGTATATTTTCTCTTTTTTTTTCTTTTTTTTTTTCTTCACCTATTTTATTATCATCTTTTAGAGCAACAAAGGCTGCCTTTCTAGGTTCTGTTGTTGTTGTTGATGCTGTTGTTGCTCTTGTTGCTCCTTCTTTGCGCCCATCAAGATAAAGCAGGAGGCCAAAAATAAAACAAATAGAAATATTGTCAGTGAAAGGTAATTTATCCATATTATCGCTAAACATATGAATGTATTGTATTGAACTTGTAAAGGTATAACGCTGGTATCGCTTTTCACAACATATTTCAAGTGTGTGCCTATACGATATAAGTAAGTAATCCATATTCCCGCGCTTTATTATTACCAAATAGGCCAAATGAAAGCTGTAATATTATTGTAAAGCCTGATATACGGATGAACCAAGAGCTGCCATTATGTTTATATTGCTGTTGGTATTGTTTATAGTTATTTGCTTCAATTGAGATCTGTTCCTGGTTATAATTATAGTTTGATCTTTTTCGAGAAACGCAAGCAATGAGTGTGAATAGAATGACTAGAGTGGCAGAGAGTATAACTCCAACTAAGAAAATAGAGTATAGCTTAGCATTAACCGAGAAAGTTGAAAAGCTCCATTTCTCTGTTCTGTCATGTTCAAACTTGACTAGGTCTATTAAGGCATTTATGCTTGAATATATGCTGTAAACATTTAGTGGCAGTAACGATAGTATTGTCAAAACAAGTCCGGTCATTCCCAAAAAGCCTAGTAATAAGCCAAGTTTTGTCGATAGACTGCGCTTATGGTTTGCCATGGTTTTTGTTTTAAAAAGAAAGAAAAAGAGAGAGAAAAGATGAGTTTTAAATATGCCTTGAGCAACAGTGATTTATTCTAACAAAAGATCTTTCAAGTACTCATTGTTGCTTATAATGTCCGAGTATTTATCCTTAATTTGTTGTATGTACAAATTCATATCGTCTGATTTAGATGCATCAGCAATATCTTGCACCATCTGCTGCATAATCTTGTCACCTTCTTCAATCTGCTCTGGTTTGTACTTTTTATGACTTGCTCTGTCTTTTTCTGCTTCTTCATCCAGTTCATTCGCTTTACGTTTTGCAAGTTCAATAACTGGTTTAGGGAAATCGGCCAACTCTGCTACATGGATACCAAAACTCTTGTTACCGACGCCTTCATTTACCTTGTATAATAAGGTGACATCACCATTATTTCCAATATGCACTTCCACATGCAGATTTTTGACATGCTTAACAGTTTGGCATAGTGTTGTCAATTCATGGAAATGTGTAGCAAAGAGACAAAATGCTCGGATGTTTGTAGCAATATACTCTGATATAGCCCAAGCTAGACCAAGACCGTCGTATGTACTTGTGCCTCTGCCCAATTCGTCAATGATAACCAAAGAGTTTCGTGAAGCCGCTTTTAATATCGTGGCTGTTTCAAGCATTTCTGCCATAAAAGTGGACACTCCTCTCAGTTGACTATCTCCTGCTCCAACTCTTGCTAATATTGAATCAAATATGCACAGGGATGCACTTGCACAGGGAACAAAGCAGCCGATTTGTGCCATTAAAGCAATCACACCAACCTACAAGCAGAATAAATAAATAGATGCCTACATCTTTATTCTCCTTTACCTGTCGAATATATGTCGATTTACCACCCATGTTTGGACCAGTGATGATTTGCAGCTCGGATACATCTAAAATACGTCAGGAGCCCACAAAACAATAAATACATTATATATACATACCTCTGGTAATGTCAACATCATTAGGAATGAATGCTACGTAGTCTTGCATTTCTAAACAGGGATGTCTAGCGTCTTTTAGTAATACATTCCCTTGGCCTAAAGGATATATCGTAGGTCGGACGTAAGGTATAGGTGCCATTACAGAAACATGAGCAAAACTGTTTCAAAAGAGTGATTAATATGCATAAGCGATTTCTACAATTTACCTTATTAATACGTCCATGTGAGCAATGACGCTACCAAGTGATTCTAAGGATGGACAGTAGGTAGCTAGGAACAAACGAATAAATCAAAAAGCTCCTCCATCTGTCCGTCTGTCTTACCAACTATTTCAATCACTTCTCGAACAAGTCCTCTCTGTTTGCTGTCGTATTCTTTTGATAGGTCAACATGCCTAGCACTAAGATCTTTTAAGGTTCTACTGGCAAAAAGTGTACCAGCTTTTTGAGTAGAGTATTCTATATATTCAGATTTGTTTCTTATAGCATTACTTTCACTGCGTCCTACAGCACGAAGACAGTGACCGTAAAGTGAATGTTTCTCGAACTTGAGCTTCTTTTCAAGTTCTAAACCAAGTCTTTGACCCACTCTCCTATATTCTTCTGTCATTTGACTTTCAAGTTGATTCATCTGCATGCGTAACTCTTTTGATTCAGTGAGTGCCAATTACTGTCAATGTGTATACTAAATGTTACCTTGCAGCTCGTCATTGAATTGTGCCTTTATAATATATTCATGATTCTCCAGTGCGTCCAGATCAATGGTTGTCTCTACCAATTCCTCCAACTTTTTCAACGTAGTGGCTAATCTTCTTATAGGCGATGTGTACATGGTTTCAATTATCTTTGCCTTTTCTGGATCCTCTGGTATTCTGTTTTCTAAGCATGACAACATGGCTGGTAAACGGATCACAACCTGATAGATTCTTACAACATCTTGAAGTGTTGCGCTGCCTCTTTGGAAACGCTTTGCCAACCGGTGAAGATCAGGAATACGTTTCAAATGATCTTCTTGTAATGATTGTCGTAATTCTGTATCGTCCACGAATACTTGCACGATATCTTGTCGTTTAGCTTATTTGTAAGGAAAGTTAATAAAGTTCCTGTTAGAAATGTATCTATTTGCTTCCTTACTTATTTCTTCCAAACTTAAAAGCGGTTGCTTTAGCCACTGCGTACACAATCTACTGCCCTGAGCCGTTTTGCATTTATTCAATAATCCATAAAGACTTGTTGGTCTGTTTGCAGCTTCGTTAGGGGCTGGCATCAAATTGAGAGCAGCAAGAGCTGATCCATCAAGGCGCATATACTGTGAGAGATCATGGTGTCTCAGAGTGTATTTTCCAAAGTTTACTTCGTCTTCCAGTAGCTGCAAATACTTTATTACGCATGCACAAGAAGCCATTGCATTTGTCATTTCGTATTCGGCTATTTGTATGTTAACCTTGCCTTCTTTATCACAGAAAAATAACTTACGTAAAGCTTCAATTGATACATTGCCCTCTACAAGTCGGTTAAGGTCTTGAGCAACATTTTTTGCATCAAAATCACCTAGAAAAGTTATTATACATATATGTAAATCTCTGTCTTGACTCTATATGCTTACTCTTCCTTCTTTCTGTGACCACAACGTTGCAACGAGCAAGTATACCTTTGATTTTAATTGCTTCATAATCTTTTTCGCTTGACAAGCTCAATATGCATTCTTTTACACCCAGCTGAATAATCAATGACTCCAAGTTGGAATAAAGCTCATTGTCAACAAACTCGCTGACACCCAGTTCTTTTACTGTTGTATCTGCAAAGGCAACACCTACTATCTATATAATCCATAATTGTCAGTTATCTGTTCTCTCTCTTTTCAAATCATCAACGGCATATATATGTATATATATTCCACCTTGTTTTCTCCTGAGGTTCCATATTTAACAGCAATGACTACGGGAGCAGTGGTCATTTGACTTGAAGTAAACAAGAAATCTTCTACTTCTTGCAGGTTGCCAGGAGAAGCTTTACGAATCAGATTCCATTCTATCCTGTTTTGTTCTGTTCTACATTGTTTCCAAATCTCAATCCTCAACTGCTTGTTCAATAGTGCATCTCTTAAGAAGGTCTCAGTTGCTCTGTTTGATAAACGAGTGGTTGGTAAGCCTGTTGTGCTGTCACCTAGCCAGTATTTGACAACAGAGGCTGTTTTGTAAACAGTTTCAGCAATATAAATGGCATCGTCTCCATGAAATGTGTAATAATTGCTTCCATTAGCTTCTCTCTCAAATAATCGAATTGTTCCTTCTTCGACCTAAGTAATGTTAATCCAATGCAACTATTATCACACCCATGCGTGATCTTACTGGATCTAAGCTTCTAAAGAATTTAACAAAGTTTTGCTGTTCGGGTCGTTCTAAGATAGATATGAATATCGCATAAAGAAAAACACAAAACCTCACATTACCAACATCAGGTAATTCCTCTGTTTGAGTTGTCAAGCTCATAGTGACTTTACAATGAAAAGACGCGCTTTACTCTTTTTTTTTTTTTTTTTGGGAAGGATAGAAATTTAAAATTCAGCCACGCGATTTTTTTTAGTAGGTTTCTGTATTCACACACAAATCAAGAATGTCTAATTCATACGCGCTCGCTTTATTTTTTTGTCTCGTTTACTTATTAAATTAGAAGTTAATAGCTTTACCGAAGGAAGCAATCAAACAAGCTTCACGGAAGGCTTCGGAAAGAGTCTAATAGTTGTAAATTGTTAGTCTTATTTCTTTTTTTCATATAGTGTTCAAAACTTACAGGGTGAGCATGGCATGTACGACCAACATCTTCAGCGGAAGCACCATATTCCATAGCAAGAACACCTTCAGCGATCATTTCACCAGCATTAGGGCCAATGATGTGTACACCCAAAATACGGTCTGTGTCAGCATCTGTGATGACCTTGACGAGACCATCGGTATCATCGTTGGTACGTGCACGAGAGTTGGCAACGAAGGGGAAAGAACCAGTCTTATATTTTACACCTTCTTCCTTCAATTGTGCTTCATTCTTACCAACCCAAGCGACTTCGGGATGAGTGTAGATGACGGAAGGAATAGCATCATAGTTGACGTGACCGTGACCAGTGGCGATCATTTCAGAGACGGCAAAGCCTTCATCTTCAGCCTTGTGAGCCAACATAGGGCCAAATGTGACATCACCAATACAACGGATGTGAGGGAGGTTGGTCTTGAATTCAGAATCAATAACAACACGACCACGGTTATCAAGTTCAACGCCAATGTTTTCTAAACCGAGACCCTTGGTGTAAGGACGACGACCGATAGAGACCAAGACGGTGTCAGCTTCGAGCTATTAAATGCGCATCATCAGTATGCCTCTCTTTTTCTTTTTGATTTGCTTTACTTACAGTTTCAGCATTACCGCCCTTGGCGGCTTCAACGTCAATCTTGACAATGTCACCATCAACCTTGGCGCCGTTCACCTTGGTGGACATCTTGAACTTGAGACCTTGCTTAGACAAGAGCTTGTGGAAGTTCTTGGCGAGTTCAGGATCCATACCAGCACCGATAGCATCAAGGTATTCAACAACAGTAACTTCGGCACCAAGACGGGACCAAACGGAACCTAATTCAAGACCAATAACACCAGCACCAATGACAACCATCTTCTTGGGAACCTGGGCAAGTTCGAGAGCACCAGTGGAAGAAACGATCTTCTTTTCGTCAATTTCAATACCGGGAATAGGTGTGACTTCAGAACCAGTAGCAATGATGATGTTTTTGCCCTTAATGACAGAATCAGAACCGTCCAAGCCAGCAACGGCAATTTCGTGAGCAGTCTTGAAGGAACCGGTACCCTTGATATAATCAACACCATACTTCTTGAACAAGAACTCGACACCTTTTGTCAAACCGTTCACAGCCTTTAAACGAGCCTTATGCATTTGATCGAGATTGACCTTGACATCTGATACTTCAATACCACGACTCTTGTAACCGTGTTTGGCTTCGTGGTAGATGTGAGAGTTGTTCAACATGGCCTTGGAGGGAATACAACCAACGTTAAGACAAGTACCACCGAGAGTACCACGCTTTTCAATACAAGCAACCTATTTTCCCAAGCAAAAAAAATAGATGGACTGCGTTCAGTACCTCGTATAAATAATATAATTTAACAAACCTTGAGACCTTCTTGAGCAGCCTTAATAGCAGCAGGATAACCACCTGGACCGCCACCGATAACTACGACATCGTATTCTACAATACAGTGTTTATTAGAACAAACATTGAGAATATTGTTATATTTGTATATATACCAGCAGGGGTGCTGTAGAAGCGATAAAATTGAGTGGCAATAGGTGCACGAACGGCCTTGACGGTAGCATTGCGAAGAGCAATCTATATAAATCAAGTCAATTTTACATAAACTAAGCTTTATCTCCCTCTCTTTTTTACGTTGGCTAAAGGGGTCTTGTTAGCGACTAGTTTGAACATATTTTTGCTGCAAAGCAAGAAAAAAAAGTAAGAGCCGGGAAAATTATAAAAAAAGTTGGGTTTTTTCTCGCAGACCCCAAAAAAGAAATTTTAACGTCACAAGCACTTAAAAACTCAGACAACAGGCTTCTTCCCTCTAATAATCAACGTGTGACCCTTTTGACTCTTTGTGAATAAAAGGAAATATAGGGTCTATTTTATTGCAAGTGACTTTTAAGCTATTTTTGATTCTGTTCAACAATTGTTTTGATATACCAAAGAGGACTGATTTGTTTTTTCCCTCGCTACAGCCAAAGGGTGTACAATGCTCATTTACCCCGCACGCTTCGACTGATATTACAAAAAGATTACACAGCGATTGTGATGCATATCAGTCAGGGTTTGCCTTTCCTAACAAACTAAATACTCCGAATGAAATTAGCTCAAGACCAACTCACATTCTCTCTTTAAAGAAAGTTCGAATTGTTCTTTATTTCAGTATGCCCTCCTCATACGCCTATGCTTTGCTATGGTGATCAACATTTCTCGTCAATCATTAAGGGCCAACGACCTTGACCCATTTAATCATGATCTGCTCTGCATCGCTTTATTCGCTTAGCTTTTCAGCTTTTGTACAACTGACCACATCTATTTCTAAACTATGATTCAATTAGGTTTATGCGTGATCAAACATGAAGAACAACAAGTAGACTGTTGTAATTTCTGAAGAGATAAAGGAATATAGAGTCACACTTGAATTCTTGCATGACTGCCCTTTGTTACTAATCATAACAATGATATGTACCTATTCGATGAGATCTGTTTCATCTACAGAATGAAATGCATTCAAATTCAGCCCGATGAATCATTTGCTGCGTCGTATTTCTAAAAGAAAGGGACTCTCTTTTTTATCTCTTTTCTTTTTTCCATTAATAATCACCAATATTCTTTCCGCTATACGATTTACGCTTTCATTAAATAGAATGAGACCAGTGTTCTTCTTTGACTGTGATAACTGTCTTTATGTAAGTATTCTTTTAATGTAGGTAAGCGTCCATCTTATGATTTATTTAGAGTAAAGACTTGAAAGTAAATGTCTTGATGAAAGAAAAGTAAAGTGACCTGACATGGTTATTATCGATACTAATGAATGTGAATAGAATTAGAGAATATTTCGTAAAGGAAGTGGGCGTTCCTGAAGAAGAAGGTAATGACAAGTTGGATGTGATACAAAAAAATAACCTAATTTGTTTGCCAAATATAGTTGCAGCTATCCAGGCACACTATCACGAAACATATGGTCTTTCACTAAGGGGATTAACAAAGCATCATAGTGTAGATCCATTGGATTTTGGTAGATATATTCTAAACCTTATCGATTTTCATGACTTATTATATTTGCATAGACTTGAAAGTAGATCAAGCACTACCATTGGACGATTTGATCAAAAGAGATCAGGGTTTAATAGACATGTTAAAAGGACTTTACTGTAAAAAATGGGTATTCACAAATGCATATAAGCCTGTAAGTGATAATAATGACGAGTAGATGGGAATGTACTTATCCCATATTTCTAGCATGCACTTCGATGTCTTAGATTATTAGGCATTGAAAATGAATTTGATGGCTTGACATATACCAACTATACTATACCCGATTTCAACTGTAAGCCAGGTAAGAGTACCCTTTTTTTTTAAAAAAAAAAGCTTCTTATCGCTAACTTCAAATGCGTAGAGCCTGAATCCTTCTTGAGAGCTATGAAAGATGCTGGAATAAATGATCCAAGATTATGTTATCTAGTAGACGATTCTGCTGCTAATATTGACGCAGCACAGGTAAAGAAAAAAGCCTTGCTTTTATTTGTCAATATTCATAGCATTCTTTTCAATTAGAAACTTGGATGGACAACGGTTCATGTTGCAGACGACGCATCAAAATCAAATCATGGCGATTATCAAATTGAGGATATTCATGAACTACCTCAAGTGTTACCAGAGTTATGGGAACCTAGACACCATGAGATGAAATTAAAGAAGCAGCCAGTAGGTGTCACTACCAGTGCTGTTTAAGAACCTCTCTTTACTGCTTTATACAAGTTTCTTGCTTATTCATTGTTCTATACAAGGTTTTTTATTATTATAAATGTTTACATACAAAAAAACAGAAGTAATGGGGGATCAATAGCTAAAGTCTTGACAGAAAAGTTGAATATGACTTGACTTATCCATAGAAGAGCTAGCCACAGCATTCTTGAAACTTGAATTGAACCCTGGTGGGCCGCAAACTATACATCAGAATTAGTGTTGAATTCTTTTATTTTGCACATGTTTATTACCAAAGACTCCAGCGTTTCCAGTGCAAGCTAAAAGGTAATCATTGGGATTTAAGCGAGATTGATATACAATGTCAGCTTCTTTTATAGCTGATCTGTTGGTATCATTATCCATCAGGGTGTTGAGTTTATCAGGTGTGATATCAATTCCTTCAGGCACTTCTTTTTCTGTCGTAGTCGAAGGAGTATCGATTGAATCGCCTTGACCAGTGATGTGAAGTTTTAAATGTAATTTAGGGAAAGGTGTGTTGCTATGATTAAATGTATAGTTATAGCGTTCCAGTTCTTGCTGAAACCATGCGAGTTCAGATACACGTCGTACTGACCATACGACGTAAATGTCTCGAGTACACGTCGTTTGTTTGGTGATTTTTGAAAGATGTGAATAGAGTTCACGCAGTAATCGGATGCCAAAAGTAGCGCCAGCGCCACCGAGAGCAATAACAACCGTATTGTAGTTATCAAGGATGACACCTGGTTGGATTTGACTGTCTCCAAAGGGACCATTCAAGAAGACAGGCACATCTTGTTCAAGACGTGTTGTATTATAGAGACTGCGTGTAAAATTGCCGCGTGCACAGACGTGAACTTCAACCATGTCGTTATTCTTGGGACAGCTGATACTAGTGATCGTGAATGGATGCCACTGAAAGGCAGAACCGATGGAAGGAATACAGAGGTTGATGTGTTGTCCAATGCTATGCTGCTTCAAGGGGCTTGCAAGACGAATGGAGACCTTGGTACAGCCTCCCGGCAATACGTGGAAGCGTGCACGGCCAATATGGCTTTTTATAAACCAGACGGCAACGAGATTAAGCAGGTAACAAACCAGGCCAGCAATAAAATATCGCATGGCATAGGGAGTATGTAGAGCGATCGCGCCAATAAAGCCAAAGATGAATAAATGTGTAACAACAAAGACTTCATAACACATTTTACGTACAAGAAAGAAACTGCCTACCATGACGACACAGAGACTTCCATAGCCAGCAAGACCATATTGCACCTTTTGGACTTGCAATTGAGATTGCATAAAGATAGGAAATTTAGACCATGCATAAAGCATACACGCCATGTGAACTGTGACGCATAAAAACAAGGCAGTCGCCAGTATTCGATGTATAAAGTTGAGTCGTACGGATGATATTCCGGTCAATAAAGATAGTGCAGAGTTCTTTCCGGTTGAAGAGAGAATGAATGGCACCAGGGCTAATCCGAGAAATCCGGCACGGTTTGAGTTGACAGTAAGATCAACATTAAGTAATAATAGTGGTAAAATCGCCGAAATGAGAGCAATAATCAATAGGATAGCACCGATGGGGATATTGATAAAAGAGTATGAAAATAGATTGATGACATAGTTTTCTATAGGTTGATAAACGAGTACTGATCTTTTATAGGTGAGCAGGTGTCTTAGAGTAAGAAAGGCAATGATCGATGCTATGATTGTAATCAAATTATTTGCATAGGGTTCATTGATATTAGGAGGCGTCTCCTGTGAGCTCATGTCCATATTGTCCATTTGTTAGTTGCAGATTTGTTTATATGAAGAAGTAAAAGAAGAAAAAAAAACTGGTTTCAAAGTGATAAATCTTCCGCTTTATGTGTGCGCGCCAATCAATTAATCAGCAAAAGCAAAATTTACTCAAACTCATTTAAATAGGAGATTCTTTTCTTTTCCTTTCGTCCTCTCCTTCAACAATGATTTACTTACTACTCCTATTCATAATTTCTTTTCATTACTCCTTGACTCATTCCAATTGATATTCAATTATTCTTATGAGTGCTCTAAATCAAGTGAATTTGCTTCTCCATGTGCTGACTACAATGTTCCTGTGGACAATCGTACAGAGCTTTTGAATTTTATTGGTCATATTTTTGAACTCAATTGGTCAAAATTTTGAGGGTCAATTGTACGGCTATTCAAAGACTAGTTGGTCACTTGTTTTAAAGAGAATCTTAGACGGAAAAATTTATATGTCAGTACACTTCGAGCTTTGTGATCTTGGTTGTTGTAATCATTCTTTTCTTTATTTGTTCGAATTGTACAACGTAAAAATAAAATACAGTAATGATAAAAGCTTTTTTTTATCTTCTTGAGTGAGAAATGAAGAAACAAAGAGACAAACCAAGAAGAAAACAGGGAGAGGAGTGCGGAAGCAAACAAGATCACTTCAAGTGGAGCTATAGTGATATTTCATAAATTGGTATACTACATCAAAAAATAGGCCTTGAATTTAGACGTGGTGATGCCAATCGAGACAAGCTTTTTTGATTTTTTCAGGAGCAAAATCAGAAAACTTTATCAAAGACCAAAGCATGTCCTTCATCTCTTTTGCAACTTTGAAATGATGTCCCTCTAGAACTTTCGTATTATCTTCTAAGTTATTGTCTTCTTGACAAACGTATTCAAGGCTGTTGTTTTTAAAAATCAAACCAACACGATTACCCATTTTTTTTAGTTGGGGAAATACTACCTGCACCAGAAAATACACTAGAAATTAGATTAAACCTACGTGCGCTACCTCTACTCACTGCCTATGATGTCGCCCAACAAAACTTTTGAATGTGTGGCGCCATGCTAAGCGTGGCTATATAAATTCACCTTCTTGGATTGGTTTTTTCAAGAAGAAAGGGATAAAAAAGAAATGTGCTCTTTCTTTTTTATGTTATCAGTTCTATCAACAAAGAAGCAATAACACATGTAATTATAATAAATGCATATTTTACATCAAAGAATATCAGAGACTTTGGTAGTGTGAAGTTGTACAATGACTCCACATATAGCGCCCCATGGAAGCACCTGTAGTATTAGCCTATTTTCTGGTGCATGTAGTGTTGGCCTTTTAGTTACTAGCTTTTCTGTCAAAGGAATTGTACGAGAGAGATTTTTTCTTGAGGCGCTTGCCCGACAGCAATTTTTTCTCCACAAATGCTACTAGTACCTTCTATATGTTCAAAAAAGAGCTCAAGAGGAAGCCAAGTACGTGTTTGAAACCACTGTTCTGAGTGATCTTTAATGAAAGCATTTTGGTTTTGATATAGTAATGCCAGATGGTCAACAGGTCGATATATCCAGTCAAACAATTTGTTCTTTTCATCACTGAAGCCCAGTTTGTAAGTGGATTTTTCATGTAAAGCTCTTCTTAAGTCATCTAATTTGCGAACCTATCTCAAATATAGAATTTTAGAACGCATACTTTTCATAGTGTTGATATGTGACCTTGCTTGAGAGAACTTCATTAGGTAATCAACTAAGTCATCATCTATTTGAGGAAGTTGAACAAGAATGGTTCTGACAGTCTCCTCTACCTGCTCTGGTGTCAGTACGCCTTTCAGAACATAACTTAATCTTTGGGATCAAAAATAAATGAATGGCATAGGCTAGAGGCATTGAAGTTAACATCAAACTTATAGGCATCGTTTAGTTCTCGCTGCAATACTCATTGTTCATATCTACAAGTCAATCCAAACCGGAGCATACGTTCTTCAAGGTATGTTCCATCATTAAGTTTATGCATATTTTTCATATAACTATATCTTTTTACAAAACCAACCAAAAATTTGTTGTCAGCAACAGAACTGCAGCAAATCGATATCTTGTGAATTAGGCTCTTTGTTGAAAAGAAAGCGCTATTATTAAAATAAAACGCGTGTGCATTTATAATAGAGATTGGATGTTGTCAATGTGATTATTTATTAATGTTATTCTAGTAGCTACTATTCTTGTTCTTTTCAGATGCGATAGAAGAAAGTAGAATGTATGCTCTACTTTATTATACTCGAGTTATTATAATCTTATATCAAACATGTCAGGTTAGCAGGATCCATACTATGTGCTGTAGCGGTTACTACTATTATCCTATTTTAATCATCGTCATATTAAACTTTCCTTAACAAAATGTAGTTTTTCTTTCTTCTAGTTAATAGAAATAGATTGCTTTTTTTATTATTTTTTTTATAAGAAATTCATAAATGTAAAATGTTCCTTGCGTGCATACTTAAGAAGCACCAGCAACAGCCAGTCTATGATGATAATGAGTACATTTTTCTTTCTTTTTAAATGATTCAACTTACTTTTTCAAATGTTCCATAAAGACTTGGAGACTGACATCATCAGTCAGTACCACAGCACCACCAGGAGCACTATAGGGGCTTCCAGAAGTGTGTGTCGTTGAAGGATTCAGTTTAGAAAGCAAGAAACGGGCTTGAGATCCACCTTGATCACATACAATATAACGAGATACAGGGAAGCGGTCCATCAATAAGTCTTGGGCGTCCAAGACAGGTGCCTCTAAAAGTTGCTTAAAGTTTTCATATCCTTCTTGATCTTGATAACCAGCATTACGCCATTGAGCAATAGTGTCACCATGGAAGATTAGGATATGGAAGAAGGTATCCAGGAGTAAGATAACATCAGGCTTAACAGAGATAGAATCTAACAAAACAGGCTGAGGTGGCACGTCAAAGCTGTAAGATGTCAACGTAGGTTGAATCATAATCAGTGAGTTATCAACGTTTTCACGGTTCAAGGTATGGCTATTATACAGGGTAAGTATCAGCTTGACATTTAACTTCGGTTTACTTTACCGATAAAAGGCAGTTTCGTCAGGTGAATTATTAAACACTTGCAAGAACTGAGAACGTCTCAGATGAAACATAAATTGAGGGTAGATAGAAAAGTTCTCTGATAGTCTGAATGAATGAGGATCGTCCTTGCGGTAATCAGCAAATCTTTGACAGAGACGGATCAACATACGATCCAACCAACGTAGCACATCAGGTCCATCATCAATCTCTCCCTTGAATACGGCAATACGAGACATCAAGACGGCAGCTGTTTCCTGATCAAAAGAATTGGCAATCTCTGGGCTCTGTCCATCAGCAAAGTTTCTAGCTACAGTCGTTACACGAAGACGGAACTGTCCACTTGAGTGTTGGTAATGAGTAACGAACTGAATGAGTCCACGAGAGCCAGGTTGGAAGGGCGTAGGCTGGTTGACAACTTCAAAGTAGACGGCATGTGTCGTCTTGTCATTCAAGGAACACATCTTCCAAGCAGAGGTGTTACCGATACCAATCTCGGTTTCACCCACAAAGGAAGATTTCTTGTTACCAGAGACAGCATGACCGATCAAACCACAAATCTTTAATTCGCGTGTTGTTTGAACATCCATAGTGGCGTTGAAACCCATCTGTAAGTGTCCTTGACTGTCTTTTGCAAAGATACGCTGATAACTTTGCTTGAAAATAGCCGTGTTGAATGAATCTGCCAGAATCATGAAACCGCCTGTGTGGTTGACCATGGATCTCATTTCTAACAAACCGACTTGATCCAGACAGCCTGCAAAGATATCGATTGTGTGTCCATTTTGAGCAGCTCGTTTGGCAAGTGCTTCATAAAACTAATGTCCCAAGGTCATTATTTTCCCGTTTTATTATCTGTCAGATGAGAAAGCTTTACCTTTGTGGCTGATTTATAATGTTTGGCAGTCTCCTTTTCGATATCGTGGTGTGATCGGATAGGCTCTCTTAATTCATCACCTACTACTTTACCAGGGCCTTCAGAAGCAGGACCGCCACTGAAGAGCATCATGCGAGCACCAGTATTAGGGAAAGTGGTTTCCAAAAGACCTACGGCGACACTCATAGCAACACCTGTGCATCTTTCAGGACGTTTATGCTCAGCTACTGGCCAAGGATCACGCTGAAGGTTTTCAAGAATAGACGTCAAAACAAACTCACAGTCCTTGACGGGAAGTAAGAATCGGTTAGCTGCCATCTGTGGACGGTTGGGTTGTTGATTGGGAAGAGGGCGAGTAGGGTTACTGCTAGTCAAACCCAACATTTCCTGGACTTGCTTTGCAGCGTATTCCTTGGTACCTCTGAAAACAAAGGATTTAGGACAATCAGCAAAGCCGAGTTCATGCACTTGAGTCTAAAAAAAGGGTTATCATTCGCTTTTTTTTTGGACTTGTTGCTTATGTATTTACCATAGTACCAAATGTAATCAAACCAACCCAAGCATATTCAGGCAACAAGCTCAAGCTAACAATAATAGACTCCTTGAGTGCTTTGAGATCATCTTCTTCAAGACAAGTGTCGACCACAAACAAAAAGATGGGTGGAATTTGAGCAACACGGTTCAGGTTGTATTCAATTGTTGTATACTTGGGTAAAAGTTCGGCTGGAAGGTTGGTGTTGGAGATATCTTTATAGTGAGGAGGGAGTGCGTTTCTTTGCAAGCAGAAAGGACAGATCCAAAGTTTTCCTCGTACGTCAATTTGACTATATGTATAAAAGTAGATGTAAAAATAAAGGCTAATGAGGGGAGGGATATACGGTATATATTCTTTATTACTTACCAATAAGGGTTCAAGATGGCTCGACAGGGTGCCTTACAGACAACAGGTTCATACCAAATGGGACTTTCTATAAAGTCTTCACGTTCTTTTAATGGAGTATAAAGACATGCAATAGGCACCACAGCCTTGGTTGCTTCTGAACGTGAAGATGGCCAAGCATTCCAAGAGAAACGGATTCCATCCTATATTTTATTGCAAATTCGTTTCATTTCGTAAACAAAGAATCTGCTGGGTTGGTTATTACCTGTTCTTCAATTTCGTCAAAATTCATTTTTACAAGTGAATTAAAAGAGCTACATCGTGTCTTTCGGTGTAATATGGAATAGCGGAAGTTAAAAACCGGTATCTCGACCATTCATTTACTGGCACATAAAAGAACCTGGTGGTACACACCACTGCGGGGGTGTGCTTATCAACATAGAGGATACAGAAGTCTTTGCTTGAAGATCATAGATGGTTTGACCCAATGGATCTTATATCCCATTAAAAGATAACATTACTGCTGCCTTTATGACTGAATCAGACCAACTATTGGGACTTATTCATCAATGAATCAAAGATGGTATTGAACAGGGTATTCAGATAGAATCAGAGATGAATCAAAAGGCAGATTGATGGCCATGAAAGCGTACGAGTACATTTTTTTGAGACAAAAATAAAGATAGTAACATAGGATTATATCCCATAACTAATGACAATGTGGATAACTTGACAGTTATTTGCAATCTAGTAGCACGGATACTAAAACTGGCCAAAAAAAGAAATAAAAAGAGCTAAATGGACATGTAAAATAAAGAAAACTTTCAAAAGAAAGAGAGAGAAAGAATGCTGTAGTTAAGGCTATAAAATGGTGAAGATGGGGAGTAGTATTGTGACTAGAGCTATCTACATGAATTTTTCCCTAAGAGAAACAAGATATTATTAAACAATTTTCACACTAGATTGAGATTTTGTTCAAAGGAAATGTGAAAGAGTTTAATGGTGTCTATTGTGCAATAGCTTCTGGAGCGTAACTTGAAAGCTTACAGAATATGTAGATTGTGTTTACCTCCTGACTGTTTTGTTATTCAGGGAGTTGCTATCATTAGCACTGTAGTTACTTGCTCTGATCTGATGAGATGTAGAAATTAAGAATATACGATCGACTACAGATGCTAAATACCAAGCTAAAGTAAGGCATTGCTTGTAATAAATATCTGGCAGCCACGTCGATCCTGTAACACCAAGATGTGAGACATTAATCTAGAAAGTATTAGTACGAAATATACAAACGCGTTTGGAAACCTTTTTTTTTTTTTTTACTGTAAGCACATGAGTGGCGTAGCAATGACAGGTACATACACATCAGCGACGATCCTTTGAGTATGTAATCTTGACATTTCTGGAAAGTGGAGTTGTGGTTATCTATACCCAACTTTTGAATACAATCCTGTGGTTTATGTTGCCGAAGCAGCGACGGAGGATGTAACGTAGTATAGAATCTGGACCTTGTTGTCGTATCAAGGGTATAGCTCTTATATATATTATTCGTAAAAGAGATCTCCTACAGATTTTCGTCCATGATGCATCACGTGTATTCATTGCTACTTTAATTAAAAAGTTGATGGTATTGGTACAGTGTCTGCTCAATATAGACATTTCACTTGCCACCCATCCTCCAATAATACAACAGGGAGAACAAATCGTGACTGATAAGCGTTTCTGCAACGTAGCCATTTCGGATTACCCAAAAGGTTTTTGTAACCGTCTAATTTATTTGAAGAGTACTGTACCTCTTTATTAGTAAGTTTTGTAGATAAGAATAACAGTCTCTCCACCATTCATCAGACATCACTCTAATAGACCATCCAAGTCTCTTCTGCCCCTTCAAAGCATCTTTGTTCAGACAATACACATCCTTTCAATCTTTCAATCCCCCTCCCCCCCTTTGACAGTCCAAAAAGGGAAAATTGAAATGAGGTCCGATAAATAGAACTAGTAAAATTTATTTGTATCCTTTTTTCTTTATTTTTTCCTATTCTTTTACTGCTGTTGCTATTGTGTTTTGTATATAAAAAAAATAAATGGATACCTACATAAGCGAAGCACCTATTGAAAAATCCAAAAACAAGACGGTTAGTAGAATATCTCGACTATTTCAAAAGAAACCCAAGCATAAATCATCAATACCATCCTCTGTTTCTTCATTATCTATCTCTGACCCTTCTTTATCCAAACAAGCCAGCTTTCAAAGTGTGGGTAGTGCTCAATTAAGTATACCAGAGACTCCTCCTCAAAGACATTCATCCTTAGAGAACAGAGGTGTACTACCTATCGACAATCTAAGCACGATCACAACTGAAACGGGTAAAAATATAGAAGCTAACGAGATGCTGCAGGATATTAACTTGGATTTTGTGTAGCCGTCTCCGTTCATGCCAGTTTAGGAAGGACACCGTCCCTGAGAAGCAACAGTACATATAGGCAACAGCAGCAACAGATGATAGAACAGCAACGTCATGCATTAAGAGAATTAGAAGTAGAGAAAATACATTATGTGAAGGAGAACCAACGAATGGAAGAACAACTAGTCAAGATGCAAGAAAAGATCAAACAACGTACAGTAGACATGAAGACCTTGAAAAATAACTATCAGCTTCATTTACAATCCATGCGATGCTCTGATGATGACCCAGAAAGTATTGCGAATCGACTAAAGGACCTACGAGCAACGATCAAAGAACTAGCAAATGAACTGCTACCCTATGCAGAACCTAAACAGACAACAGAGAAGCTTGGCACACTTTGGCTGAATTTAGGAGAGACGATCGGACGATTAGGGAACCCTTACCTTAGTCTCGAGAGGATACAGCTGTTGACAGAGAAGTTTATGATGGACGTGCTCGTTCAAAACTTGAACACGAATCATTTTCCAGGACTGTCATGTCACCAAGAATTTTTAGAGATCCAGGACTGGTTTGATCAGCATGACTCGTCTTCTTTTTTCGCTACACGACTACGTCAAGAGGTCGCACTTTTGATTGTCAACAACAAGACGAACGGAGAGGACGTCGAAAAACGGTGGAAGAAGAGCGCTGAGCGTCATTGGTACCACTTGTATCGCGGCCTACAAAAGTCATATCCTAAAAGCTTCCTGGCTCATCCAGACAAAGAGGATGATCAGGAACACATACAGAAACAACAAGAGTACAGTCAAAAGTTACGTGACGTTGTTGAAAAGGCAATGAACTTGGGATCAGCGATCAAAGGTCAAGAGGTCTGTATTACAGCCATGGATGTAAAAGAAGGTGTACAACAGTTTGATCCGTTGATCATGGAGGATGAAAATGGACAAACCAGTGGTATCATTGCACTATGCATATCACCTCCCTTTGTCGTCAAATTAACGGATCGATATGAACCACTTGTGAAAGGTAGAGTGCTTTGTTTTCCTAACCAAGACACTGTTGATGATAAATAATAAAAACAATTTGGTGCATTATTGTGCCTTAAATTTCTCAGGAAAACTTTTTTATTTTGAAATGCCGAATATAAACTTCTCCCCATCTCTCTCTGTTCTTCTTCTTCTTCTTTCTCCTTCACCTTCTTTTTCCCCCTTTTTTTTTTATTTTGCATAAAATGATTTCAAATGCTGCATTGAATCCTGAAACGACGAGAAAGCGCAAGATGAAAACGACAATGTCAGGTAAGGTTTGGCCATCCCTTTATTCTTCAACTAATTGTGATTTTTAGCATGCGTATTCTGTAGGCGCGTTCATATGACTTGTGATGAAGGTAAAGTAACCCCACTTTTTATGCAACGTAAACATAACAATGATGAATAGGCCGCCCATGCCAAAAATGCATTAAAAATAATATAGGAGACATGTGTTACGACGACGATGATGCAAGATCACCAAGACCAGTCAAGAAACTTTGTGCTTGTAGTGAAAGCAGCAACGAGGGTATATAAAAAAAAAATAATGATTGCGTAGCACACTGCAATTTATATATGTGTATACCAAATATATATATAAACATAAGCAGCTGTGTTTGCTAGTAGATACAATAATTCTCACACAAAAAGAATAGAACAAACTCCTTCACCCATAACGATGAACAACAATGAGGTTCATATTTTAAAGTAAGTTGATATGCAGCTGTAATATAATCTTTTTTTTTTCATTCTATTCTTATATTTTTGTCTCTCTCTCTTTCTTTTTTTTTTTTTTTTTTTTTTTTAGTGATTATTTGGATGACATGTCAACTGTAAATAAGGATGATCCACAAGATCAATTCTTTTTAACCGCAGCAGATCCAAAAGATGGAAAACCAGAAGAAAGACTAAACGAAGTGATTAATGCCAAATATCAAGCAGGTTTTTTAAAGCCATACAATTATGTCAATGGATATGCTCGACTTCAAAGATACATGGAGCACCAGTAAAGAGAGATGATGTATACTTTAAAAGATGACTTAATTCTTTCAATAGCATGTCGTCTGACAGTCGGCAACGTATTTTGAATGTCATGGGCATGTTTCGCCCCACATTTCGACAAGTAGCACAATCCTTGACGGATATTGATTTGATACTCGTTGAAGAAGCATTCGAACGATTACTACTGGATTATGATCGAGTTTTTAGTGCCATGGCTATACCTGCTTGTCTTTGGAGACGAACAGGAGAAATATACAAAGGAAATAAAGAATTTGCTGCATTGATTAACGTTCCTTTTGATAAACTACGTAATGTAAGTTGCATGGACTACAAATGGTAATAAACTAAGGTTGAATATTTCCATAATAGGGTCAGTTGTGTATTTATGAAATTATGGCTGAGGAATCTATTGTGAACTATTGGGAGGCAAGTTGTTTTGATGTATCATTGTTTTGTTGTCTAATCTTATTCGTAGAAATATGGGAATATCGCATTTGATCCAAGACAAAAGGCTGTGCTGACGTCGTGTATACTAAACTATCAAAAAGAAGGGTCAGACAAGACAGCCTTCCAAAAGAGCGACGTGACCTTGTCTTGTTGCTTCTCTTTTACGGTTAGAAGAGACAAGTTTAATATGTAAGTATAAGTGTTTTTGTGTATATACATATTTTATTAAATGCTTTTATGTTTAGTCCAGTAAGTTGATCAAGAACTAAAATAGTATTTATATTCATTCTTGTTTTCTTTTTATAGACTTTGATCGTAGGCAATTTTTTACCCATAGACACAAAGCTCTAATACCCTTCATTTGTATTCTTTTAATTTTACATTTTTAACAACTGTGGAAGAAATAGTTTTAAATGGATGAGAGAATAATAATAACTTTTTACTTTTCTCTCCCCAGTCACCACTTTCTCGGGTAAGATAAGGACTCTTTTAAGACTCTCTTTTTTTGATTATCCAAATATAGACCTTGTGTGCATTTATGCACAAAACAGGTTGATTATTTACGGATTCTTTTTTTTTTCTAAGAATATCCTTATTATAAACAGGTTGATGCTATCGCGGCCACAAAGACTCTTTCATGATAACTGCACTTGTCTCTCTTTTTTAAAAAGTGTTTATAGTTAATAAATACGATACACACAACTGTATTTGAAAAATAGCTTTACATGCAACCTATTGCATGCACCCCACTTATTTCTTTTCCTTTTTACTCTTTTTTTTTTTTTTTTTTTTTTTTTTAAAAAAAAATGAGTTTTTGTAATGAACTGATATATGTTATTTATGTGAAAATAATCTTATTTGAATAGCAAAACACGTCATCAATACACCTGAAAGACTTGTTGAGGAGAGCCTTGAAGGATTATGTTATGCTTATCCACATCTACGTCTTTTAAAAAAGGAAAAGGGTAAAGAAAAAAAAATAAAAAAACCATCTTTACATTCAACCATGCAATATTAGTGGTCTATTACGCCAGTGTGGACAAGATGGCGTCTAAGCAAGTGACTTTGGTCTCAGGGGGAGGATCAGGCCATGAACCAGGTTACGCTGGGATGGTGGGTGAAGGAGGACTTGCGGCTAACGTCAGTGGCCACGTCTTTGCATCCCCATCAGCAAGTCAAGTGATGGCAGCGATCGAGCGGGTCCAGTCGCCTCATGGGACATTAGTCATCGTCATGAACTACACAGGCGACTGCCTTAATTTTGGACTCGCAGTTGAGCGAGCCAAAGCACGCGGTATCAAAGTCGACCTGATTTCTGTAGGCGATGATGTGGCAGTAGGAAGGATAAAGGGCGGAAAGGTAGGCCGTCGTGGTATGGCTGCAACGGCCTTGGCCATCAAGTTGGCAGGTGCCTTGGCTGCGAGAGGGTAAGTCATTAAAGGCTTTTGTTTGTTGGTTGAAATCAACCTTCTGTTTCTACAGTGCGCCTTTGGATCAAGTGCGTCACATGGTAGAATATGCAGTCAAGCACAGTGCTACGATTGGTGTTGCCTTTGATCATTGCCATGTCCCAGGCTCTATCTCATGGTCGCAGCTGGGTCCTGATGAGCTCGAATTGGGCATGGGCATCCACAACGAGACAGGATATCTCAAGACGAAGATGATGCCTGCAAGAGATATGGTCGCCCAGATGATGACCATGCTCACAGACGAGAATGATTCTGATCGATCGTACCTGACTTTACCAAAGGGTGCCTCAGTCGTGATTTTAGTCAACAATTTAGGCGGCATCCCACTTATTGAACTCAATTTGGCAGCCAAAGAAGCTGTGAATTTCGCCCTGGCGCATGGCCTCAAGATCGAGCGTGTCTATGTAGGCGCTTTTGTGACAAGCTTAAATATGCCAGGGTTTTCAATTTCTTTAATGACTGTGCATGATGAGATTCTTAACCTTTTGGATCAACAAGTCGGGTTCAGTGGGTGGCCACAGGCTACTGCGCAGACATTCATAGCAAGGATCGAAGAAAAAATAGAAGCAGAGAGAAATGATTCGTTGATTTCCGAATGTGGTCAATGTAAAGCTTAAATATTATCTCATTGTAGTATCTCATTTTTGTAGTGATCGAGCCCAAGATTCTAGAAACCGCCATTCGCGGCGCTGCCGAAGCTGTGATCAAAGCAGAACCTGAAATCACTCGATATGACACTGCGCTTGGTGACGGTGACTGCGGACAGACTCTGAAAACGGCAGGATTAGGCAAGATAAGAAAAAGAAAAAAAAAAAAAAAAGACAAATCATAATGACTTTTATAATTGTAGCCATCTTGGATAGACTCTCATCCTTTCCTCTTCATTCCACAGCGGATACAATATTTGCTATAGCTGATACGATTGAAGCATCGGTGGGTGGTACGTCATCTGCGATCTATTGTATCTTTTTAAATGCTTTGGCCAGTGGACTTGTAAAGTATTCAGCGTCTGCATTTCCATTAATACCAGCATCTCAATATGCACTCAACACACTCATGACTTACACAAAGGCACGTGTTGGTGACCGTACACTGATGGACACACTTTGTCCGTTTATAGATGTATTAAATGACCGCAGCCTGGTTGAGGCTGTGAAATTGGCACAGCAGGGAGCTGAGAGTACGCGGCATATGGCAGCTCGTCTAGGTCGTTCTTCTTACTTGTCTAATGAGCAAGTACTTGGTTCAAATGTTCCAGATGCAGGTGCTTATGGTTTAGCTGAACTATTACGTGGCATGACAGAGGCACTAATAAATAAATAAAGAAAGAAAAGAAAAGAAAGAAAAAAACCTTATAATATCAAGAAAGACAAAAGGGGAACACACTAAAAAAAAGAGAGAGACAGAGAGACAGAGAGATGCTGCGGCTCTCCAAGCCACGAAAATGACAAAAAAGGCAATTTCCTTGTATATAATTTTCAGCTGTGTATAAATAGGTGAAAATCTAATTTTTATCTCCTTTTTTTCTCTTTTTTCTCTCTTTTTTCTTCACTGCGTAACAACAGTTTATTTTTTCCTCTTTTTTCTTAACCAAAGCAATATTCGCCAAAATTAAAAGAAAGAAGAAGAAAAGAAAGAAACTCGACAAACTCAAAGAAATTGTATGGAATTCGCCTATAAACCATTTTAATTTATACTCTAATAATTTAACCACTCTTTTTTAAAAAACAAAAACAACCCTTTTTATTACACACAATATTCAGTATGTCTTTCCCAAGTCGTTGCTAAATCCTCACACCCAATAACCCTTTTTTCTCTTCTCTCTTTTTTTCTTCTTTTTTTTTTTCCTTTATTTGAATAAGCAAAAAAAAAAAAAACCAAAAAAAACACCCTCTCTCCTTTGATTATCTTTATGATGATTACTATCCAACTATCCAACAAACTTCCCCAACCTCAACCTCAACAACAACAACAACAACAAATGGCTTTTGTGCCAACTGCGGACACTATTAATAATAATAATGATGATGAATGTACATATCAAGATCGTCCTTGTGAAAAGTACCGCCAATTTATGGATTCATCTCGTCAAGAACGTACTTTGATGATTGAAAAATTCGTTGGTAAGTAGTAAATACAAGTTTATAAAAAGGGAAAGCAGCCCAACAATTTAGGTTGGAAATGAAAAAGGGTTCAATTGTTGTTATTTACTGCGGCTTGCAATGAAACAAGTCTTGTCGTTTCATTTATTGTTTCGGTTGCTTTTCTTCTTCATGTGAATGATTTTTCAATAATGAAATAGAGCAAAATTAGAGCTAACCTATATGTATTAATAGAAACATTTGCAAACGTGATCGATTCTATCTGGCATCCCAAATTCTTTATGGAACAACAAGCAGTCAAAGTAATGCCGACTCGTGGATTTATTAATGAAATACTCAAACGTTCAAAGGCAACTTATTCAACTTTACAAATCAGCTTATTTTATATTTTTCGAGTTAAAAAGGCAGTTCACTATAGATTATATCAACGTTCAAAAAACACCAACATGCCGACGATGAGCACTATGGATGAATTGATGTGCTGCGGAAGACGCATGTTTTTGGCCTCTCTTATGCTTGCTTCAAAGTATCTTCACGACAAGAACTATCAGAACAAAGCATGGTCACAAATAACTGGACTTGATATAAAAGAAATTAATGCTGCGGAAATGGCGTTCTTGACGTTGATCGATTATCGACTTTACGTATCAAAGCCAACTTTCGATAAATGGTATACTCAACTACATGGACACATTCAGAGAAGCTGTAAGGTACAATTAACACAATCAGAACAGCCAGAAAAGATTCCTTGTACAATCCCTTCTCCACCTCCCGAAATGCAGCAACAATTAGCTCCACTTTCGCCTCCTTCAGAGAAGGGACCCAACTGTATTACTTATCAACGATCTGATTCTGGTGTCTCTTTTATGTCACCTCCTCAACAGGATGAAGAGTTTACATCCAAAAAGAGACAGTGGAATGATCAAAGCAGTGAAGAGTCTGATTTTTTTTGCACAACCAAGCGGCTTTGTCAATAGCATCACATTATTATTACCCTTTGTACATTACAGTGTTCTTCTCTTTATCCCTCTTTCTCTCTCTCTTTTTCTCTTTATTATTCATATATATACACACACAATCAATCAATCTCACACAAACACAATCATATATCTATCATTCTTTTCTTCTATTTCATTGTATTTTTTTTTCTTGCTTTTCATCAGACGAAAAAAGGGAAAAAGAAGAAAAAGAAAAAGAAAAAAGAAATATATTTTATTTACAAAAGGATGTCTCTTTTTTGTCTTGTTGAATAATGAGTCGCGGCGCCAAATGAGTGGTTTGTGTAAGGGTGGAAAAGCGGTTTTTTCTAGAGTGTGTCATCAACTATCATGATAGTATTTTCAGACATCAGCGATTCAAGATTGCAATGTACTCATTGGCCGAAATGCATAAATTGCACTCTATGGAAGAGAAGTATAAAGACTTTGAAATTGTCCTTGGACGCTTAGTAAACGATGCTAAAGTAATGTATCTCTTATTGGAATCGGATTTCAATCCGTAGAAGCAAGTACCAGTAGCAATTTGTGTTCCACTTTAAACGCGCAAGTTAGAAGGGTATGCTTTTAAGTCTTATATAGTATTTTCGTATCGATTCACATTTGTTCTGCTTGGATAGCAGCGATAATGGTGAGATTTTCTGCCATGTCGAGTCTGAGCAAGGCATACGGAGCCTGTAGCACCAGTTCTTTCAAGATTGTAGAGCGGATAGCCCAATCTCCAAGAATTCAGATGTTATAGCATTTAATACATGGCTTTACAAGATATTAAACAAATTTTGTACTATGGATAACTTGAAGAAAGCGGGAATTCTATAACGTGGCTTCACAGTCGACGCGCGCTCTTGTTTGATCGACGTACTCTTTGCTTGTGGCAAAACGCTGCCGCTGTATACAATATGCTGAAGCAGATGATTGTCATTTTTGACTCTCAGAATCAAGTGTTTGAAACAAATTTGAAGCAGTCTCAAAGAAGAAATGAGCAAGACAGAAATACAAAAAGCGTCTTTTAAACGCCTGTCCCACGGTCCTAACCTTTGTCTGGCAGTAAGCTATATAATATTAAAATAAAATCAAGTGGCATTTCTTTCCTCAGTTATTTCTTTGTTCAACAAGTACATTGCTGTAGATATAGTGCTATTATATGGTCTGATAGTATGATCTGAAAGCTTTGTTGCTGTTAACAAATGCAATTGAAAATGATTCAATCTGCTTCGAGATGGGCGAGTACAAGTTTGACGCTATCATGTTTGAGAAATTCTTCTACGCGAAGGCCTACAATTGAAAGTCTTGCAGTTACAACGTCGATGGTTGTCATTCTATAACCATAAATGACAAGTTCATTGGGTTCTCCTTATTGGAAGGTTACTGGCCAGTTTAGCCTTTCAGACCTGGCAAACAACCGAGACCATGTAAATGGGGGCAGCTTGGGTACTCTTTCCTTTGCTGTAACAAATTGAACACTTGTTGAAACATGGGTCTTTTGAGACCTTTCAAAGTGTACTCGTTTGCTTTGTTCATAGTGTTTAACCATCAGAACGCTACTACTACTAACTGATGATTTATGGACAAGATTTGTTTGTGGTCCTTAGAATAGGTTGCTGGCAGGCGTATGTATTGTGAACTCTGTACAAGCTGCTGAAGCCCTCTTGTGGATATATAAGGTAACAAAATGAAAGCTTTATCTTTACTGTATCTGGCTATTTTTTGTTTTATCATAAGCTTTGATTGGAAGTAACAATCCAAAAGATCAACCAGCGATATATATAGAGTATATCGCTGGATACAGGCAACTTCAAGTCGAACCATTTTTTTTTAAATATTTCTTTGTATATAAGTATAAATAATTAATCACATCATTGCCTCTTTTTCAGTTTCAACACTAATGTATGTAGCCCCCTCAGTATGAAGTTTAAATAGATCTTGTTCTGTTTTACCATGTAACCTTTGATGTCACATGCTTTAAACAGTATACTCAGTATCAAACAGAGAGAAGAGAGAAAGCGAGGGTCGTTTGTTTATCTTACTTTCCAAAACTTAACTCAAGTAACTATTCCCATAGCCAAAAATAAGGCTACCAAGATATTAGAAGCTTTTAGTCTTTTCTCTGTACTATCAACAATTGCATCATTAGTGAAGATAGAAGATGGGTACTGCGGCATTGTACTTGCATCATTACTCATCCAATCAGATAGTAATGCCTTTATAAGGCAACTCTAAACTGATTGGTATGCCTGACTGCATTACACCCGCAGCAAGAAAAAAAGAAGAAAAAAAAAACGCTGTGAATGATAATGTTTAATATTTAAATGCCAATGAAATGGGAAAAAGAGAGAGAGAAAGATTAAACAGGGACATTACGAACGACATCATCTACTGCCTTGGCAAAGTATTCAACATTCTTGGAAGAAAGACCAGCCATGGAGACACGACCATTATCGGTCATATAGATGGAATACTTTTCCTTAAGAACTTTAACTTGAGGAGCCTTGAGGCCAGTAAAGGAGAACATGCCGATTTGATCAGTGATATGGTTCCATGTACCAGGTGTTTGAAGTTGTTCTAAATGGTGTCTAAGAGCATTTCTCATTTCGATAATACGGTTGGACATGTATTTCAAATTCTCTCTCCATTCTGCAAACAAAGCTTCATCATTCAAGACGATGTTGACAATACGAGCACCATAGGCAGGTGGATTAGAAATTTCAGCACGCTGAAGTCGTTCGAATTGAGACATGACGCGCTTAGCCTCTTCTGTACTCTTGGTAACAATGGTCAAGTTACCACAACGTTCACCTAAATGAATTAATTAGTTTTTTTTAATATTAAATTAAAAGCTATCTTACCGTAAAGACCAAAATTCTTTGCAAAGGATTGACAAACAAACAATTCAAATCCTTGTTCTACAAAATAACGAACTGCCCAGGCATCCTTGTCCAAGTCACCAGAAGCAAAACCTTGGTAGGCGCAGTCAAAGAATGGGAAGTGTCCCTTTTCTCTCATGACTACAGCAATGCCCTTCCACTGCTCTTGGGTGGGATCTACACCGGTGGGGTTATGAGCGCAGGCGTGAAGGACAAAGATGGAACCTTCAGGGGCGTTACGCATGGTCTGAAGCATACCCTCATAGTCCAAACCACGCGTCTCTGGGTGCCAGTAAGGATATTCTTCGACTTCGAAACCGACAAGACTAAAGATGCTTCGATGGTTGGCTATTATTTAATGTTATACATTGTTCATCACGTCCCCCTTTTTTTTAGTTTTACCCCAAGTAGGATTAGAAATGTAACACTTTCGGCTCTTGTGATGGAATTGTGCGAGGAAAGTAGCACCTGTGTGATTGGCACCTGTACCAGAGATAGTCTGAACAGCAGCAAAACGATTCTCCTTGATAGCAGGACTATCAGCACCCAAGATCAAACGAGCAGCAGCGTGAGTGAAAGAAGGTTGACCGGCAATAGGTTGGTATTCGTGATCGAGAGCATCATCGTTAAACAAGATTGCATCAGCCTAATGTTTAATGTTGAATGGGCAAAACTTTAGAGCAAAGATATCTTTTTTACCTTTTTCACAACAGGAAGTACATAGGGCTTCAACTCGTCAGTACGGAAAGCACCGACACCCACGTTAACCTTGTTTGGATTGGTATCAGCTCTATACTTTGCAGTCAAGTCAAAGATGACATCAGGAGGTGCTTGAGGAACTTCTTGAAATACAGAAGCTAATAGAAATAAATTAACAACCAACCTTTGTTATTTAGTAAAATAAAACTTGCCAGTAGACATGTTCAAATGGTTTGTGATTTGATTTAAACGTTTAAAAGGGGTCATTGCTGGAGCTTGCGGGTTTTTATTCCTAAAATAACGCCCAGTCAGGACCAGTCAAGATTGGGGGGCACCTCGAGTCATGGTGCATCATGCTATTTTTTTATTTTTTTTATTTTGTTTGCCTTTTTTTTTATATATCTCTTTAAAACAATGGAAAAAGAAGACTGGAAAAAGAAAATCCCCCCTCTTTTTTTTATTACTAAAAGATATAATTTTTTTCTTTTCATGTGAAAGCAAAATTTCAAAAAAAGGGTATAATATGCTTCCATTTTCGTATGTTTGCCGTGGGAAACTTGGTATTTCTCTGTATTTCACGCCTCAATGAATTTCAAATTACGCGCTCACATTTTTCCAAGCTGCAAAACTTCGAACCGTAGTGCTTTCTGAACCTTCCTTTCATCAATAATAATCGTTTTAATATACTCAGCCAAAGAAAAAAAAAAAAAAAAGAAAATCTTTTAGATGAAAACGGGAATGAGGCCATGAATTGGGGTGATCCTTACAGCTTGATAAAAGCTGGCGCGCAGATCTGCAGCCTGCTTTCAGTTTTTTAAAGACAATTAGACAGAGTCTCTCTGACCACACTATTTTGTACCTCCGCTACTGCAATGTGGTGTATATTAATACGAGTTTAAGTAAAGAAGGGTAGATGTTATCCTTCAAATTTAATCAAACCGTTGCCTCCATTTCAGGCTACGATGAGATGGTAGGGTTTTCAGTAACAGGAAAAATGGCGCTGTTAATATTTTGATTGTCTCTGAGCTTATTGAATTGTTTGTAATAATTTCTTTCAAAGTTGTTGGAGTCGTTCGACCCATTTGCGTGTTTCTTGATCCGATTAACATTATGGCCTTTCATCACCGAAGTACTAATTAAAGTATATGAAATTAAGTCAAATGAATCTCCCAAGGTTAGTATTAGACATGGTCAAATACGACAGAAAGCACCAAAAGATTTCTAGTCGATACATCGTTGTAGGTTCAGGAAGAAGAGATCTTTTGTACTTTGTACACGAAAATTTTACGTCAGAGCAACCAGTGAAATATCGGTACACCAAATAACAGCAAGACAAGGTGTGGAAGACCAAACAATACCGTCAAACACTGCAAGGTCTCAAAGCCCAAGAACTTGATGTCGTGTAAACTGAGTAAGCCCTTTCTCAACAGCCTAGCAATACCATATCCGTAGAACATTTTGGCCGCTTCCTTCAAGCCAGATCTGAACACTCTGCCGTTCCCAGTGAATTCTATGAACATACCATCGCAAGACGTTGCAACAGATACTTCCTCTTTCACAAGATCCACCTTTCAGCGTACTTCAGCAAACAACGTGCTGATCAAATGCGTATTCAGAATTCATGCTCCATGTTTGGAGAAGAGGATATCGTACGGCTGTTTGCCATGGTTTTTTAAAGTAATATTACACTAACCACTTGTATGGCTTTATACTGGCTAGGCATCACTTGTAGATGTACCAATCTATACTGTAGACCTGCCATGGCAGCACCAAATAGATATTGCTTATGGAACAGGGATGGTGCTACTTGCTCCAACTACGTGCAAATCCTTTGGGGGCTTTGATATAATGGAATTGTTCCTCATATGCTTCGCCGGATTGCAATTGCTACTACATAATGTCGAAGATGAGCAGACAATCAAAAACAACCAAGAACTAGAATAGGCATAGATGGTAATTCTCTATCGTAGTTATCGCTAGGATGCATCTAGATACCTTCGGGGTAAGTTATATATAATAATTTTTTTACATAAGTAACTGTATAATTCTACATATGTATTCTTTCCTTGTTACTTATCTCTTTTGTCTCTACATCTGCTATTCGCCTCCTTTTGTATGCATTTTATTTTTTATCTTTGCCAATCATTTTTCTCATACAGATCATAATTTAATCCTCTTTCTGAATTTTTTTTTTTGGCCGTTCATTTGCTATTCTTCATGCTACCGTCCTCATCCCTCTAAGGCCACTGTGTCTTTTCTTTTCAATTTGGGTAACCAACAGCTTTGATCTCAGAACCAATTATTTCCGTATCCCATTTTATAGTAAAAAGACAAGAAAAAGAAAAGGAAAGGGAAAAAGTGAGAGCATTGACCCATGTCTGTACGACCAGTCTGTTGTCTCGCATGAGTGGACTAAGGCTGAATGTTTACATTATATTTGTCATATAGACGTAGAAAGAAAAAAAATCCTCCCATTGCAAGTTATTTTTATCTGTTCATCTTTTTTTTT